AAATCATATAACTTGGTTTCATAGTGCGGTAAGAAGTTGCAGTTGCCTGACGGCCCCTCTCTGGGGGCCCCTTTGGAAACCGTTTCATCTCGCTCGCACCACTTGTGTTTACTGCCTAGACAGGTGACGTTATCGGCGCTATTTTTAGCAGGGCTTTCCCGAACAATTCAAGTGGTCAAACTGGACATTTGGAACGGACTATGAATATGGGGATAGCGAGGTAACATAAGTGGAAGTGCATACAATACATACATTCATTAAAAAAAAAACGCCTTTTCACGTGATGTCCCTTTAAAATCCTTCTTCTACCATAGGGATTTAGGCATTTTATTCTAATTTAGTCTGGAGCATCCTTGGGCCAAGGGGACTCAATTTTGTATAAGCAGTGGGTGTGGTCTCCCAGGGGGCAGAAGGGTGGGGCCCAATAGGAGAAATAGAGGTAAAACCTTTAAAATCCTTCTTCGACCATTGGAAATAAGGGATTTTATCCATATTTAGTCTGGAGCATCCTTGGACCAAGGGGTCTCAATTTTGTATAATTGGGGGGTATGACCCCCCCCCCCTAGGGGCATATGGGTAGGGCTCTGTTTGAGTTTGTTCTCGCTATATCTCAAGTACTGGATGGATCTTTCTGAAATTTCATATGTACTACCATGGAGTGCTATATCTACTTCATACCAATTATTTTAAACATATTCAGGTGAGCGATACAGGCCCTCTGGGCCTCTTGTTACATTATAGAATTTTTAGATGACCATATGGCACAGTTGCTATACTGTAATGTACACCCTTGCTAGCATGTTTTCTCTGTTTTCCAATGGTGATAGCTAAACACATGTGGTTATTTGCCCCATAAGCTTATTATGCTTAAAGAAATCCAAGCGACTTTGTGATTTAATACAGTCTGGTAACGCAATGAACTTATTATACCGCTGTTATAAGTAGCTGAGAAAGTAATGACCAAAGAAAGTCTTCCAAAGAATGTTTCTTATACAAGTTTGCGTAACATTAGCTACAAATTGTATTCATAATTCCTCTGAATTATTGTCATACACATGTATACATACTTTATTTATAAGAGGGAGAGCTCTTACTATGTAAAATTTGTTGGCCACTTAGCGAGAATCGCATAATTACATACTTCACTGACACATGGAGACACTGCATAAAATATTAGCTGACTAAGCACACACCAGCTGGGGCAGCAAATAAAAAACGAGGCTTCGGTTATACTGGCGTAGTAAAATATAAAATATAATCTTTGATGTCAGACGTTATACCCAGACTGAAGAAGGCAGTCAGTGTTCACATTGACACTGCCCTTTTATAAAAATGGTTAAAATTGAACACAAAGTATTGTAGGGGACCCCAGGTAATGGAAACATTGCTGGATTGTGAAGTAGCTTTCGATGCAGCTAGCTATAGCACTGACTGAGAATGACTAACAATTGTGGGACGTATTACAGTTTTTGATTTTCTACCATTGCCTAAATTGCTGTTTATTGTGAAGTAAAATTCCAAAATCTTGGTGTTTGTTTTCTAATTTATTTTCTGGTAAAAATATTTTATTGAGTTCCTGCGAAGAGTTTTGAAATTCAGATCCTGAAATATTAAGGAGAAGGTCTTTTTTCAAACAAATGGGGTCCCAAGAAATTGCAGTCAGAACTCTGCTTTACAAATATTGCTGCATTAATCAATGCCAAAATCAAAATGAAAAACAGTAATGTACCATTCCAACTTCAAAGCTCTAGCCCACAGACAGATTTTCAAAAGCTCTACCTAAATTTTCACGGAAAATATTGAAAACTTTTACCAAGTGTTGGGCTTGGGGAATTTTACACCCTACAACATTGCATGACAACTGTTGAATATTGTTGTCAGATTAGAACTCCTCTTGGTGTACCTGTATACTGAAAACTAGTAACAAATTCAACCAAACCAGATCTAATAATCGTTCACTTTGTATTTATGGACAGACTGCCTGCAGATCTCATTCTGTACGGAATGTGGCTCGGGCGCTGTGGACAGGGAAGGACTCCCTCGCGGAGGATGACCCAGACATGATGGCGATTATGAAGAAAGAGAAGGCCAGACAAGTCAGCGGATTGGAGCTGATCGCATCAGAGGTGAGTTGCAAATACTAGGATCAAACGATAAGTCTCTAAGTGAAATACAAGATGGTGGTTACATTAACTTACCATAGTCATCCTCTGATAGCTATATATAGCCCATGCCTGTTAATAAGCCCGTCAAAGTCAAATACAGTTAAAGGTTAAAATGCTTACAAATGCTGTTTTATTGTCATGCAATAAGCCCACCCTTTACTTTGACAATTTATTAGTTGACCCCCAAGGTGTTTTGTAGGATATATACATAAATGCAGTTTTGAAAATGGATTTGTTTCACGATTTTTCATTGAGTTTATATATCTCTGCTTTAATTGAATTACCACCAGTACCTTGTTTAATTATAAACAACAACCCATCGAAGTCTGTGAAACCTCCTTGTTACATTAATTATAAACTCTTAAGGCAGTAGACATGACAAATGTTCATGTATATAAACATTCCTGGCCATTATTTTGTTAGTGGTCTTTGTGTCTTATTGAAATGAGATTCATGAAACTTGTCCCAAAGTTTTCTTTTTGGATCGGCAGAGCCTCGCTGATTAAACAATGCTTAGAAATGTTTCACAAGTATGAATTGAAGATTTTATGTATACACACTAACACAGGCCAAGGTAAATAATCCTGGCACAATAGCGAAGGGTTACAATCTGCTGGTAAAATTGCTATAGGTATATCCCTCACAGCGATGTGTGTCACTGTGTAGTATTACATAATTAATCCCCATTGATGATGTGTTTGTGGAAATTTACAAATTTGTAAAGGACTATATTTCGGTCCCAAATTTGTTAAAAGGATATATATATATATATATATGCCTGCAGTCTAACACTAATCTGTTTATCGGTGATATTTCTATTGCTAATGTGGCCGACATTGAAAATATAAAATCAATCTCTGCACATTTTGTCTGTTTTTTTTATGCTTCCAAAAAATATTTCATTTGAACATATTAGTTTACCCACAATATTTAACTTGACCATATATAAATTATGATCTCTCATCCCTGTTCCAGATAAGCAATATGTAAAGTTGTTGATAAGTAGTGATTGCATTTCACTTGATACAAAGTAGCACATCTTTTCGTTAACAACAATTAAGTTAAATTCTTAACACAGTTAATGCTGATTGCTTATATTTCATTTGACTGGTGTGCATTGGATTTGAATATGGATTTAAATTTAAAGCAGTCTTCTTAAGTTATTAAGTTTTGAAGCAGGTGGTTGACCAATTCTAATTAAAATTACATCTTCACATCGCTCCTGTTTGCTGATATGTCGCATGGAATCTTCCACGTGACATATCAGTAAAGGAGAGCGATGTGAAGATACAGTTTTAATTAGATTTGTGGTTGACTTGAAAAGAACATCCTGTCAAGTGTTCATGTGTTGTCATGTTGACATATATTCTGGAAAAATAGCCGATTCAAATTTGATGAATAGCAGGCTACTTTTGCCATCGACTGGCTTTTAATGAGAACACTGAACAAGATTTATTGCTTGTACGTGATATACAACATACGCATTACTTCAAACAAAAAATAAAAACTACAGGAATAAGTACTGAAAGGTCTCGCATGCTCAAAATATAGGTAATCTACCATAGTAACACTAAGAGGGACACTATCCCCTACACCTAAACTACGGACACATTTCATAGAGATGTACAGGACGTTATGACCAAATTACCGGGTATATGACACTCCCCTACCAAAGACGTACCAGCATACCAACACAACTTTGGTGTTTGCAGGTGAAATAATGTGGGAGATATGCTCCAGACAAGTGGATTGTAGTTTTTTGCACATTTAGTTAAGGTCAAAGGTCAAAATATAGGTCACAGTGACCTACTGTTTTACATGGCACTCTGCCGTCTCAAGATGTACCAGCATCCCGGAGATATACGCTCCGGACAACACTTTGGATGGATAGAAGGATAGAGGGTATTATCATATACCTACTGTCCACTTTGTGGTGGCCATAGGGAGATAAGAGTGAACTCCGAACTGCTGTAAACAGATAGTTCATCTGGCCAAACTTCCTCCTTTATCTTCTTCAAGTGATTTTGTCTAGTGTTGACTTATGTGTAGTTAACAGTACATCTATTGCTGGCTATATTTTTGTCCACCATCTGTATATTTTGCTGTCTTGCTGAAGAATGGGTGACAATAAAATGCATGAATCCTTTCCTGTTGTGTATTACATGTATTTAAAAATATTCAATTGATTAAAAATGCTTGTCTATTAAAGCAAAAAAAGGGGGAAAAACAGAACATAAACTTCTTAAAGTTAAAGTGTCTGTTCACATTTAAATAAGTCCTTTTTTTTTAACAGAACTTTGCCAGTCGAGCAGTAATGGAGGCCCTGGGTTCCTGTCTCACAAACAAGTATTCTGAAGGTTATCCTGGAGCTCGGTAAGTGGGTATGACAAAAACACCATCTCAAACTTTAATTACTCATTAAACTTCTTCTTTACTTGAGCATCCTCAACAGCAAGCGTGTTTTTCTTTTGCATCTTGCAAGAAACATTTCAAAGGCATTTGTGGTTATCTTTTGTGTTATCTAGATTAGGAAAAAGTGTTTCACATGTACATGAAGTTCTTGGCAGATAAACTATATAAAATTAAAGAAATATGATAACTTGCAATTCAATTTTATTTAGTAGAAATGTGATTATGTAAGAAGTTTTGTTTGGGTAACATTGTATTTTGTATGTGTTGGGTAACATTGTATTTTGTTTGTGTTGGGTAACATTGTATTTTGTATGTGTTGGGTATTATTGTATTTTGTATGTGTTGGGTAATATTGTATTTTGTTTGTGTTGGGTAACATTGTATTTTGTATGTGTTGGGTAATATTGTATTTTGTATGTGTTGGGTAATATTATATTTTGTTTGTGTTGGGTAACATTGTATTTTGTTTGTGTTGGGTAACATTTGTATTTTGTTTGTGTTGGATAACATTGTATTTTGTTTGTGTTGGGTAATATTGTATTTTGTTTGGGTTGGGTAACATTGTATTTTGTTTGTGTTGGGTAACATTGTATTTTGTTTGTGTTGGGTAATATTATATTTTGTTTGTGTTGGGTAATATTTTATTTTGTTTGTCTTGGGTAACATTGTATTTTGTTTGAGTTGGGTAACATTGTATTTTGTTTGTGTTGGGTAATATTGTATTTTGTTTGTGTTGGGTAATATTTTATTTTGTTTGTGTACTACCAGATACTATGGGGGCAACCAGTTTATTGACGAAGTGGAAACACTTTGCCAGCAAAGAGCACTCAAGCTTTTCCGGCTGGATCCGAAAAAGTGGGGCGTCAACGTCCAGCCTTACTCTGGCAGTCCGGCAAATTTTGAGGTGTTTACTGGACTTTTGAAACCCCACGACCGTATCATGGGACTTGACCTGCCTGACGGTGGCCAGTAAGTGATATAGAAACGGTTCAGTGAAATAATTCATATCTCATAAAATTTACAATTAGCTTATTGACAATAAAAAAGTTGTTATTACCTTAATTTGGCAGAAATATTGTAATATTATGATAATAATTTGAGGTTCTTATATATACCGCTTTTATAATCACAACCTAGTTCGTAGGTTTTCTCAAAGCGGTTCACAAATTATTATCCATGGTTATAGGGCCTTTGCTACCAGCCAGTATCTTTCTCAACTCCCTGGGGAGAATACAGCCGGTGCTGCCATTTCGGCGCTCACATCAAGCATTCAACAATTCCGGCATTGCCCAACCACATACTCATTTACAGCTGAGTAGACTGGAACAAGCGGAGAACACAGTGCCGTGACATGACTTGAACCCACGAGCCTCGTCCTACCACATGACTACCTTGCCCCCGTAAAAGGCGTTTTGATAAAAATGTGTTTGAAAACAAAGCCTTAGGTTCTTTAGAGACTACTTATATATATTTTTGGGGTGTCTGTGATTGTTAAATGGTGTCTGGTGTATTACATAAAGTTGTTTTGTGTTACAGTCTCACCCACGGTTTCCAGACAGACACAAAAAGAATCTCCGCCACCTCTATCTACTTCGAGTCGATGCCTTACAGAATCAATGTGAGTATCTATGTGATGGCTTGCATAGACCTTTCTTAAAACAGGATTTTAAGAATAAAAATTCAATCCAGAGATTTCAATTAGTGAATTAATTCCCAAGATATTGAGCATGGACTGGTTCTGAAATCGGCAACATTGTGCCTCAAATATCAGAATACAAGTTAACCCTTTCACCCCTATGTAACTTTAGTAGACTCTACCATGCGTTGATCTGGATGAGTCCATTATGGTCTACAGTGGTGAAAGGTAAAGTGAATTTGTGCTCGACCGTATAATCAAAATATTCTCTTGTAAGTAGGTGGTTTATTGCAAGTCATGAATAGTTGCAACCATGAGATTTTGAGGTACTATTTAAGTAATTACAAAATGTTTTTTACGTAAACAAGCTGCACAGTCTTGGGGATCATAAACTTCAGAATGTGTGTAGCCTTAAGCTTTATGGAGAAAGTTGTGATATACGAGATAAACATTGATGTACTGCATGTTGTATTTGGGAAATTTAAAAGAAACTTAATCAAAGAAATGAAAAAGGAAAATTTTTATCATAAGCTGTTGTGTGTTTTATACAATCTTTTCTCTGAAATTGGTTCTCAGATTCCACCAACTCGTTCGAACCATTTTCACCAAATCTTAAATTTTTAGATATTTCATATTTATAAGTCTGCCCCAGCAGCTTTTCTTTTTATTAAAAGTTAAGAGGGCTTTTCTGTCCCACAGAACATGACTATGGCGGATGGGCGTAAACATGTACGTGACTTTACTTGTCTGCATGTATGGCGTGACCCACTTAATACCAGCCGTATTACACTTGTTATATGAACCCCTTAAACAGCAGTGAGATATTGTAGCATGGATTCCAACCATTCTTTGGTTTTAGTAAAAATATCTCAATTAAAAGTGTGGGGTATTATACCTAGTAATAAAACGATACCAGGAAAATGAAGTATCTTGTAGTTCAAAATTATGTACCCGGTTACATGGCTGCGTCCAGAAAATAAAGGAATTGGTTTAATATAAATTGTAATATATAAAATTAGATTGACACATATAAAATTAGATTGACATATAAAATTAGATTGACACATATAAAATTAGATTGACACTAAAACGCCTCTGTCAGAATTTCAATAAAAGTCAATTCCTGGGAAATTGGTGATTTTTCGTGGGTTTTTTAATTTCGTCGATTTTGTGGGTACTCTTCATCCACAAATTCATAGGTCATAAGTAATTATGGGTAAGTGTACCCTCAAATACTGCTCTTTTTTTGTGTAACCACAGAACTAGGACCCCACAAAAATATCTGATTTCACAGTATAAAGGCTGTCATGATGTTTTCATGTGTCGCTGTCATGGTACACGGAGTACTGTCGTAATTTGTCACACACTGTAATACTGATAATTTATTTGTGAAATTGTTGTTCACAGTACTTACCTAAGCACTAGTTTCAATAAAAAAATAGGTACGGGTATCTTGAATTTACAATCACTTACAAAATTAATATTAAAATATATGATAGAAAAAGTGGAGGCTTTTCTTTCAATTCTAGTGCTAACTGTGGATTGAATTCAATATTTAAAAGATGAAAGATAACATTTTATGAGTAAGGAAGTTATTTTGATACGATTTCGGGGGAAAAACCTGACAGTGCTCAGATCTCCACATTAAACTGAATGGTGTCGCTGTTTATATCAACGATGTTAAATTGCATGGAGGCAGAAATGATTGTTCCTTGAAGCATTTTTTTCCATACAAAAAAAGCATGTATGTTTCATTCAAAAATTTGGTGGAAAAACTTTAAGCATTGCTAAAAAAATATGTAATAATAAATCTGAAAAGAGACAACTCTCTCGATACGTAATATGTATATAGTAATATTCTCAAACGCTTACTGGATCCGTAACGTTGTTCATAAGAAGCCGGTAAGTTTAAAAAGATAAAAGAAAGGTTAAGAATAAGTTGTGTATACCTCCAAATAAGTCAATTCGTTTCTTATCCTATTCCTTTTCATTCCTTTTTTAAAGCTGACTCATTTTCTGTCTTTCTGTTGCAATTGACACTGAAAAGGAATACACATATTAAATGAAAAATTATTTCCTGAAAATACAACACAGAAGTCGCAGCCTTATTTACAATTAAAGAAGGCTCAAATACACAAGTTCACAACCTTAAAATTTTCAAGGTTAAATATTAGAAAATATTTGTTCATACAAATTACTGTTGACACCTGAAACAACCTCCGGGAGGCCAAAGGTAGTGAACGCAATGACAGTTAAACAATTTGAGCATGAAAAAGATCAACATTGGAAAAATCAACTAAAAAATAATTTTTTGAACATCATGTATATATATATTAATACTTTAATAAAATCAATCATATCTTCTTTTTTCCCCCCAAATAATGTGATAATTTAAACCTTACAAAATTTCGATATTGGTACCCGGTATATACATGTATAGTGAACCATGTATTGAAAAAAAAAAAATCTTTAATATTTCTGCCCGATTTAATGCCTGTATGCTAACAAGTTCCTTGAAATGTTGATGTCACATTACCCAGTTCACAAATGCTATTGACATTTACTGAATGACCTGGAAAGGTTATAACTACAAAAACTGGTCAGAATTATAATAAAACTATAGGATTGGATTCCCAAACCTACTGTACATGTGTACAGATTGGATTCTTAAATTTAATTTAGATCAGATGGCGAGCTGTTCAAATTACTTTTTATCCATGGTCCACTGTCCATCTGTCCTTCATCCATTATTGTTTTGCTAAGGATTTTGCTCATGTTCCTTATGATGATATCCCAAGGTCCTTAGTCATGCATGTTTCATTTTGAAACTGATAACAAATGGCTGCCAGGTAGCCATCTTAAATTGTGTCGGTTAAACATTTCTTATCACCATTTCTCTAGAAGTAATTAGCAGATTATTATTGTCAATTGTTCACCTTGGCCCCTAGTTATGTATCTTTATTGTGAGATTGATCAGAAACAGAAAAGTGCTGCCTAGGTGGCCGTCTTGAATTTTGACCCTTTAAGCTGGTTTGCGAAATTTCTCAAGAAGATTTTGTCTTTATTCTATGTTTTTAAAAACACAATAAAGAGTGGAAGCGTTTTCCAATGTGTCTGGTTTTGTGAGCTGTAGTATGTTTGTATAAAGAAGCAGTAAAATAGTTATTCCTATGTGTCTATGTAGATAAAATGTCGAGTCCTCGCTAACACATTCGGTACATCTGTCAGCTGTGCTTCTGAACCCACCAACTGTATAACATGTCACTTGTCTTATTCCAATTGTTATTTTACAATTTTGTTACAAAAATAAATATTAAACAATCCTCATGTATGCATCCAAGCTATGATAATATTAACACAAATTTCAGCTGCAAATTTATTTTTTTATAACACAATGATAAATGTCTTCCTGCCTTTACATTTGGAGATCTGCAAGTCAAATAAAATAAAATAAAATCTTTGCTTGCATTTTTTGTGATCAATGATTGCATAATCTTACCTTTTAGAGTTTTGAATTTGATAAAATTACTGGTAAGATTTGTTTTACTGATAAACGGTTTCTTTCTATAGTCTATATATGATTGACATTGTGTATAGAACATAACGTTCTTTGCTGCACTGGTTCCAAATGTTGCACATGTACAGCAAATTCTAAAATCATATTTTTGTTGGGTTTCACAGATTGAGATTAGAATACAAATAAATCCAAAATAAAAACCCTCAAATATAAATGATATGACATTGTATAAGGGGCCTGTCACACGTAGCCGGGAGGGAGTACAACAGCAGTACTCTGGTATGGCCTCGTTAAAAGTTAGTAGAGCCCCGGTGGCGCCCTGTAATGGATTGGCCGCTCTCCAGTGCCCTAATTGTGTACCGTACTGGTACCGATGGGATACTGTAGTACTACCAAATGTCAGCGAAGTAGTACTGATGCACCACTGATGTACTAACGACCGAAAAGTGGTATTCGGTAGCACATCTGCTCTTACATCCCTAGGACAATGGTAGAACAACGGTATTGCGATGAGAACAGAAACAGCGGTGCTACATCTGTATTGCTATGGTCAATTTTGATTGTTTTTCAAGTGCTTTCTCGCCGGAGCTCTGCCGATTTTCTCGCCTTTGTTAATGTTTTGCTCCATTTTAGTCCCGTCGAAGTACATCGGTAGTGTCTGACAGGCCCTTAAGGAAAATTACTTGCATAGAATTGCTAAAACCAATTGGTGACACAGAATTGTTCTCTACTGCCCCGAGTAAAATTATGCTAAGTAATGACTTGTATTGTAAATTTTGTTTCGTATTCAATGCATTGTAGCCCCAGACTGGTTATATTGACTATGAGAAAATGAGAGAGTCGGCAAAGCTGTTCCGCCCCAAACTGATCGTAGCTGGAACTACGGCCTACTCCAGACTGCTCAACTACCAGGCATACAAAGAGGTGAGTACAGTTTGACTTGTGTTGAAGGCTGCGGCCATGTTTTTGACAGTTTTATTCGAATAGCTCCTAGGGACAAAGTTTGATTATTAACATTTAATAAAGAAATGAAAAAAGTAAGAATTTTGAAATTTTGAATTTTGAAATTTTGAAATTTAAATGAGTCTGATTTATAATTTTGAACTCAACAGCAAAACTTAATTTTGAAATAGTGAAGTGAGATATAACGCCAATGCAAATTGAAGGTATAAATATGTAAGATAGCATAATGTGAACTTACCGATCTCTTTGCTGTTGGGAAGCCCAACGGCTATTTCGGTAGGGCTTTGTCAACGATGAGCTCTGGAAACTGTCAGCTTCGCATATAACCTTAACTCAAACACAAATGACAGGTTTGATGTGTAAATTAGCATATTGCCACAAAGTCTGTAAACCATTGTTTGAAATCAACATTGAAAACGTTTTACAGATTTGTGACGAAGTGAATGCCATCATGATGGCCGACATGGCCCACATTTCTGGCCTGGTAGCGGCCGACGTCATTCCCAGTCCATTTGATTACGCTGATATAGTGACATCTACTACCCATAAAACACTACGAGGACCTAGGTATGTTGAAACCAGGAACGTAAACTTTAAATAGTAACAGCATTGACATCTATGTATCTACCATTTGTAAAACTCAGGGAGGAACCAGATTTGTTTAAACTGCAAAGTAAATCATTTTGATACAGTATAGGTCTTTTTTTCGAGTCACACATTTATTTTGTTGCACCTATAATGAATTTTGCCGTAATTTTTACGTCGAACTACACCAGATGCTTCTTTGATTTCATTAATGGGTTTTAAATTAAATAGCCAAGTAAAACCGTTAACACGCTTCGGCCTATTTAGGTGAGCCATGGGTCTTACAAGAGCCAACATATTAACTTAGGGCTAAAGTTACACCCCAGTTAATGTTGTAGAAATCGTCTGACACATTTGATTTAAACATTTAGGAAGCCATTTAGAGTTGGATGCTGAAATTCTCCAAACCTATTATGGTTGAAACATTTAATCTCCCAGCCCCCTTTATTGGGCGTTGGAGTTCGAATTTTGTGAAATTTTATGTTAAGATGGTGACTATATACCTGGGTAACAAAAAAAAACTTCAAAAATTACATACCATTCTGATAAGTCGTATTAGTTTGGTGTGACACATGACATCATTACAGCATCAACTGCTTGACGTCACGTCATCTTAGATGTTGGAAATATTTTCCTAGATATTGGAGTCTTGTGTTGTCCTGGCAATTAGAAGATTAAATTCTTCCAAAGAATAAATTTAATGAATTGGTTAGTAATATTCTCTGCTTTTTCGGATACTATTTCAGATCTGGAATCATCTTTTACCGTAAAGGTGTGAAGGGCGTAGACAAGAAGGGAAATGAGATAAAGTATGATCTGGAGAAGAAGATCAACAACGCTGTGTTCCCGGCCCTCCAAGGAGGGCCACATCAACACCAGATAGCCGCTGTAGCGGTGGCACTCAAGCAGGTAGGTTGGCCACACGACGCTCGTGACATGACGAGGTCTAGGACTTGTCGACTGTCTTCTGGTTCTTGTGTAATATCACAGTCAGGGGTCTTATGAATATTGAGGGTAAAATATACTGAAGATGGAAGGATATCAACTGAATTCTGCCTTCACTTCAGCTAGGTACTCCTGGATCCCATTAAAGATGCATGCACATATCACCAGTCATAGCATGTTTCATCACCAGAATGGCTCAGACGTAAAACTGTGACAATTTTACTTGACCTTATTCTTTCAGTTTAGTACAACGTGGTAACCTCAGTATCATTCAATAGTGATTGTGCTTGTTTTGAAATAGTCTTGGACAGGTTTTGTGAGTTAGATTGGGGTTTTAATAAGCACGTTTTGTTTTAGCGCAGTGGTGACAAAAGGTCAGTTTTGTTGATGAGAACGTGCCATGTTTCTTTCATGTTTAGTAATACTGAACAGGCTTTGCCTAACTTCATCTAAAATTGAATAGAATAAGCAGAGCAGATGCTAATTTTTCATCTTTGAAATGAACAGTTTGGGGGTCCCATAAATCAAATACCGTCAAATCCTTTTGATCTCAGCTGTTTAACATAATGTATGGCTGGGCAAGGCTTTATTGCAGTGTTGGTGTGATTATCTCCCTTGTCTCATGTCCTTTCACCACCAGGTGGCCACTGTACGTCGCAGTTACACAACTATTCATCGCAATGTATTTTGATGAAAATGATGCAGATCACTTTTGATGTTTTTCAGGCCATGAGTCCAGAATTCAAAGAATACCAGCAGCAGGTTATCAAGAATGCACAAACGATGGCCAGTGCCTTGATGAGCAGGGGATATGATGTCTTAACTGGTATGTAGTGGTCAGTAGTGGTCAGCAATGTCCAGACTGGGTTATATCAGTAGGTAGTGATCATTAGTGGTCAGAAATGTCCAGACTGGGTTATATCGGTAAGTAATGGTCATTTGTGGTCAGAAATGTCCAGACTGGGTTATATCGGTAGGTAGTGGTCAGTAGTCGTCAGGACACAAACGATGGCCAATGCCTTGATCAGCAGGTATATGATATCTTAACTGGTATGTAGTGGTCAGGAATTTCCTAACTAGATAATGTCAAGCCTGCTTGTCAGTATGTCATCAGGACACAAAGTATCGCCATTTTGCAAATACCTCTTGTTTGAAGAGTATTTTCTTGACATTTGTCTTAAGAAAATTGCTTAATTTCTTGCTCTAGTATTTGGGGAACTGATGTTTGAACTAATACGTTAAACAAATTATTTTATATACTGCGGTAGTAACCTACATGTTGTGTTGGATATTGAGAACGATGCCATTGTTTGTGTAGGAGGGACAGACATCCACCTGATCTTGTTGGACTTGAAGCCAAACGGCACAGATGGGACACGTGTCGAGAGGATCCTGGAACTGTGTGAGATGTCGGTCAACAAGAACACGACAGCCGGAGACAAGAGCCCGTTCACCCCCGGTGGCCTTAGAATAGGTAAATCATTGGAGTTGACTGGACGTTACTGATGTTATTTTGATTGGACAGTTCTTTCAGGCTGTTACATTCGTGTATTTTAGAGTTATATTAATTTCAGTAGTTACGTGAGAATCAAATGTTATTTTGTAATCATTTCAATTAGTATACTGTATACTGGGAAAATTTTTGCTGCAGTTTATTTTTGGCCCTTTTTCGTCCTTCCCAATGAGGGCGAACTTAGTAAACAAAATAATAGACACAGTAAATAAATATGAAGGCGAAATTAAGACAGGCGTATATGGATTTTACCAGAGAAGGGCCAAAGTTTGGTTAGGTGAAAATTTCCTGGTATTCTTACATACTCCATTGGGCATTTATTTGATAAGGTTCTCAGATAATTTAGTTTTTTGAGTGCGCATTGTCAATAGGGCGATATATTATTTACAGAACAGCACTCAAATAATCTTGATTACATGAGCCATTGAAAAGTGGACAAACTTGCTGCCAAGAATCTAATCAACAAATGTACAAATGGCATTATAGAAAAATCATATGATGATACCACTAGATTTCAGTGTGCTGTTACTGCAGTCTCATTCTGGCAGCTTCTTATAGTGAGAATGCAACATAAATGCAAATTCAGTTTAGTGAGAAACATTTGGTGGTTAAAAAATGAACATTTGTAAAATCTTCTCTGTAACAAGATATATATTTCTCCTTCTGTAGATAAAATTTTCCTGAACCATAGCAATCAGGTCTTGTGAGTCATTTATAGGGTAATTCAGATATTCGACGCAGAGAATAAGCTCTGCCTGATAAAAGTTTCAGGGGAGAGAGGTATAAACTTAATCTTAAGACATCATCTGAAACAATATCCTTAAATATTTGTTTTTACAGAAAAAACTACTTTACCATAGGAAAAGGTTAAATTTAACGTTATTTTATTTCATGGAGAAATGACTAATGCTCATTAATTATTCAATTTTATAGATTGAAACATTAAGTAATCTTGTCATATTTTCTCCTGAAGGAACCCCTGCTATGACATCGAGAGGAATGAAAGAGGCTGACTTTGAAAAAGTGGTGGAATACCTAGACCGCGGTGTACAGATAGCCAAGAATGCTCAGAAAAAGACAAGTATGTGGTTAATCACTTTGTTGTATCAGGAAAAATTTGAAATTCTATGATGGTACATATATATATATATATAATGTGAAAACACATGTATTGCTAAAAAAATAGAGAAGCGAATCTGGAAATATTGCATACCAAAAAGTTGCTTGAAAATATTTTCTTTTTAATGTTGAAATTTGTCGCTAATTGATGCTTACACGTTGTTTTTTTTAACAAATCTATCTCATAGACCAACAGTGTGTAAATACTGTATACAGAAAATTTCCATCTCTAGCACCCTCCGCTATGAGGGCGAATTTATCATTACAGCGAACAGTAGTAAGCGATATAGTAATCGAAGTACGTGTAATCAAATGTGAAGGGGAAAATGGATTCCATTGGCGTTGGGTGAAAATTAGACTGGGCTAAAGATTCCCGGTACACAGTAGTAAAAATGACTTTTTCTTCATGCCCCTTTTAACAGAGTCATGCTTATTTGAGAATTTTCTGGAAGGTATGTAGTGAATCCAGAACATTTATAGAAGAATAGAGAGGTGTTTCTTGATATGATATTTATGTGCCTTTCTTTCAGAAACCATCAAAGAATTCAAGGCGTTCGTAGATGAAGACGCAGACATCCAGTCACAGATAGCCACTCTCCGTGGCGAAGTAGAGGCCTTCTCCAAGAGTTTCTCCATGCCAGGACTAGAGGAGCGATAAACAGAACAAATTGACTTTGTTTCTTTAGCGCTTTCACAACTATCTAGATTCATATCGACATGAGGGAATTCTTCATTCTTCTCCTCTAGATCTGCTGTTACGATTAGACTTTGACATAAAGACACAAGTTTGTGTTAAAACGTTTTAAATTAAAATGAGCTGTAAAAAAAATAAGCATATACCTCTACAAAATTTTACCACCTTAATATGTAAATAGCTGTCTTTTTATCCTTGAATACTGATACAGGGGTTTGTATATTATAACCAGTTTCAGTGTGACACTATAATTAGACCATTTTATTCTATGAAATTTATACTGCTTATAGCCGTACATTGTCCCAAGTCAGAAACTGGAACAAAAAATTAGTTTCATAATTTAATAGACATCGATCAGTTCTATGATGTGAAAGCTCAGTTGTCTATTTGAACTGTCCAAACAGATGATGTGACATTATGTAAAAGATTTTGCCGATTTCTTCCTTATGCTTCATGGTAGAAATGACATTGTTGTTTAGAAAAACAGCTAGTAATGTTATATTCACACATCTTTTATGTGCAATTTATTTGTAATTTCAATCAATATTTTAATTAATTCTTCAAACTATTCAACTTATTTTGATAATAGGTCTAAAGGTTGAATGTAAGAGGTTAGTTTCTTACTTGAACCTTAGAATATTTAATTACTGGGCAAGAAATAAATGGTTTTATAAAACTAATGTAGGTAAGGTCTGAATGAGTTTAATAGTTTTACAGTCTGAATGTATAAGATGTTTTTACATATTGAGATTTGTGTATGTTAATTGAGATTGTTTTCTACTTAAATCGATATTGCTTTCACAGTTTATTTTTAACTTTAATTTTCGATCTTGTCTGGTGTTATTTAACTAACTCTCCTCGTAGTGAGGTTCTAGTCTTCAAAAAGGCCAAGATTAATACTATTTTTATACATTTCAATTTTAACTTCAAAACTGTTATATAGTCTTCTGGTCAAGATTATTGAGAATATTTTACCCGGGTGTGAAATGGTATTATGCTGAGGTTTGTGGCAGTTTTAAAGACTGCCAACAATTCTAATTAAAATTAATGTCATTAACATGATAATGAATAGTGCTTTGCTGGCGTTTTACTAAACTGGTTGACCTATTGAAAATTTTGCTCTTATTTTTTCTTTGAAAGAAATTTTAGTGATATATGGCAAACAGCTTCTTTATGTTTTCAAAATAGTGATACAGAACTGAAGTAATTTACACATTTAATCTTTTAAAATATCCATGCTTTTACTTGTATCTGAAACCTGCCGTTTTTAGTTGGGGCCATTTTGAACACTTTTATAATGCATTGTGCCATTGCTCTTCCTGTGATGATATAAGAAATACACACACAACCTTTTAAGAATGAATTAGTTCTTAAGTTTACTACATGTATTCAAAATATTGTACCTTGCTAAGAGTAAAACCATTTTAGTGATTTGGAAACCTTGGATACCTGGTAAGTGTTGGGGGGGAAGCAGTTTGTCGGTTTTGGGTGCCAGTTTAGTAACTGTGATGGTTTATAATATTCTTTAAATGTGTTCAGTTAATCCTTTAAGATCTGTCAAATTATTTTATGATGCATACAAAACAAGTAGAAATAAATTAAAAGAAAACATTTAAATTTATTTTCTGTTTAATTTTGAAAGAAATAAAGTTCACTTTATGACAATTATTTTTGATTCTTTAGTATTAATATAAAGTGTCTTCTTGAGTTTTATTGATATTTTTACATCCTTGACAGAATAGTTAAGTCAAGTCAAAGTTAGTATGTTGGTATTAATATGGTATCATATATACTCTGCTTTGGTGAAGAGATCTGAGAAAAAAATCTTTTTGTTTGTTTTTGAAGCTTTTATGTCACATATATATATTACAAAATTGATACAATAATTTGTGTTTAATTTTCCCAAAATGGTGTTGATCTTGTCATCGAATAACAATCTGTGAGGAGTATTAAAACGTCTAAATAAAATATAATGAAAGTTTCCTATTGTTTGGTTTGATATATGTGTCTGCCTTACATTGTTTCACAAATGACATATCTGTACTCAACATCATCCTCTATACTCGAGGGGTTACACTCACTTTCGCACTCTGCACCCCTGGAATATGTCGTAGCAAAATCGAAGGCACGAAGATAGCTGTTTAATTGGTCACCAGTTAATAAATCCGACCAATCGCTAGGCTGATACCTGTCCTCTGAAGATTACAAAGGAGCAGCACCTGACTTCAGAGCCTGTCAATTTTTACCGTTGCGTGACCGCTCGATTCTTTTGATGTAAATCAAAGGATCAATCTAGTCATCTTGTGTCGTCAACAAGATGGCGCACACTGCGCCTTCAATTTTGCTTTGACATATTCCAGGGGTGCAGAGAGCGAAAGTGAGCGTTACCCCTGTAGTTTCAAGGATGACTCAACATATGACCACACCCTTTAAATTCTTGTGAGTTGGTGCTGTTGTTGGGGGCAACTTTGTCACTCACAGTGTTTAGGTCTGTATACTAAAGTTTTCAAGGTCGCAACTGGTCAAGGGTTGTTCACCGAGCATGTATTAAAGTGTTACTAGACTGTTTCTCGCAACATTTACGTTTGAACAATTCTCGAATAGACTAAAGTACAAAATAAAATCAGTCTAAATTTTACAGTTTTCTTTAATAATGCAGTCACGTGTATCTTTAATCTTATGTACAACAAATTCCTTTGATTACAATTCACTCGTTTTCAACTTTCTCTTTTTCTTTCCCTTTTCCACCTTCTTTCTCTTTGACAATTTTCTTGGTCAATGTTGGGTCTTTTGTCCTTTCCTTAACAGTGAACAAATCGTCTATGTTTGAGTGAACTTGTATGGGTTGTCGAATGTTTGTCCACACGTAACACAAATTTGGATCCCGAGATATTGTTGGGTACGGGCCCTGTTTACATTTGAAATAGTCGGAAGGTGCGTGACAAACGAATTCCATAAACTCCATTTTCCTTGGTAGATCTTCCTCAGGTCCTACAACAATCAAAACAAGTCTCAAAAACAGCCCACAAAATGTCTGCCAGATCCGAAACATAATTAACTCCATTTTATAATTAGAAATTTCTAGACTTACACTTAATAATAATATACAACATTCGATATAGCACCCTATCTAGGTAACATAAGCCACTCTAAAGCGCTTTACAGTACATAGATATACAATTAGGATATATATACAATTTTTGAGGAATTTACTGGCGCTGCCTGCCTTATCAGGCACTAACTACTAGTCCTATGCCACCTGGCTTATATCTCCCTATGTGTGTATGCCTGCGTGTGTGCTGGAGATGTATTGTGTTCTGTTTGTAGTGGGACTGTGCTTCCAACATATTTTTATAGTGCCACCTCACTTGAATGCTACATCACAGATACCGCAGCATCCACCCCAGACCATTTTATACTCCACATGGGTTGTTGGAGTTGTGTGGGCAGGAGAAAAACACTTTCTCTGATATTCCATGCGTGTGACGACTTCGGGGATCGAACCCCTGCCGCCTGCGTGGAAGGCCGAAGTGTTAACCACTCAACCAATCCGCCCATAAATGCAACACCTTGATGTAACATTTTCACAAATTTTACTATTGATCGCATTTACTCTAAGTGAATGAAGTTTGTGCAACAAAACAAAACTAGAACATAATACATTTAACTATTTCCAATCACCAAGACCGACTGAAATTTCATTCTACCTGATAAGACACTAACAGCCCTGGCCTAGGTTGTAATTCTGCACAGGGGTGTTGGATAGGTTGATTCCAACCAAGGGTTGTACAAATGGGATGAAACTCAAGGCGTGTTGAGGGTTTTGTACTAATTTAAAAAATCCAGAGGGTTGCATTTCCCTAGTTGGCACCGATGAAAACTGAAACTTTCCTTGATATGTAATGGACATTGAACAGTAGTTGCTATCATTTTATACGAGACATAGGACAGTTTGGACCAATTAAAATTGGAACTTCTTAATATTATAACGGACATTGGACAGTTCCCATCATGTAGCAGACATAGGACAGTTTGGACCAACTAGAACTGTAAGCCAAAGGCTAACTAATACCCCCCCTACAGTATAAACCAGAACTGTACGCTAAAGGCTTACTTATGCAAATCAATATAGTCTCCCACCAGTAATGAGTTATGGCAATCACTGTTTTATTAAAAACAAAATTAAAATAACAAAAAAATAAACAAGTATTTCGCACAAAGGGGCATAACTCCATCAAAAAGGGTAGAAATCCCAAATTAAAATACTGGTGCACAACTACATAAGATACCGATCATTCATGCAAAGTTTCAATGAAATCCACCTGTTCGTTAAGAAGGAGTTGTGCGGACAACTATTTTGCAAAAAGGGGCATAACTCCATCAAAAGGGGTCGCAATCCCAAATTAAAATGCTGGTGCACAATTACATAAGATACTGATCATTCATGCAATGTTTCAATGAATTCCGCCTGTTAATTAAGGAGGAGTTTTCCGGACAATTTACTGCAGACGACAGACAGACAGGGTGATTCCAGTATACCCCCACTTACTTCGTTGTGGGGGTATAATTAAAACTGGAACTACCTAATATTATAACGGACATTGGACAGTTCCCATCATGTAGCAGACATAGGACAGTTTGGACCAATTAAAACTGGAACTACCTAATATCATAACGGACATTGGACAGTTCCCATCATGTAGCAGACATAGGACAGTTTGCACCAATTAAAACTGGAACTTCCTAATATCATACATTGGACAGTTGAGACCAGTGAGGACTGAAACTTTACCCAATATGTAGCAGTTACCAGACAGTTGCTATTATGAATTGGACATAGGACAGTTTGGATCAATGAAAACTAGGACTTTACCTAATATATATGTGGCAGGATCAAACCTATCTGTCGGACTACTCTGTGACGGCAGGAGCCAGGAAATTATGGCACTTTTTTCGTTGTATTGGTCCTTCATGAATCCTCGGATCTGTGCGTAGTACACAGATGAGTCGTGGTCCACCAGAGACACTATGTCTCCAATTTGAAAATAGCTACCCTGTAACAGAAATGAACATCAGAATATTTGTATAATTCAACATGTTTTTCTAAATCATCATTAGTTAAGTCCCAGCTGTTGTCAGTCTGTAAGATATGTATCAAAGTGTCAGAACCTGTGTTTAAGGATATAAAGACCCATTTCTTTATGTCTGCATTTTAGGCTCTTGCACAGACACAACAGTGAACACCCTATATATATTTATTTATGCATATTGAGATAATGCTGATCTGTTTGCCTTTTTTTATCTACTTTATACATAACTGTCACAGACGGAATACTAATAAGATAAGGCTATTCTTGTGTTGTACAGCGCCTTATGGTAATTTTACAAATTACACAGGGCTATATCTATCTACTTACATCGTGGAAAACACTTTCGCCTGTAATTACTGTAGAGATAGCTGTGGGTGCCTTCACTGGTTGCTGAAATCATAAATTGTAAACATTATGACATACTCTGTGTTTATATAAACAAAGAATCAAAAGTAATAGCTAAGATATGGACATTATATATATTTGTGATTTTTTTGAGGCAACATGAATCTACATCCTGCCAACACTAAATAATTACATTAATGTTTCACCAGTTACTACATTTGAAAAAAAAAGCTAATGGTGAACAAAATCCATATTTGTACATTTGTATTGTACCTCTTTAAAATTAAATCTTAAAGGGCGCTAATTGATATTAAAATGATACTTCATACAGCTTAATGTATGAACATTTCAATCTCTATCATGAGAGACAAAACGGCTTTTATGAGTTCAGAACTTACACTCTTCTTGAAAATTATTCTTCGACTTTTCCCTTTCGTAGCTACCGCTTTTGCCACAGATTGGAACTTGTGTTTTGACGGTTTGATCCTTGCACTCTTTCTTAGAACGGGCCCAGCTCCTCCGTTGCTTCCATTGGACTTCACTAAAATGATAGACCCGTTAATTCCATTGCCGTCTTTTCCGTTCGTTCCTCCATTTTTCAAACTGCACGCATTACAAAGCACTTCCCCGTCTCCTCCCTTCCTCCATATTGCCGAGTTTCCTGTTTTACATGTCGAACAAATCGGCTTTGACCCAAGCGGCATGTTGGCGCAATGATTCAGTGATAAATTTAATCGCTTTAATATGATTTCTTATTATTAACTCCAAACCTGAATTGGCTTTACACTTTTGCCTCCATATTGGCTTTCTCAGCACAATGTTAGAGAAATAAAACGCTTGATTTACTATGAAAATGCGTTGGATAAAGCGTTATCGAGACAAAGATGATATTTATCTACCTCCTAGTTTAGAGAGTACTCATCGCACTCATTCTCAACTAAAAGGGCTTTTACGATATCATAGTTTGCACGATAGCCTTGTCACGTCCCTTTAATTTTGTGACGTCTATTTTTTATGTTTTATTTATTATCCAGTCTTTTGAGGATTTAACAAAATTTTAATAATATGTTTTACGGCACGGCCGTAAGTGAGGGCGGAGCCAGGTTGTACTGTAAAGGTATCGGAATATCGGTACTGTACTCTTTCAAGCATTGAGTGATGTGTTGGAATTACTAGATCAGACCTACATGTATAGCTATACAGTGTATATTACAGTTAAGTTTCCTTTCTTGATTTCTTTTTGGCTGTCAAGATGGTTGATATCTTGAAGTTTTCCGCCTAGGCATATGATGACAGGACATTAATGTGAGAATGCGAAAGGTTCATTAGACTCTACATAAGTATTTAAATTTGCACCTCTTGAATCCATTGCAAAAATCAAGTGCAGCATATTCTACAAAGACATTGAAATAAAACATATTAGGATGGATATTGTTAATCATGTATCATAGTTTGCACGATAGCCTTGTCACGTCCCTTTAATTTTGTGACGTCTATTTTTTTATGTTTTATTTATTATCCAGTCTTTTGAGGATTTAACAAAATTTTAATATAAGTTATTTTAGTAATTGAAGTAAAGTTCTTGATTTTTCCAGTGAATATCTAGCTTATTTTTTAAAAGAATTAACATTTAAAGCTGATACAACATATATATATCATGTTATGGAAGTTTATTCCACATTGTCACTGTTCTGATTGAAAAACATTTTTTTTTCTGAGCGTTTTTATTGATTGTTTAGGGAATATTTTGTTGATCTGTCCTCTGCCACTGTGGCGATTGGCGGCATCTTTCCATAGTGTAATAGCATTAAAACATTCATTATCATAAATTTTACTTACTGTTGTGTACAGTTCTATCATGACTCCCTTAATCCCTATGAAGGCCAGTGTTGGTAACTTTAGTTTCTCCAACCTCTCACTGTAAGTCAGGTCTTTCATTCCCGGGAGACACTTAGTTGCTATTCTTTGAACTAGCATAGTCCAGCTGCGAATGACTTGATGTCCATGAACTGAAATGTTCTCATGAGAAGTGTGAATATAGAGTTTGTTTGGTTTTTTACTCTTTTTTTCTGAGATGTGTTCATCAAATGATAGAGTCTATACTTACTCCTATATCCTTTTCTTGATTTTATCTCTGCATGTACTTTCCATTGAGATGAAAGGCTGGTCTAACCTCAGTTTGTCCTCTGCTTCTTTCCTTGCCTATTCTCATGTTTACACTTGTCTAGGTGCATCTTTAGAAGCCAGGTGTCACCCCACTTACACATTGTATCAAGATCTTTCTGAAGCTCGACATAATAGTTTAGTGTCGTCTGCAAACCTGGGAGGTCATTAACAAAAATTAAAAACATCAATGGTCCTAGCACGGAGCCTTGAGTGATTCCTGATTCTGTTGTAGATCTATCAGGAATGTTGATATCCAAGAGATTATTTGACTGGAGAAGTTATATTATTGTATTTCACTTGATGAGTCTATTGTGTGGAACTTTATCAAAAGCTACAATCTATAACCTGTCCTTTATCCAGGGCTTCTGTCCATTTATCCAAGACTTCGAAAAGTTGTAAACGTGTTGATCTTCCAGATATGAAACCATACTGCTTGTCCGATTTTTTTTTGTTATTTCTCATGAATTTTGTTATATGTTCCCTTACTATGGACTCTAGAACTTTACACACCACTGATGTTAAACTAACTGGCATGTATTTAATATTCCTAAGGGCCTGTTCGTTTATGCGGAACAACCGGTTTAACCATTTATAAGTGTAACAATTTCAGGTATAAATCCTGGCGGACCTGCAAATGTTTATGCAGGCCTTGCAAGGATTTGTCAAGGCTCGCCTGAAAGCAGCATCAGATAACTAGGTCCGACGTTATTTTTAATAAACGAACAATTGTGGTCCGATCGGTTTGACCGTTTACACGAAAACGTTGCCTAAGTAATCACATTAAGAAGTATTAAAGGTGTAAACAAGTCTTCATTTTTGGACTTCCTCTCTGCCCACACTTACTCTCAGGTTCTATTAAAACCTTCTGTTCTTCCTGTAGCTGGAATTCGTTGAATTATCCCGTAGATCTTTTTCTTTTCTCTAAACACTCTTAAACCGCCACCGGTCTACTTTTGGAGGACGTACATGCAAGTCGAATGTTTTGCATTCTAAGCTCGAATATCGGCTTTAATTACCAGTTCCCTTAAACCACGGAATTATGACCTTAACTGAGTAAGTTTTGTTGAAGGTCAAGATAACAATGTTCTATATATGGATACCTGTGAGAACGTTTTTCATTTTTTTTTTCTAAAGTGCCAAGTTTAAACCAACGAAAACGTTGTTTATTGCGGCTGGTTTTAGAAACTGCGACCAGAGGTGATTAAACCATACACCCTCACATGTACAATATGCCGATTTCCTCCTAGCAAATACCGGAGAATGTAAATAAACAATTTGATATTTTGGAAATGGCCGACCACCCGACAATCTGACATCTGTTATTTTGATTATGACGAACCATCATAACACAGTGGCATACTTATCATTAAAAATCTAAGTGGTGCAAGTCCCTGTTTTAATGCCAAACTGTTAATCATTATTTTTTCGTGTAAAATGACGTCTCTCAGACAGTTTTGGGAGACATTACCGTCTTTTTCCGATGGTGCCCCCATCCCATTTCTAAAATCATGGATCCGCCTCTGCCAGACTTAGCTAGGGATTGGTCGGTTAAAATCAATCACAGTATCAGACAGGGTCTATAGGCCGAATTTATCATATCAAACACTTAAATACAGCTGTACACTTTCTATTATCCATCCATGTCCAATGCCCTCTTCGGAATCCGGAAATGTTTCCCGTGTTGACAGTTTTCAGTGTCTCCCAAATTGTAACGTCCTTGTTCGATACATTTCTTCAGTTTTGATTGGTTGGATGTTATGCGCAATGCGACATTTCAATAACAAGATACTATGGGATGCTACTCCAGGTTTGTCGGTGATCGACAAGGAGAATATATTTCAAAGGCGGGACCGTGATGTATGTCAAAGGCATGGTCTGACCAGAAACAAACTAACATTTTGTTGTCAGTAGATACATCATGGCTCGTTTGTACATCTGTCTTTTTAATTACTGTAAAGTGCTTTTATTTCGCGGGGAGGGGGTTATATTTCACTATATTCACGATTTACTTTCAAAGCAAGAATTCAAAACCCCGGAAAAAAATTGATTATAGGTCCACCATTTTAGGTCCACCATTTGTTACTATCAATGTCATGAACGTGTTATACCAAGGCACTCATACTTCCTTCTGTGTGTCTGGTTATATTGGCACTTGATACAAGTACGTTCCGTAAACGAGAAAATACTTTAGCTTTTTTTAACGAGTATTTTATCGTTTACGGAAAGTGCCGACGGTTCCCGATTTGTACGTATAGATCGCAGGACCCGGTGGAACGCGAATTTACTCCATTTTGGAATTGATGTAACGTGAATTTAAGACCCGGCGAATACGTGACAGGTACGAAAACGCGAAAATTTGACACAGTGAAATTAAACCACTTGACAGTGTTGTTCTTCAAATTCTGCTGCCTTGTCAACTTTTCAGAAATATGACTGATTTTCTGAAACCCAATCTGTCTCATGGTTTCTTGCACTGCCCTTCATATATTTTGGTATTGCAGTTTGGAAATATTAAAAGAGGAAAAAAACGCATTTAAAAAACACAGGACGCTGCAGGTATTCTTCTTGAATGGCGATAGGCAGCTGAATGAAGCTGACGACCTCACAAAACCATACATAATCTGACGATATCTATAAAAATAGCTACAATCACTCCTTACAAACAGAAATTACGAGGCTGACGATCTCACAAAACCATACATAATCTGACGATATCTATAGAAATAGCTACAATCACTCCTTACAAACAGAAATTACGAGGCTATAGCCATTGAAGAACTCGCGGAAGAGGCCTTACTCGATCCAGGAGTCCCCCAAAGAACAGTACTAGGATCTTGCTGTTCCCTTGCCACAAAATCAACTGTCCGGCTAGTTGCCGATGATTGCTTACTCTACAGATAGATAAACTCACAGAAGGACTATTTTATTTTGACTATTTCAAAATGACCTAAAACAGCTAGAAATTTGAGCTGCAAACAGGGGAATAACGTTCAATGCAAAAAAAAAAAAAAAAAAAAAAAAAAAAAAAAAAAAAAAAAAAAGAGAAAGCAGATCTTATACTTACTTAACGAGAACATTTTAGAAGAAGTACAAGCAAATCCTAAGCCTACAGCTACCAGGAGATTTGTAATGGAAATAACGCATAACAAACATCCTCAAAAGACAGGATCCATCCTAGTATTCTCGCAACGTAACCTAAAACACTGTCCAAGATAATATAGGAAAACAGCATGCATTCACCCGCCCTGTTGGACCCATTATTGAATATTGATAAAAATAATTTGGGTTCCATTTATTAAAAACAGGCATGGGTCAATTGGTAAGTGTTAAAAGGAGATTCGTCTAAGACGAACCAGAGAAGAAGATTCATGACAAAACTCCCGCTAAACACCTGTAACTATCGCCACTTACGAAATTGCTGAAGTGCTAATTTCGTCAATGGCCAACAAAGGCAAGTGGCATCACGAAAAAAAAAAAGAATATGACAACGGTGATTCTAAGACTGCGAAACATCACGACCTATACCAAATAAAAGCAACAACAGAACAGTCATAATCTACTAACGGATAATGGAACTGTGCGTACAAACAAATAAAACATACAAAGTTGTGATACATTTAAATATGAAACCTTAAACAAATAGCATGTGTTCACTCCTTAGCAACCTTTAAGGAGGAATGCTTTTTGTACACTTGCATTTTTGTTGTTCTTGTGTACGTGCTGAATTTTCCAGTTTTCGCTGCTAGCAAGTAAGTGTGACAATTTTTATTGTTTTTTACTGTTGTATAAATCTTTATATCCATGTTAAACAGGAAAAAAAGTCATGGTGAACGTGTTTGGTAAGCTATGCCTTGAGCGAGTGAATGTCAGCAACCAAGCTGTTGGAATGATTCAGCCTGGTGTTGCCCAAAATGTCGCTGCTAGACACTTTGGTATGCACCGGATCACTATTCGTGTCTTCTGGAGACGTTTCCAACAGTCTTGTAACACCAGGAACCACCCCAGGTCTAGCCCCGTAGTCATGATATAGATCTCATGTTCAAGGATGAAAACTGTGCTCAATCCAACTTCATTGTAACTCGCTTAAATCCTGTAACATGGTCAAAAAGTCAAGTGTAAATATTGAAAAAAGTATTCGCCTTGATGTCTCACAAAAAATCTTCCATATCATTGGACAAAATGTGTTTTCATTATTAATCGAACACAGGAATACGACAGTTGGTTTGAGTACAAAATCGAGCATGATAACCGTTTCATGACGACGGGCCCAGGACGTCAGCATTTGACGTTATTATGCGTAGACAATTACCAGGAATATACACCTGCGGTGAACTGCTTCCAAACTGCAGTTCGTCCATGCCGTCCTCCCCATGCTACGACGGCATCGTGATAAACGTCTTGCTGAAATTGCTACAGGAGACACCGCTGCTTTACTAGACGGGATTGGGTGTGTATCTTGTTCTCAGACGAGTCTCGGTTCCACGTGGACAGTAGGGATAGCCGCTCCAGAGTGTGTACCATCACGTTAGAGGACGTTTTCAGAAAAATAATAGCGCGGAACATCGTTCTGTCGGTAGTGGTAGGGCGGTATTTTGCGGCATAACAGCGAATATCAGAACGCCCCTTGTGGTCATTGATGGAAATTTGACCGGTGCCCGCTACCGCAATGAGATCCTACAAACTCACGTCATCCCGTTCGTGCAACAACATCACGTTACGCTGCAACATGACATCGCTAGATCATCACAAGTTGCACGCGTTGTCTACTGATTTCCTGACTGGGCAGAATGTGGATGTGTTCCAATGATCTACATATCGCCTGACCTTTCGTCCATTGTGAATGTCTTGGACGAGATGAAGGTCGGCTACGTACGTCAACTGCCAAATCAGCCTGTGGCGTTGGCTGAGCTTTCCCATGCATCTGGAACGGCATTCCCAAAGATCGTGTTGGGTCCATGTGGCGTCGGTGCAATGCGTGCATTACTGCTAACGATGGGCATACCCGACATTGAAGTTGTGAACTGGCACAAGATAACTTTGTTTGTTGTACTGTACTCTCGCTATGAAATAGGTGTTACTTGGACATGTTTGAATGGATTGATCTTTGATGCAATGTGTCTTTTACGATTATGTCACGAATGGTTACTTACGTTATGAAGGTATTGTTGAATATATAACATTTACCTATGAACAGTTCATTGAATTTGTGGGATCGGTGAACAAATTTTCCAGTATCGAAACATATTCATAGGTCTCCTGGGATTCATTGTAATCATATTTTCCTTCATACAAATTTTGCTGACAGCGAAATATGTTCAAAGATGTTGTGGGTTTTTCGGTCACCTGAGACAAAGTCTCAAGTGACCTATTCTAATCGCCTTTTGTCCGTCGTCGTCCGTCGTGCGTCGTGCGTCGTCCATCGTGCGTCCGTAAACAATTAACATTTTCAACTTCTTCTCCAAAACCCATTAACCAATTTCAATGAAATTTTGCAGAAACCTTCCAAGGCCAAAGGTCAACCAAAATTGTGAGTTATATGGTCCCCAGCCCCCAGCCGGCGGGGCTAGAATTTCAAAAATCTTCTTTTCAAGACCTAGATATGGTAGAATCAAATACTCTTTATAGATGGAACGGTCTAAAGGTGCCCTACTAAAAGTGTGAATTTCATGACCATGGGATATCACGTTTCCCCCTGGGGAGGGGGTAAACTTTACTATAGTTTATATAGGGAAATCAATTTTGGACCAAAATTTGTTTAATTTCCATTGGAAGTAATTCAATTTGGGTTAGCATTATTAGTATTGGATAGCAGTTTGATGGTATGCACATATTAGCCCTGACTGACCCCCAGGGGCTGATGGGTAGGGCCAAAAAAGGGTCGAATTGACTGAAATTTCCTTTATTATGATTTATAATGGCAAACGATACTTTGGATATTACATGTTGATAACTTGATTGGAATTATAACCCTGAGTTGACAGTTTGATATCTTGAAAATTTTGAGCCAGCCCTACCCCCAAGGGCTGTAGGGCAGGACCCAAAGGAGTCAGTGTGCTTAGATTTCTACATTTTCCTTGTTTAGAATCAGAGGTGCTAGTTTCAAATACTTTTCAGTCTTAATTCTGTATGCTAGATATTGAATAAGGTGGTTTTATTGTGTTTTTTTGTCACGATGAATAATATTTCTGTTCATGTTTTAAAAACAAAAATCAACTCTCTGTATTAATATATCAGAACTCAGGGGACCGTTAAGGCCCATGGGCCTCTTGTGGTAATTCATGAGCGCAATCCACAATACTGGCGTCACTAAATGAATACTCAAAACATTATTGGATCAGTTGGTTTTCATTTATTTTTATTCATATTTCTTCACATTAAAATGTCATTCATTGTAATACAATATCACAGTTCGTAAAGCCGCTGATTCTCAGTACGACGAATTTGCCAGATAAAATTCACTCTTCATAGATCTAGAAGGAAAGAATTTTGTTGAGTGATGTATAATGTAAATAACGTCAATGTACCCAAATCGATACCAATTTCCAACGTTTATCTTAATATCGTATTAACCACTTGATGGTTTTCATAACTTTGTTCTATATTGACAAAGAGTGAATATGAACCCTCCTTCCCCGCGTTGGTTTGGTTATAACAACGCGTGTGTTAACAGGAGACACACGAGTGCCCCGTTACTAAGTCATCATACTCCTTCGTCAGCTCCTGTTAAGATATGTGTACAACTTCCGGTTTAATATTTTTCTCCAGAGGATTCTGAAACCCCTATAAGACAATTACGGTAACGAGTTTTTCTGATTAACGGATTCCGAGATAAAGAATATCGACGGTGTCAGCATTTCCAGTCATCGATATTAGGATGGAAGACTAAAGTTAAGATCAACTTCCTCGTAATGAATTTTTCCTTTGGCAGCTACTCCGGTTTTAATTTCGTCGTAGCTGTCACTGGTCACTCGGTCGTAAAAACAATCTGTATTAGACCTGGGCCGCTTACGAGATTTATTTTCAAACTCATCGTATGTGTCCATATCTATCTCCGTACTACAATGCCTTACACAGGAATCCGCGTCATCATAATCATCGTCATTAAACGTTTCTTTATCAGTACTTTCATTTTTGTCTTTATCAACACTTTCGTTACATTTCTCGGTTACTTTCAATAATGGCGTTCTTTCTTCATTTTTGCTAATTTTTAAATTTTTAACTTCTCCCGACGATGATGAACTTCTAAGACTTCCACTTTTGCGATTCGAAACAAAGGTTGGATTTCCGGTTTCTGCACACAGTTCAACTTCAGTGTATGCGTCGTCATCCGGTTCCGGGAAAGTTTTCCCTCTTGCGTTTAAAATTCCATTTTCACTTTTTATTGAATTTTTATTATCAACGTTGTCCGAGATGTCATAGAGGTGTTCCGATTTCTCATCGGGAGACTGTTCGTCCTTCCGCATAAATTGAGCGTCCATTTGCTCCGTAATGTTGTCTAGGTTTCCAATATCCTCTCCCGAATCCTCGTTGCTAGGCACCCCATAACTGACAACAATGCTATGTTCAAGGTTTGAGTAGCTAATCGTAGGCCCTTTAAGCATGTTCAACTGCCTTTTCTGTTCTTTGAACCTATTTAAGAAATAAATAATCAAATTAATTCAGATGATTAAAAATGTGGTGGTTTACAATAATAAGATTGACATTTTATCATAAATCAAACGAAACAAATTATCATGAAAATGAACTTTACCGAATTGTTTGCAGATTTTGACACATTTTTTGTGTGTGTGATACTTTTCTTGATATATTTCTTCCTGAAATTAGTTTTATAACGCAGGTATATTTGTTTCTCTATAATCAAAACATGTGACGTCTCTCCAGTGATTTTCTTAAGTGTGTATTGCAATCCTTTCCCAAACTTAATCTACGCTCTAACGGAATGTTAAAATATTGGCTTTTTGGGCAAAGTTTTCCCAGCTGCTGACAATAAGCTTGCGTTAAAACTATCGATCTATGACGGACGATTTTTAAAACTGAAATATCTTCCAAGCATTATATACCATTTCTTGATAATTTATTGTGACGTCATCCCGTGACGTTTTAAATGACGCCAAATTGAAGATTTACGCAATTCTGATGTTATTTAGCTAATTTGCTCATTGATATTTCTTTTGAAAAGACAAACTGTATTCTACAACCAGTATGATATGGGTCTCAATTTTATTTTACTTTAGGCTCCATTGTAGTCATGCATTTTGGAGAGCATTTATCATGACGGATTGGTATTTTCGGAATGCACATTCTACCAGCGATTACCTGTTCCAGGATATCTAATTCAACTACTTTATAAAGCAAATATTATTAAATGTTCACTTAAGGATTGGAATCATCATGAAAAATCCAATCGGAACACAAACGTCAAAGATTAATGTGATTTGCAGTAATTATGTTTATTAAATAAAAGAAAGTCAGTTTACCTGTACAGGAGAACCGTAAGCACGCCCAGGATAACAGCGAGGACAAGACCAACCAACACCACGGTACAGATCAGACCTTAACACACAGAAATTCAACGTTACCATAGGACAAGACCAACCAACACCACGGTAACGATCAGACCTTAACAAACAGATATACAACGTAAAAAACGAGGGTCACAAACACCACGGTAACGATCAGACCTTAACAAACAGAAATACAACGTTACCATAGGACGAGGGTCACAAACACCACGGTATAAATCAGACCTTAACAAACAGAAATACAAGGTTACCATAGGACGAGGGCCACAAACACCACGGTACAGATCAGATCTTTACACACAGAAATACAACGTTACCATAGGACGAGGGTCACAAACACCACGAAACAGATCAGAACTTAACACACAGAAATACAACTTTACCATAGGACGAGGGCCGCAAACACCACGGTACAGATCAGACCTTAACACCCAGATATACAACGTTACCATAGGCCGAGGGCCACAAACACCACGGCACAGATCAGACCTTAACACCCAGATATACAACGTTACCATAGGCCGAGGGCCACAAACACCACGAAACAGATCAGCCCTTAACACACAGAAATACAACGTTACCATAGGACGAGGGCCACAAACACCACGGTACAGATCAGACCTTAACACAAAGAAATACAACGTTACCATAGGACGAGGGTCACAAACACCACGAAACAGATCAGACCTTAACACACAGATATACAACGTTACCATAGGACGAGGGCCACAAACACCACGAAACAGATCAGACCTTAACACACAGATATACAACTTACCATAGGACGAGGGCCACAAACACCACAATACAACCATAGGACGAGGGCCACAAACACCACGGTTCAGAACAGACGTTAACACACAGATATACAGCTTTTATTTTCACAGAGCTGAATAGTTAAAGTAAAATGATAAGACAGACATGTAAATAATGATTAAGGGACCAATTACACGGGACCTTTTGTAGAATCAGCCGCTGTATTATTTTATTTATATATTGAGAGTATATGGAAGGGTTGGATATTGACCAGCCACCTCGATGCTACAGTTTAAAGAAATTTAGCTTCCATTCCCCCAAAACGGGACTTTGAGATCATAAAGGTTGTAACATATTAACAAATATTCTAAAAAGGGTGTAGGTAAATACAGTTGAAGGGAATATGGTGGATTGTCACCCATGAATCGAATGGCCTGTCACTGTACCACTACATGATCGTACGTGGCTTGATATACTCATTAGTGTTAAACTCAAGAAAGAAAAATATTGTGTTAGGGCCATGGTAGGTATTCCTTTACAGCAACATTTTCGAGATAGGTTAACTCAAAAGAAAAAATATTAATGACACATAAAATCAATTTTGTGTTTGTGCATTAAAACAGGTTGAGAACACTTGGTAAGGTTCCACATACGTTTGCAATATAATATAGTATAATATAATATAATTATCTGCGTCCGTTTTGCAGTTTTTGTTTTTGATTATTTTCACAAAATTGCTCTATCATGGACAAATGTGTCCTGAATAACGAGGGTTCATTATCTGTCTCATAACTAACCTATTATCATAGGTGACATGCCGGTGTAGGGAGAGGAGGTGATTGTTGCTATGATGGAGACTGTTGTCATGCGTCCAGTAGTGACATCCGGGCTAGTGCTGTCCGACATCATGTCATCATATGGTAAAGTTGTGATGTTACGAAGAACTCCTTCATCTGCAAGGCGGTAAACCATAATTATATTGTAATTATTTTATGAGTATAAGTTGTGTTGCAGTCACTTATTTCATATTTAAAACGCATGTTTAATGGTATAAAATCTGTGTTAAACTGGAATGGCAGGCTAATTGATTGATAATGATAGTATGCGATATCAATATATGAATTAGTTGATATCATTCTACTTTACATAATTAGGTAGTGTCGAACAAACACCGTATGTGTAGGCATCGGGCAGTAAAAGGCTCTCCAGCGAAGTTTGAGGCAAACATAATTAAGTGGCAAACCAATTGTGTTAAGAGATGATATTCACAGATTTAAACAAGAGACAGGAGAACAAGGCAGGGATATAAAGTATAAATATAGATTTGAAAAAGACAAAATAATGTCAAGGCATGTAAAAGATAAACAGTGATTTAAACAAAAGACAGAATATCAAGATGGGGATATAAAAAACGAATAAAGATTAAACAAGAGAAAGAATAGCAACCCAGGGATAAAAAGGATAAATTTAAAACTTAAGCATAAGAAAGAATAGCAAGGCAGGATTACAAAGGAGAATTACAGATTTAAACAAGAGAAAGAAGAACAAGGCAGGGTTATAAACGATTAATACAAATTAAAACAAGAGAGGGAACAACAAGGCAGGGATATAAACGATTAATACAAACTAAAGCAAGAGAGGGAACAACAAGGCAGGGATACAATACCATTTTAACAAGAGAAGGGAAACAATTACAGGGGAAAAAGAGAAATAAAGCTTTAACAAGAAAAAGCAAAAAGGCAGGGATAAAAAGAGAAATACAACTTTAACAAGAAAAAGAAAAAAGGCAGGGATAAAAAGAGAAATACAGCTTTAACAAGAGAAAAAGTACAAGGACGAACACTAGACAAACACAGGTGGCTGTAGCTATATCTAAAATATATTAAGACACAAAAAGGCTAGGATGAAAAGATAAAAACGGATTTAAATAAGAGAAATGACAGCAAGCAGCATGCAGATTTAAAGAAGAAGCAGGAACTTTTTAAATATAAACTGTATCAAATATTCTTTATTTTCGCCAATTTTTATTTTCCATAGATATGTTAAAGGACGTTTATTTGTGAGTACAGTGGATCTTGAACAAGTTCTCATTTCGAAAGAACTTCAATGATTTTCATCAGAAATCAGAGAGAATTCGGAAGAGTTTTACTTTTTATCACTTATACAAGGAAAATAAGAATTCAAAAATGGAGAGTAAATCACTGTTGTTTCTCGTACTTGTAAAATGAAATCACATTATAACCTGAGGTTCAGCATAACTGTTATAGCACTTATCGAATACCTTTAAAGTGGAAATTCTTGCCTGTGGAATTGTTCGCGTTGGGGCTTTTTTAAACTGATCAAGGTATGGCAAGGTTTATGTTGGCAAAAGTTTGTGAAGTCTATTTATTATATATATTTATAATCTGTAGAATTTATCAATAGATATTTTGGCGGGTACTTTCCAAGCAACAGAAATTTCCACTTTCTGCAGTATGTGTACAGATCTTTTCTTGGATAAAAGTTCATTTGTGTGTCTCACCATTGTGGCAGATCACTCCTTGGAGCTGGTTACAATCCTTCTCCTCTGTATTGTACTCAGACTTCTTAAAATTAGTGACCGACAAACATTTATCATCATCCTGGATTTCAGCTGTTGGAAAAATATCAGAGAAAGACATTAAGCACGTTAGCATTAAATACATCTCTCAAAATATTTCCTTGTTGAAATACAGACACTTATGGAATACATTGCTGTTTGAATGAAATACCTGTTGTATACCGGGAAACTTTCCCCAAGTTTGTCCTTCACCACTTAAATATCTGTTCGCTCCACAATATTTATTATGTTATGTACGAAAATAAGCTGTCATGATATGTTTACCGCCATTTAGGAGAACGAAATGGCTGATTATATACCGTATGGATTTTCGTGGTCTTGTTTACTTTTTAATTCCATATTGTTTGCTTCTAATTTATGTAACATTTAAGGATCCTTCAAAACGAAAAACCGAAGTTGAAAGTTTTAAAAAGAAATCAACAAGAATGTTCATATCTTTCCTTATTTATATCTAAGTTAAGATTTCGATACTGTTCGCACTCTGAAACATTGCACTATTATTTTGATCATGTATATATGAAGGTGTTTCTTAACTCCCGTAACATTCCACAACGGGGCGTTAAGTGTTGTTATGTTAAATGTTGGTAATGTCCCCTATTCATATCTTAGTTAGGACTTCGATTTTGTTCGCCCTCGTAAACATTGCACTATTTGATAATTTGAATACATTAGGTATTTATTAGGTTGTTTCTAAACCCTAGCAACATTTGAGAACGTGGTGTGAAGTGTTTGCCTCTTCTGTCGGTATGAAAATCGGTGGATTTTTTGGTTAGACTTCGCGTTCAGTTCCATATCCAAACTTTGAACATACATTAACATGGATATACACAGCACAAATATATATATATATATATATATATAATAAAAAGAGATTAAATGTCCATGTGAAGGAAGTAAATATAGAAAAAATCAGATTAACGCCCGACTAAAAAACTAGCTGCTTTCACCCTTCACAGGGCTCTTCAGGTTTATTCAAAAGCAAATTAACGTAAAGAAAATACCTATTTTTCATTTGCAAGGCCTTTAGCTTCACATTTCTATTGATGCTAGAGTTATAGGACAAATGATTTTCAAATTTGCTTTACATTTGGTTTAGTTTTGCAAAATTTCAAAATGATTAAAGATTAAAACTGATGTATAATGGTATTAATTGATGGGGCTGGGATCTTAGTTTCGACTAGCGTCCTGGCCAGCATGCATGTATGTTAGTATTATTAAATTATATAGCAAACTTACAACTATTAAATTCCAACACGGTTGGACTGTACACGCCTGTCCAAAGTGTTGCACCTTCTTGAAGATCGCTCAATTGGTCTTTTGCAATGGGGCTTGTCTCGAATGTAGCCAACATCATATTGTGGTATTCGCACTCCACTTGAGCCTCTGCCCACGTTATGTTTCCCCGATTTATTACATAACTGGTATCAATTGTTCCTGTGTTTTTAATAGAAATAATTAATTGTACGCTAATATTACTTTGTAATGCCATCATATGGCTTTAACAATTGAAAAAGGACATTTTCTGTGAAAAGTATAGTAAGGTAAATAGTAACCCGATTGACTTCCATCGAGCCGAACAGGAAGTAAAATATAGGAACAAAATATTTTTCGTTCTTCGCCAGGTCTTAGTCAATCACATTCTTTCAACTGATCCATACATTAAAATACGCTCTTTTTCATACTACACATTCACGGACCGAAATGTCATTTTCCCCTAATGTTGCTACTTTCCCCGTAGTTGGGAAGGTAGGTATGATTCGCATTATTTTGCAGGTCATGTAAAAATAAGAAGGAAAACTACCGTATCTTGTATACCACTGCCAAAAGGAATGCTTATTTTGTTTCTTATGAATAAATAACCCAACCGTAAAACTTACCGTTTCTACAAATACACCCATCTAGCCGCTGTCGGCAGGTCTGCCAGTTTGTGGTAATATTATTATCGCTATTCTTTGTAATAGCTGAACAGTCGTCCGACTGCTGCGTTTCTTCCCCTAAAAGCGTAAATATTTAGGTATAGTAAATATTAGGAAGTTTTATATAATGTATATTTCATATACGACAGACTTAATATATATATATATATATATACTTCGGTGAAATGGTTGAAATCCGATCAGCTGTTCAGGTGTAGTAGACTTTCACGTATTTTTAACTATACATATTCGTGTATTTCTTATTTTTTGTTCTGATATGGTCAATCAATTTCAATGGAGTTTTGAATACATGGTTTTAATCTTTCCGCTTACACTACTGTGTACAGCATTGCCGAGGAGGCTATATTCACATTACAATTAATGAAAAAATACAATGCTGTTAAATACATATAGTGTTTGTTACTACATCTTAGCCATTTTCTCTAATTGTGACTATAATGTGCTCTATGTTTATGTGTAGGTATAGGTGTGTTTTGCTGGATGGTCCTGCTATGCTTGTAAATCTCGGGCATGATCTGTATATTTTAGGATTTACACTGTTTCTGCTGTACACTGTATCTTATACTGCGAATCATCAATGCTTGTACGATAAACAATCAATAAGTATATCGTAAATCAGCATTTATTATTTTAGTATTATACATAAACTTTTGATTACAACAATTATGAAGTTTTTACATCTTATATTAATCACTATTTTTGGCCCGTATGCAAGCGCGCAGGGGGTCTCAAAGTTGGAGGAAACCGGAATACCCGGAAAAGACACACGTGGTCTGGCAGGTGACCCCATACCTTTTCACCTCCGATCGGGGAATCGAACCTTGACCGCCTTGGTGAAAGGAAAATACGCTATCCACTGCGCCACCCGACCACCCAAAATGTTTATATTAATTCTATGTTTATTTATACTATCAACAGTTGCCATGGTTGAAACATTCTGATGTATGTATTCATATTGGTGATGCATTCAAGGATTACAAATATAGAGCTACTAACGTAGGATTTGGCGGTAGATGGAGTAGCTGTTGTTCCCGCCACATCGGTCACGTGTGTTACCAACACAAGGGGTTGTACATCCTGATGTTCTCGAATCTGTCACGTTCTCGTCTGCCATAAGACATCGACATTGCTCGCCCTTCAATCAAAAATACGCATACTAATTCATTTTAGTATCTTATTACCTTAGTCAGACATATTGTATGTCATAAAAGCAAATCTACGGAATCCCAACGGTGCAAAAATATAGACATATCTTGGCTAGAGGCTCAATTTATAACTACAGATCAGTGTGTCTTTTAACTAGATAACGACTCTTTTATATTATAATTTATCACTTTAAAAAGTCAGTAATTTGTACTAACATATTATTTGTAACCAGTTTCCAAGAAGATTTCAATTTGCCATAAATCAATAGTCGTAAAACGTTAAAGAATTCATGTGGATGTGGATGGATCAAGTCTAAAAGTGTTCGAGATTTCGAGAAAGGTTTCATCAATCTCATATGAAATAAAAGACAATTCAAAATTTCTTTAAATCATAAAACGTGCAATACTTTCTAACAATTTCCAAGTGATTTTTAAAGGTCTAATCTACAAGTTATTGTAGATATTTTCTGAAATAATTAAATCCTTTTCAAATAAAACATTTTATTTTACACTATATAATTGAACCGAAAAAATATATAGTGATCAGAACATGACAGAAGAGTGGCAGTGCTTGGTGAGAAAACAACGTTCCAGATTGTTCCTGTTTGTATACGACCGTACCATAGCTAGATACCTACCATTAAGGCTATCCTTCCGCTGCCTTTACACATCTGATGACAACTGTAGACAGAATTCCAGTGATGTTGGGCAAATTTCGGGTCAGTGCCCAACATTCCTGAAGACTCGATGCAATCTGAATGACAAAGTTATCAAAACGGAATTTGAAGTTTTATGGATATGCATCTTTTTCTATAGTCTTGTTCATGGTCTTGACATGTCATAGCAAAAGCACATATTTTGGTTAATTATAATTAGCGTAACTGCCTAATTACAATTCAAGTTTGATTAAACATCTAAACATAATTCATTGAATTATTTATAAGTGTTATCTTATTAATCATCTATGTAAAAAATGAAATTGAAAACAAGTTGTAAGATATTTTGTCACTATAGTATGTATCTCTAGTATAACACAACGGAAACGTTATTTCATAACTTTAAACATTCTGTAAAATAATGAATATGTATTCTTAATTTATTCGTTTACATTTCCGCATATATTTATAAATATTCTGAACCATGTAACAGTACAGCATTTGGAAGAAAATATCTCTCACCTTCGATCTGAAATTGCCCGGCTTGGCCGTGCTTGACCACTCCATTTGCCCAGTAGTGACGGCTGTCGACCACATCGATGCTCCTATTCCTTTCAAGATCACTGACCATGTTGAGATTGACTAGTTTGCTGCTAGCGTTAAGACAGAGGGCCTGTGCCTCTGGCCAAGTAAACTTGGTTCCATTCATTGCTTTAACAATGTATTAAAGAAACATTTAGTAAGTACCAAACATGTTGTACGTCATTCAGGAAGTTTTGTAAATTCTTTTATCAGGCGAATTCTAATTAAAATCAGACCTCTTAAGACCGCTTCGTTACCTTAGATTAGAGGTCTGATTTTAGTTAGATTGTTTCAGGCAAGTCTTGAACAACGTTTCCACAATTTTGATGAGCCCCATTACTAACAGTTCATTGGAGAAAGCAAAAGTTCAGAACTCAAATATTTCCCAGAAATCACTGTCTTATGTTTTACCAAGTTTACTTGATGACATTTGAAAACATATCTCTCACCTACGATCTGAAATTGCCCGGCTTTGCCGTGCTTGACCACTCCATTTGCCCAGTAGTGACGGCTGTCGACCTCATCGATGCTCCTATTCCTTTCAAGATCACTGACCATGTTGAGATTGACGAGTTTGCTGCTAGCGTTAAGACAGAGGGCCTGTGCCTCTGGCCAAGTAAACTTGGTTCCATTCATTGCTTTAACAATGTATTAAAGAAACATTTAGTAAGTACCAAACATGTTGTATGTTATTCAGGAAGTTTTGTAAATTCTTTTATCAGGCGAATTCTAATTAAAATCAGACCTCTTAAGACCGCTTCGTTACCTTAGATTAGAGGTCTGATTTTAGTTAGATTGTTTCAGGCAAGTCTTGAACAACGTTTCCACAATTTTGATGAGCCCCATTACTAACAGTTCATTGGAGAAAGCAAAAGTTCAGAACTCAAATATTTCCCAGAAATCACTGTCTTATGTTTTACCAAGTTTACTTGATGACATTTGAAGACTTATATGAAAGGGCTTTCTTACTTAAAAGGTATGAGCCTATTGCGCAGGGTACGAGTTCTATCTGACAGAGGATACCTGTCTTTATCTTACACACATTATCAGATAAAGCGGTATCTAACGCCACCAGTATGACTTCTGTCTTTTATAGAATAGCTCTATCTAGATCACAGTGTCATGAAGCAGTGTAGAGTCAACGCAGAATGTTGTAAACTCATTCATTGTTATGCTAAAATATCACTGTAAAAGTATATATTGCCATGAAGCGTGTTACAATCCATAGAAATCCATAGAAATACCAAAACATGAAGCGTCTAAAGTTCTCCGAAACCTATGAGGATATAATGAACAGAGGGAGTGCCTATGAAACCTTTCATACCGTTACAAATTCACAGCTTTTGCTACAACAAATTATATACCTGAACTGATATTTTTTGTAAACCCTGCCAAAATACATTCCATGTAAAAATCTATGACCAACTTCGGTGACTGGTATTCCATAATCAGAGTCAATTACAGTAATACCTCGATATAATGCCCCTCGTTTCATTTGCCACTTCGTTTACCGCCAACATTTTTTAAGAATTTCTTCATACATTTCCCTCAGTTAATCGCCAAACCCCCTTAAAATGCCCTAATGTTTCTGGACAACGAGGTTTTACTGTACCTTGTCACGTCAAATATTCCCTAGAAGTACTCAGACACTAACATTGGGCAGAATTATCAAAGTAGATATATATAGATAACATGTTAACATTAACTCTTTCACACCAGAAAGTTCATAATGATCTATTCCAACCTTTGAATTGGAAGAGTTTAAATGTGTCTTTAGGGGTGAATGAGTTAATGCAGTCTAACCTCCCGTTATATCAGTTATATATGAGACGGAGTATATCTGTAGTAGGTTAATACCAACCTGTTCTGCACATAATCCCAGCCTTCATAGTACAGTTGACAAATTTAGCGTTGAAGACAAATGTTTGTAAAGCTCCATACATCAGCAGACACTGTTCTTTGGGTTCTGTTACAAACAGGAAGCATATTGATAAACAGAGTAAACCTAAACGTCGAATTCGTTATCATCACTTGTTCGAGATATAAGTTGAGAATGCATTGTAATGCTTTGAAACGAAGCAATTCGTTCAGAATTCGTTATAAGGAAGGTTAATTGTTTTAATGTTTGAAATAAAAATAATAATAACAAACAAAAATTAAATTAAATAAAAATAAAAAACGAAGATCGATAAGAAATGTGATTTACAATAACTAAAAACGATATGGTTCTTTACTTTTCTTAAAATGAGATTTTTTTGAGAGTTATCGCCCGCCCCGAGTGGTATGTATATACTCGCTTACACATACTACTTGTGATTTGTGTTAGAGTAATGTCTTACACATTTTATGCCTCTTATTAATGTAAAGATTTATCTCCCTTTTATGATAAAATTTATATTACGCTCTACGCATTATACATTCGTGCTAAATGTTGACCTTTGAATCTGGCAGATTTAATTCAAACTTACCTCAGCGTATTAGATCCACATTATCTTGTGAAACTCAAATATTTTAACAATTAATGAACAAAATGACATTCCCATCAACCAAAATAATTTTGTAGGACGTATTTCATAACTCTTCAGAAGGTATATGCATGTAGATAGGATATATCCTTAATGTGTTCTTTAGCATCATGGTGATTAAAACAGAAGAGTTAAATATCATGTGTTATCAATTATAATGACACTCCATGTTGAAAACCAATGGGAAACATTATTGAAAGACTTACCTATGTGTTTATATAGATGATATTTGTCGGGATCGGCACATGTCGTACAATTAAGAGGGCCAGTGATATTAACCTTACACAAACACTGGAAATCCTGTAAAACGAAGAGATAATACCCTGTCATCATATAAACAGTACTTTCTTTTTTTTGTTTTTAACATATGTTACAATACAAAATCCTTTATAAAGGGCTATCTTCGGGAGAGGATAATTGAGAGAATTATACATGAGAGCATTCTCACTTAAATAATGGAAATAAATGTATGACCTTTGGTATATCAAATTTATAACTTACGAAAACGAGAAAAGTTACATCGAGCCTGCACTATATGTAAACGGGGGCGCTATATTGAGGCTAAAATGTAAGCAAACTAGGGTGTTATACAGTGGCTATTATGGATGTAAAACGGGCGTTATATCGAGGTATTAATGTATGCAAATGGGGTGTTTGTCGAGATAATAATATATGCTAACTGGATAATGTATGTAAACGAGGTGTTTAGCGAGGTTAAACTGTATGCAAACTTTGCGTTATACAGAAGCTATAATGTGTGTGAACGAGGCATTATCGTGAGTTAATAATGTATGTAAATTATGTCGTTATATCGTCATTATTATGTAATTAAACGAGGTGTTTAGCGTGGTTATATTGTATGTAAATCGTGTCGTTATTTCGTCATTATAATGTATGTAATGTAATCGGGGCGTTATCTTCAGTTTGTATTGCATGTGAACGGCGGCGTAATATCGAGGTAAAAATGTATGTAAGGAGGGCGTAATATCCAAGTAATAATGTATGTAAGGAGGGCGTTATAACGAGGTGATAATGTATGTAAGGAGGGCGTAATATCGAAGTGATAATGTATTAAAGGAGGGCGTTATATCGAGGTAATAATGTATGTAAGAAGGGCGTTATATCGTGGTGATAATGTATGTAAGGAGGGCGTAATATCGAGGTAATAATGTATGTAAGGAGGGCGTTATATCGAGGTGATAATGTATGTAAGAAGGGCGTTATACCGAGGTAATAATGTATGAAAGGAGGGCGTTATAACGAAGTGATAATGTATGTAAGGAGGGCGTTAAATCGAGATAATAATGTATGTAAGGATGGCGTTATATCGACATGATAATGTATGTAAGGAGGGCGTTATATCGAGGTAATAATGTATGTAAGGAGGGCGTTATATCGAGCTTTTTAACAGTAGTATGGTGCAGTGTAATTCCTTTTCTGCATACTATATCTTATAGTTACTTATGTAGGTGTATTCTCAAAAGTTATGAATGATAAATCAATTAAATTAATTTCAAGAATTTCTGATTTTTTTTAAATATTTATGTAGACCCAGAACTGATATCAATATCATTTTTATTTTATTAAATTTGTTTAGATTAAAAAATAAATGATAAATATTGGGCTTTTAATACTTGTTCTAGTCAATAGAAAAAAATATACCTTTAAAGCAAACAGTGGAACATCTTTGCAGCACATAGCGCATTCATCAGATTCAAACACGGCATTACCGTCTACTTCACTTGTCTCCAAACAACCTATGTTTTATAAAAGATATAAAACAATGGTAAAAGATGACGAAGGAAACATTTCGACAAAGACATTTTGTTCATATCCTTCATCACCTGTATCTTTTGAAAACTTGTATCATAAGTTTGTCCGTCAGCAGTCGACATCTATCAAGGAATCATGATAAATTGGAGCAAGTTGTTCAATACCGAATCAACTGTGACATGTAAACAGAATAGGTTGGTGAATAAGGGATGCTATTATCAGGAAAGGGGAAGTTCACGTGTACTCTCGACATACGCTTTCCTGTGCATTTAAGTTACACGAAAGCTACCAACATTTCAGCGAGTACTGAACCCTTTAACCTTTTCGTATAGATGGACGAAAATGCCATATTGTTCCGTAATGCTTCAGTAGAATGGTTTTCCGCGTCAACTATCTACATTTATACATAAGTGATTCCTTACTTCTCCATATTTCTAGTGATTGTATTTTTACAGGGTAGCAATTTCTGTTGGTACTCTAGGTTGGCCGTAATGTCATAACTGTGATTTATTCAGGCGCGGTTTAATTGAAACACTATTGTAGAAATACCCGACTGATTAACAGAAACCTGCATACAGGTTAAAACAATCTTTCATGCTAAGAGGTGTGGGATAGGGAAATTCCACCCGAGAGGTTATCAAATTAGGTAAAACTCGAGACTTGCTGAAGATATTGCCCTAGTCTAGTTTGAAAATCCCGAGGGTGACATTTCCCTATCCTAAACCTCTGGGCATGAAAGTATTTTTCTCTCATTTCATTCCCCAGAATTGGTTTAGAAACCACAAAAAAAACCACGCAACTTTCTGCATTTCGGAAACGGAATGTTCCCGATATCTTGGCGTCATGTCATTGTTGTCTCAATGAGACTTCACACTCTGGAATTGGGGTATCACATAGGAATTTTTTAACCCCTTTTTACCCTGAATAGCTCTGTCATATACGCAGAGGAATGGGAGAAATAGATACAGTTTAAAATTTTACAAAACAAGTCGTTAAAAGCACATTGATCCCCTGAAGACTGAGGAGAAGAATTGAACTACACCCTTTTTGTAGAATAAATGTTTCATTCACACTAAAAGCAATCATCGGCTGCATCAACCGAACTGCTATACGTGAGAGGTTTAGGTTGTCCCTTTTCATCCTCTTCTTACATCCTGATTACTTGCGTGACTCTCTTAGTTTACTCTCTCTACACGCCTACTGTTTACCCATCTATAACCACGTGGCTCTACGACCCTGAAGTATTAGAGTGCCGTGAAGACGTGATCAAATCAAACTAAGAAAAAAAAAAACACGTAAAAATAATCATTTGCAATAATGAATTGGTTTGGAGATTGAAACTTTTTAAATAGCAAAAAGTTGGACCTTACCACAAGGATATTGGGGCTCCGATGGCCACATGTTGTCATTAATCCAAAAGAGTACGTCATCCTCCATGATTTCCGTCTCTGACATGTTGACTTGGGCAGTGATTTCATCCTTATACGCTAGTCGTAAATTTCTCCCTCTGCAGTGGTAGTAAGCTTCACTCCACGTCCAGTTTCCTTGGATCGGTTTAACGATTTGTGCGTAAGTGCCTACATAAGATGACTCAACCTTATAAAGCTACTGTAATATTTTATTATATATATATAGACACAGCATATCATACTAAGTGTGAACAATCTCCTGATTGGAACTCAATAGCGATTAAATTAATAGAAATATGAATAGAGGGAAACACGGATGTCAAAATACAAGTAGAAGACGACCCAGTCTTTTGGAAGAGTAAGCAACACCTGGTTCATGGGCATCAACTGCATTGTACCTCTAGGTCAAATCAAATGTCAAGGTTAATAATAAAGGGTTTTGCAAAGTAATTTAGACAATTTTGATTTCATTTCAAGAGTTTTGCCCCTATCATCACCGATGAGTCCTATACGAACAAAACAGCTGTATGATGTAGCGTAATTCAGTTTTTGGTGTACTGTATCTAGTACCGCTTTTAAGATTCAGTCACCTATGTGTGTGTTTTACGTTAAATATTTCTTTCTATGATATTGTAACATACTTGCTTTACATAAAGCTGTCAAAAAAAACCCCGCAAATATCTTTTCAGACTCACCCAAACATGTTAACACACAATAATGTTCATTGTATTTGAGGAGCACGCAGAGGCCTTTTATAGGATGCCCGAGAAAATCTTAAATTAAGAATGAAGGAAATCCGTAGATTTATTTCGAGATATTGACTATTAAAGAAAATGTGCGAAATTCAATATACACTGCAATATTAAAGCGCTACAATTATACATACTGTTAAGATACTGGTATATAATATAATACTGATATATATTTTATTGTTAATTGTGTAATGTTAATCGCCTGCTAATCTTAGTGTTATAGGTGTTTGTTTGCCCCAGTTCTTATCAGTATTGAAAAGGAACGTAACACACATAAAAGTGAGTGAACCTTTACTATGAGGTAATAGACACAGCATGCTGAAGATGAACTACACTTTATTATACAGCTGTTTCGTCCTTCTAGGACTCCCCGGTGATGGTAGGAGCCAAAAGGTTGAAAACCTAAATAGTCTTAATTACGGTCTGTTGAAACACAGGGGCAAGGGTGAGAAACTCCTGAATTAAAATTCGCTTTGCCATTTTATATATTCACTATTTGTGTCAAAAGTGAAAATGAATCAAAAAGAAAAACTCTCCGTTTACTTTTATGATCAGTATTGTCTCTTTCCCCGAGAGGCATTCTTAAGTTCTTAGATACAACAAAACAAAACAACAACAACAAAAACAGCAATGACCATACAGTAAAACTGACAGGAATAATCACAGTGTCTCTGTGTCAGATGCATAAAACACTACAATGTGTGCACATAGTTCTTTATTTACCGTTGAACACTATAACAACAATCTTAATCATTCATGAAATAGTTCTAGTACTTCATTGCAACTAGTGCAGCTTGAAACACCACTGTTATATTAGCTATGTTTATAGAATACATATACAGTGTATCCACACTACAATTTCCTGGTTTATATTTCCTGTTGGACTTCAGACTTTCACTAGGATATCTCTGTATGTTATCTAGCCGTACGTGGATCATAAACATCCTGAATTTCTAATTTTGAGTGGTATTTCCAAGTAATTGTAAGTGGAGAACACAATGTAGCGTTAAAGTTTCAGAAATGGTTTAGATAACATGCCCAGTGATGTAGACTAGGGAAATTCCACACAAGGGATTTTCTATGTGGGTGTAAAATCTGAACATTTTGCACCAATTTTTGTTTGCTTTGGCATTTTTAACATTCTCATAATTAAAGACGCATTGAATAATATTACATTGAAGTAAATAAATAAAAATAGAAAATAAAACCTCCAAAGAGAGATAGTTTATGACTTTGTTATATGCTGAAACAAGAATATCAAGTGTTATATAACAGTGTACTGTTTTAGAAGAAGAAAGGGAAGGAAAGAGTAATAAAAAGAGAGGGACTTTACCATTACTGATTAGTACTATACGGACGAAATGGTCATGTTGTGTAATAAAAACTATTTACTTTGTTAAGTTTTCCGCGTCGACTTTTTTAAACATGTGCTTACTTACACCATGCTTTTAGTAATTAATCTTAGAATATAATACATTATTCATATTAAACAGGAGTGTGACTGAGAATAGTTTAGATTTAATTTCCTTAATTTGCTTAATTAATTTTAGCGTCTGTTTATGCATTTCCCCCTATTTAATTCCTTTGATACAAAGCATAATGTAATTAACATCATCATCTACATTGGTAACACCGTTCAAAACACTGTTTTTAATGCGGAAGTGTACACTCCGTTTGTACGGCGCAAGTTTAAACAGATGCATTGTCAGTGATAAACAATTTTGCTCACATATGCAAATTTATATCTGCTATAACTTCTTATGTGTAGAACAAAAGAACGGCCATTTTGTTTCTCGACTTTTACCTATATAGGCTGAAACCTTTCTCCTACAGAAGAACATTCATATGTTTTTGAACATCGGGCTTACTGTTAGATGTTTCAATGTAAACAAAGGTAAATATTTTCCTCTCACATTTGTCACTTTTGTGGTTTTTGAGGGGTCTGAAGTCCTGTACACTGACTTATACACCTCCGGGCAAAGCTTTACTAATGGCGACTAGTGGTGATGTCTTAAAATAGCAATGATTCAATCTTTAGCTTGGAATTATTATTGAAAGGAAAATTTGCATCAAACATTTGCGTTATGTTGGCTTACATTTATAAATTTAAGTAATTTTAGATTTATATATCTCGTCGTATAAAAGGATTTCAAGACATACACCAGTTTTTTACGTAATAAAAAAAAATAAAAAATCATGGCACAGTTTGAGAAGAATGAATGTTTTTTCCTTAAAACCATTATTGTATTACTATATAGATCTTGTAAAGAAACTTCACAATTTAAACAATGCTTTGAACATATAACAAAAAATAAAAATGACAACAGTATTTTGAGATAATTGGAAGGGTACCACCGGGAATCGAACCCTAGACACGGTTGCACTAAGCAGCTGACCTACTTGACCAGCGGTAGATCCATAGCCTAGTCTTACTACAGTTTTAGCTAAAACGATATTTAACAGTTAACTCTAGGTATACAAAAAGCTACATCAGGACTCATATTCATGAAACCGTTCTCATGCTCAAGCATGGATTCTGTGTTTTTAAATCGCTTAGATCACGTGAAAAGTCAAAAAGTCAAATGTAAACATTGAAAATAGTATTTAGCTTTAAGTTTCTGCAAAACGTTTCCAAATCATTGATAAAATAGATTTGTTTATCAAGTTATAACCAGAACAAGAAGTTAGGCTTCAGCACAAAAACAATTTTTGAGCATGAGACAAGTTTCATGAAAACAGACCCGGAACTCTCTAGTGACCCCTTTGCAGAGGGCCAGGGATCTGCAGCCCAAACCTCCAAAGGATCATTAGGAAGCGTTATACTCCTTTCCCATTTTCATAATTGTTTTTCGACGTATGTGTAGTTATTGATACATACTTGACTTACCAAACTGTAATTAACAAAGTAATTAGAATGGTAAGTGACATCTCATACTTACCACAACAGCAGTGAAAGTAGTAAATATAGTACGCAGTCAACACAACTATTTTGCCTGCCTCGAGCCTCGCCATATTGCCAATGACAGTGGTACGTTGTCACAACCCTATCGCGTCAGTAACACTAAAGCAGTTTTGTTTTCATTAGTCCATCCCTGTTTATACAAACAAACATGTACAATACACATGTACAATTTCCAATGAAGTATGTGCAGAAATACTGGAGAGGCAAGGCCGGGCGGAGACGTCCACTTGGACGAAACGGAAGGAAATATGACTACATGCTAACAGTAAATCTGATTTAGCCATGTTAACTTCATGTCGAGTAACGTAGTCATATAACACTATTGTGTAAGGAGCAGATGTGTCCACTACACTAATAGAGACTTTTGTAATTTGCCTTTTAGATTTTGTTGAGTTAACAAGATCTCTCCATTTGTAAAAATGATTTTTCTATTAAGTGTTGTCTTAACTTTTGATTTGGTGCCTCCTAACTTCCTGGTACATGTATTGTCTTTCGTTTGTAGATTTAATGGCTCCTCTCCCTCTGCATATGTTGTATGGGTACAATAATCAATTAACAAATACAGACGTCGGTAATGTTCTTATCAGAAAAACAGAAAGCAGTAGCTTTTAAAGTATACAAAACTCATGTTCGTTTGGTTTAGAGTTGTCTCCACAGTAAATGGCGTTGTCATTCCTTTTGTTTTTTCCTGGTTTAAAATTTTCGAATCAACTTTAAGTTTCGATTTTGTTTTTGTGTGTCACCACTGTTGTATACATAGTTTTCAATTCCTATTCCATTGCATTAAACCATTATTATGCAGGAAATGCGATTTGCAATCAATAAAAAATACACATGTGTACACATTTTTGTGTATATTTCAAAGATGCTTAAAATTGTGATTTTATGACGTAACGGTAGGTTATGGATGCTTCCGCATAATGTCGTATTTCTGATACTTTAGCTTTTTGGTTGACAGGGTAGTGTGTAGCACATATTGTGGCTCATTCCCCCCCCCCCCCCCCCATCATATCATGCATTATCCTGACTATCATGACTGTTATGTTGTATATGGTTTAACCTATATATACACACGGTGGTTACAGAAATGAACCGGGAAATTACGTTTAAATAACATATTTTAGACGATCGTGTTTTTTTTGTGTTTGGTGAACTGTCTTCTTTAGTCAGACTGAGATGATATCTAAAACGCTAACTGTAGTCTGAAACGTCACCTGATAGAATGGAATTTAATTTCACTTTTACGACACCGAGATGAACACCATACCGCCTACTTCCTGGTACACATTTGTCATGTGATATATTTAATTTCTGTTTGTGTTTAAGGATGCGCGGGTCTAACGTTGGAATGCATTTATTCTCTGGGTTAGATCCACACTAAGAAACACGTAAAACATTTCAGTGATAATAATGATTAAATGAAATATGGATTTATCACAATCAGGTAATAATATGACGTTATAATTGAACATTCTAAACGAAAACAAAATTAACATTATGGTGAATATTGTTTTAAAGAGGTTTGAGACTTGATTATTTGTGAGTTGAATTAAGATATAATTGCTATGTATTTGTTAATATTTCAGTATCCTGTTTCGTTGGAACATTTCATTGGATATGGCCTATACGTTGTCTAGTATTGAAATATTGCATTATTAACACTTAGATAGTATAGTACCTACCTGTACGTAATCATAGATATCGGGATTAATTTAAGAAATAAAACAACTTCCAGAAATGCAATATTTGACTTTATTTATAAATATCCTTCCTCCTCCTCCTCTATAACATTATAGTATACTTATATCACAGCTTACACACCCTCTATGCATTATGAACAAACATTTACTTGTCGACGCTCTCTCTTATACTCGACCACATTCATTATTGTTATGTTTAACAGAAATCATAATGATTATGGATTTATCAGAAACCTGATAGTTCGTTCTATGTTGAACGTCCATAGACACATTCCTACGCATAAATTGTCTTCATAATCAACATGGATAAACTTGAAGAGAACTATCCCTTCATAAACCAAACGTAAGTATCATATCAATATAACCTGTTCTTCAGTATGTTGACAATTCCTTTTTATATATACAGTAAAAAAGTAATGTATAAAACACAAACCTGTTTGTTACGAGATATTGTATGACAAAACGACTCATTAATTGCCTAAAAAGAAATTGCAAATATATTAGAGATGTCTTGTAAAACAGCAAAAGTTATTTCTGTAACTGAAAATGAAACAGATTTTTCTTTAATTGAAAAAGATATCTTTAAATGAAATGTAGACATTTCTTTTTTCTTCGGAATTTTATACAATATGTATATTGTTCGATAAAAGTATCTCTTAAGCCAATAGGAATATTTCAATAAGTTTATGACTTGTTTTCTATTGTAACTGAATCACTAAATTTTGGTATAGAAGGTTAAGTTGTTTTGCGATAGAGATCATGCAACAAAATTCATTTATAGCTAGAGAAATCTTCAAAGAAGTCACCTAAAAATAAGCATATATTGGGAAAGTAAAACAAATTACCCTTAATGTTTCTTGTTGTAGAATATATACATGGGAATTCGTGAATCTTCATCTTACAAAAACAGGCGATTCTCACAGAAAACCCTTACAACATTTTTTCAGATAGGCAAACTGAATCCTTTATCATTTTCCAGAAACCATACATGTTTTGCTTCCTCCATGTAGATTATTAACAAAGAAGAACATAACTATGTGTGATATTATTCATCAGCTATAGAAATATCTTAACAGAATAAAACTGTTCTTTTCAACAAAATCTGATAGATTGATTATGACCCTGAAAATAACCCAGTAGAGACAACTATATATATGACGCTATAAAAAAAGATCACGACTTAAATAGGTAAAATGATGATCTTCATTCAAATAGTTAATAATTCAGTCTAAAACTTAAATTAAATCAAATCATGCTATGTTATAAAATATAAAAAATATAATTAGGGAACAAGCTGGTTGTTATAAACGAAAGGAAATAAATAGCAGCGATGTGACGTCAGCAATGGTAGCTTATGATGTACTGTATGCGTGTCATACACTTTCGTTACCGTCGCACACTACTGCCTAACAAGAACAAAAGATTAATTGCACGTGACGGCATCTGTAAATAAGTTGTTCGTACTTAGACCGGAAACAAAACATTCTTTAAACCTTGCCTATCATCCCATCTTTCTGAAGTTTTAACAAGACCCCTAATAGAAGGTAAATATCACTGTTAATTTCAATGTATGATGTGTTTCAATACTTGCTTTCATGATAAATTCGCCCTCGTTACTGAGGGCGAAAAAGGCTAAAGTTAAATTGCGGCAAAAATCTCCCATTATACGGACAGTCATATCAAAAGATGCCCATTGAACAAAGGTATTGAGTAATTTACATATTTTCAATTGATCTTTATGTATTAAAATAATAAAAACTATTTTTTCTTTAATTCAAAACAGGGCATTAAGGCTGATGTCTACATCGACAATTTGAAATGGCAATATTTTTAATTTGTAATCAAAATGAATGCTACGAATTGCCATCTTATCTTGATCTGCAGCACCTAGGACGTGTGTTGGAGATTAATTATTCCTCACGAGGCATACACACCACAAAACAAGATTGTTTTGGCCGATCGAAAACACACAAGTCATTGACAAATATGTTTGATATATCTAAATAGTATATAAATGCAAATCCAAAACTCGTTTGACCAAGTTTAATAGATAAACGTTAGACACTACGTCAATTTACAGCATTCAATGTTGTCTTAAATACGTTTGACATATTATGAACGATGAAAATAGAAAGTGCTGTAATGGTTATTGTGTAGGAAACTCATAAATGACACAACTAGATGTTACGAAATGACTCATTTTATAATTTCTACTTATTAATCTAAGTCACACGGCCTTCGATATCACTTTTATCTTTGGGTTGAAATTTACGATGACGGTACCTTCTTTTAAGGTTCTTCATCAATTCGTCTTTAGAAGCACATTTACAATATCATCATTATTTGAACCTCTCATTCAGGCTTATTCACAATGAAAATTATTGAATGTGTGATAAAAACATGTGACAAAATTCAACAGAAAGAAAAAAAGCAGTCACATGGTTCTAGGGACAAAATGTACCCAATTGAGTGGTTGTCAGTGTCAATGGTTAAGCTTCCGTCTTGTTCAGACGATGTCTGGTATTTATCATGATTTCATTTGCGTTTAATTATTCAAAAAAAAATCAAAAAAAAATCGCATTATTGACTTTAACTGATTACATTAGAAGAAAACAATATGATGTTAATGGAAATGGGAAGATAGTAGCCAAATATTATAGCATTATGATATCAAAGACAATATTTATGGTGATTATTATGTTATTTTAATGATACTACTTAATTTATCTGTATACATTTCTATCGGTCCTCGATATACAATGGAAGACACAAGAGCAGTCATGTACTTAAGGTATTTGCCAGATTGCGTCTTTCTTTTGCGAGGGTCGACTTATCATGCACATTTACGACATTATTTTCTGATACATTATCCAGAGTTGCTCGTCAATAAAATAATCGCCAATACATGTATTTCTGATTAAATCATCTGTCTATTTCCTGCCACACATTTATTTTAAACTCCTGTTTCTCGCACAATGTCTTTGGCAAGCTTGTCGGCATCCATCTTTTCCCAGTAGCCCCTGTTAGCTAAAACACCGTCTTTCAATGGTTCGAAATATGCATCCATTTTCGATAATGCCTGAAACAAGTAAATATATTTTTCGTTCTGTTATTTATACATAAACTGCGAAAAAACTTCATTTTGAAAGGTTTTCATATTTGCGATGAGGATTAAAACAACATAATGGCGGGGAATTTGAAATATTGCGAACACGATGTACACCTAGTTGATATAAAGTTATATATAGCTCACAGAATTTAGCCGAATTGGATTTTGTCGAAATCAATTTCGCAGAAGATATACAATATATTATCAAAAACATTTTATTTTTTATTATGGAATAAACTTTACAATTAATCTGTTAAGAAAATAAATGGTAACTAAGTAGTATTACAGTATACAAGGGAAGACATATGCCATCAATCCAGCCCATCTGGAGCTTGGGTAACTCGTCCTGACGTTCTCGGTCCATACAGGCCTGAGTTGAAACAAGGAGAAAGATTAGACAATGGTTGCTTGAAAGAAACGATCAGAAAAAAATCAAGCCAGCTTTAAAACACTATTTTCAAACAAGATTTTTTAAATCATTGTATTTTCCTTCGTTTTTTTCTTCTCTTTAACAACTACAAGAAGAGAACATAAAATTGTCAACAAGACCATAGTTCGAAATCAACATCGTTACAACTAGATAACCCTAGGGCAAACTATGAACAAAGACAATATTTGCATGTGGATGTTTGAAATATTACAAGGAAATAAGACCAGGTATTCCAAGGGGACGTTTTAGTTATGGTTTACCGATATATGTTATTCACTGGAAATTGACATTCATTAAATGAAATGTCGAGATTTAGTAAATGCTCCTGACATAACAGAACGCAAGCGGACTTATATAGCAGCACCTCCGTGCGTGTTGTTACTCACCTGGGGTTGTATGTTTAACTGGTGTTTCTCTTTGTCACCTTGGTCGAAGAACTCCGCCATCACCAGGTCGGCAGCCTGTAACAAACAGTGTTATCATTTTACAAACTGTCTTTCGATAATCTCTCTCGTCTTTTCATGTGTATTATAATAATTTTTAATTTCGCCACTTTAATTTCCCCGAGGGGTTAGATTCTTAAATGTCTAGCCCGACGCTTTGCCGAGGGCCACTCATTCAAAAATCTTAACCCGAAGGTTTAGATTGTTTCTATCCTACCCTCAAGGTGGGGAATGATCGTTTTTCTCCCACAACAAATACGAGTGGAAGTTTTATTAAATACAAACGTTAATTTAATTATTTCCAGCAGATCGGAGTTATCTCCCGTGATCTACTATTACTGACGTGACGTTATGCATTTGTTTCGACGGGGGAATCCCCCTGACTTTACCCTAAAATAAGACAGATATATAATTTCTTGACCGGAAGTGTGTCTAATTTGGGAGAAAAAACAACTTTCCCTGTCTCTCAAAAATTCCCAAACAAACAAACAAACAAACAATTTGAACACATATGATCTTAAGTTTGTCTGGCCGGTATTAACTAAAGCAGAAATTATAAATAAAAAGGTATTTAAAATTGCAAAATCACATGCTCGGCTTGAAAAAGCCAAGATAAATACATAAAACCAATTATCATAGGGGTATCGCTTATTAGAGAGATACAAATTATTTGCCCTGCGATCGTTCAAGACACTACTATACGGTACATGTTCACCTGTCCAAGAAATTTAATGTGTACCAAGTAAATATTTAACGCGGTACCCTGCAAATGTCAAATGTATGATGCTCCATAAATCTATAAAGAAAAGTAAACAAAATGCGAACCAAAGCCCGTATCAGCTGCTATAAAAGAACAATTTCGTCTGAAATATTTCCTGTTTAGGAACATATATGCTTCATAAAAGGAAGTAAGTCCGCACGTCTGATTGGTTGAAGAGGATAGGGCAACCCATATCAAAATTAGAATACCGGATCAGGTTAAGCAATACTAGAAAAATCTAAAAAAACGGATATATTTCAAGGACCGATCATTTAAACGCGGATTTCCGACTTTCCTATATTTGTATTTAATTGACATTTATAACCCGTAGCTCTTAACCCATTGTCACGAAAAATACTTATCGAAAAAAGTTTGTATTTTTGTTTGTAATCGAGTTTTATAATAATAATGACCTATGCAGGAGTATTCTGGCAGTTACTATGTCTTACCTGTCTTTATTGATCTAGAACATTGTGATGTCATAGAGTTAAAAATAGTGTAGCCTAGAGGCCATTTCTGAATTGAAGTAAGCTCCCTTTATTGCGGTATATAACGGTACTCAAAGTTTTATCACCTATGCTTAGTTAAGAACAACTAACTCCCACGTATAGGAAAGTTTTTTCAAACACCAAATACATGACTGTACGTGTTACACGTCAGACATACCTTTCGCTGTACGTGTAACACGTCAGACACACCTTTCGCTGTACGTGTTACACGTCAGACACACCTTTCACTGTACGTGTTACACGTCAGACATACCTTTCGCTGTACGTGTAACACGTCAGACACACCTTTCACTGTACATGTTACACGTCAGACATACCTTTCACTGTACGTGTTACACGTCAGAAATACCTTTCGCTGTACGTGTTACACGTCAACCATACCTTTCGCTGTACGTGTTACACGTCAGACATATCTTTCGCTGTACGTGTAACACGTCAGACAAACCTTTCACTGTACGTGTTACACGTCAGACACACCTTTCGCTGTACGTGTTACACGTCAGACATACCTTTCGCTGTACGTGTTACACGTCAACCATACCTTTCGCTGTACGTGTTACACGTCAGACATACCTTTCGCTGTACGTGTTACACGTCAGACATACCTTTCGCTGTACGTGTTACACGTCAGACATACCTTTCGCTGTACGTGTTACACGTCAGACATACCTTTCGCTGTACGTGTTACACGTCAGACATACCTTTCGCTGTACGTGTTACACGTCAGACATACCTTTCGCTGTACGTGTTACACGTCAGACATACCTTTCGCTGTACGTGTTACACGTCAGACATACCTTTCGCTGTACGTGTTACACGTCAGACATACCTTTCGCTGTACGTGTTACACGTCAGACATACCTTTCGCTGTACGTGTTACACGTCAGACATACCTTTCGCTGTACGTGTTACACGTCAGACATACCTTTCGCTGTACGTGTTACACGTCAGACATACCTTTCGCTGTACGTGTTACACGTCAGACATACCTTTCGCTGTACGTGTTACACGTCAGACATACCTTTCGCTGTACGTGTTACACGTCAGACATACCTTTCGCTGTACGTGTTACACGTCAGACATACCTTTCGCTGTACGTGTTACACGTCAGACATACCTTTCGCTGTACGTGTTACACGTCAGACATACCTTTCGCTGTACGTGTTACACGTCAGACATACCTTTCGCTGTACGTGTTACACGTCAGACATACCTTTCGCTGTACGTGTTACACGTCAGACATACCTTTCGCTGTACGTGTTACACGTCAGACATACCTTTCGCTGTACGTGTTACACGTCAGACATACCTTTCGCTGTACGTGTTACACGTCAGACATACCTTTCGCTGTACGTGTTACACGTCAGACATACCTTTCGCTGTACGTGTTACACGTCAGACATACCTTTCGCTGTACGTGTTACACGTCAGACATACCTTTCGCTGTACGTGTTACACGTCAGACATACCTTTCGCTGTACGTGTTACACGTCAGACATACCTTTCGCTGTACGTGTTACACGTCAGACATACCTTTCGCTGTACGTGTTACACGTCAGACATACCTTTCGCTGTACGTGTTACACGTCAGACATACCTTTCGCTGTACGTGTTACACGTCAGACATACCTTTCGCTGTACGTGTTACACGTCAGACATACCTTTCGCTGTACGTGTTACACGTCAGACATACCTTTCGCTGTACGTGTTACACGTCAGACATACCTTTCGCTGTACGTGTTACACGTCAGACATACCTTTCGCTGTACGTGTTACACGTCAGACATACCTTTCGCTGTACGTGTTACACGTCAGACATACCTTTCGCTGTACGTGTTACACGTCAGACATACCTTTCGCTGTACGTGTTACACGTCAGACATACCTTTCGCTGTACGTGTTACACGTCAGACATACCTTTCGCTGTACGTGTTACACGTCAGACATACCTTTCGCTGTACGTGTTACACGTCAGACATACCTTTCGCTGTACGTGTTACACGTCAGACATACCTTTCGCTGTACGTGTTACACGTCAGACATACCTTTCGCTGTACGTGTTACACGTCAGACATACCTTTCGCTGTACGTGTTACACGTCAGACATACCTTTCGCTGTACGTGTTACACGTCAGACACACCTTTCGCTGTACGTGTTACACGTCAGACATACCTTTCGCTGTACGTGTTACACGTCAGACATACCTTTCGCTGTACGTGTTACACGTCAGACATACCTTTCGCTGTACGTGTTACACGTCAGACATACCTTTCGCTGTACGTGTTACACGTCAGACATACCTTTCGCTGTACGTGTTACACGTCAGACATACCTTTCGCTGTACGTGTTACACGTCAGACATACCTTTCGCTGTACGTGTTACACGTCAGACATACCTTTCGCTGTACGTGTTACACGTCAGACATACCTTTCGCTGTACGTGTTACACGTCAGACATACCTTTCGCTGTACGTGTTACACGTCAGACATACCTTTCGCTGTACGTGTTACACGTCAGACATACCTTTCGCTGTACGTGTTACACGTCAGACATACCTTTCGCTGTACGTGTTACACGTCAGACATACCTTTCGCTGTACGTGTTACACGTCAGACATACCTTTCGCTGTACGTGTTACACGTCAGACATACCTTTCACTGTACGTGTTACACGTCAGACATACCTTTCGCTGTACGTGTTACACGTCAGACATACCTTTCGCTGTACGTGTTACACGTCAGACATACCTTTCGCTGTACGTGTTACACGTCAGACATACCTTTCGCTGTACGTGTTACACGTCAGACATACCTTTCGCTGTACGTGTTACACGTCAGACATACCTTTCGCTGTACGTGTTACACGTCAGACATACCTTTCGCTGTACGTGTTACACGTCAGACATACCTTTCGCTGTACGTGTTACACGTCAGACATACCTTTCGCTGTACGTGTTACACGTCAGACATACCTTTCGCTGTACGTGTTACACGTCAGACATACCTTTCGCTGTACGTGTTACACGTCAGACATACCTTTCGCTGTACGTGTTACACGTCAGACATACCTTTCGCTGTACGTGTTACACGTCAGACATACCTTTCGCTGTACGTGTTACACGTCAGACATACCTTTCGCTGTACGTGTTACACGTCAGACATACCTTTCGCTGTACGTGTTACACGTCAGACATACCTTTCGCTGTACGTGTTACACGTCAGACATACCTTTCGCTGTACGTGTTACACGTCAGACATACCTTTCGCTGTACGTGTTACACGTCAGACATACCTTTCGCTGTACGTGTTACACGTCAGACACACCTTTCGCTGTACGTGTTACACGTCAGACATACCTTTCGCTGTACGTGTTACACGTCAGACATACCTTTCGCTGTACGTGTTACACGTCAGACATACCTTTCGCTGTACGTGTTACACGTCAGACATACCTTTCGCTGTACGTGTTACACGTCAGACATACCTTTCGCTGTACGTGTTACACGTCAGACATACCTTTCGCTGTACGTGTTACACGTCAGACATACCTTTCGCTGTACGTGTTACACGTCAGACATACCTTTCGCTGTACGTGTTACACGTCAGACATACCTTTCGCTGTACGTGTTACACGTCAGACATACCTTTCGCTGTACGTGTTACACGTCAGACATACCTTTCGCTGTACGTGTTACACGTCAGACATACCTTTCGCTGTACGTGTTACACGTCAGACATACCTTTCGCTGTACGTGTTACACGTCAGACATACCTTTCGCTGTACGTGTTACACGTCAGACATACCTTTCGCTGTACGTGTTACACGTCAGACATACCTTTCGCTGTACGTGTTACACGTCAGACATACCTTTCGCTGTACGTGTTACACGTCAGACATACCTTTCGCTGTACGTGTTACACGTCAGACATACCTTTCGCTGTACGTGTTACACGTCAGACATACCTTTCGCTGTACGTGTTACACGTCAGACATACCTTTCGCTGTACGTGTTACACGTCAGACATACCTTTCGCTGTACGTGTTACACGTCAGACATACCTTTCGCTGTACGTGTTACACGTCAGACATACCTTTCGCTGTACGTGTTACACGTCAGACATACCTTTCGCTGTACGTGTTACACGTCAGACATACCTTTCGCTGTACGTGTTACACGTCAGACATACCTTTCGCTGTACGTGTTACACGTCAGACATACCTTTCGCTGTACGTGTTACACGTCAGACATACCTTTCGCTGTACGTGTTACACGTCAGACATACCTTTCGCTGTACGTGTTACACGTCAGACATACCTTTCGCTGTACGTGTTACACGTCAGACATACCTTTCGCTGTACGTGTTACACGTCAGACATACCTTTCGCTGTACGTGTTACACGTCAGACATACCTTTCGCTGTACGTGTTACACGTCAGACATACCTTTCGCTGTACGTGTTACACGTCAGACATACCTTTCGCTGTACGTGTTACACGTCAGACATACCTTTCGCTGTACGTGTTACACGTCAGACATACCTTTCGCTGTACGTGTTACACGTCAGACATACCTTTCGCTGTACGTGTTACACGTCAGACATACCTTTCGCTGTACGTGTTACACGTCAGACATACCTTTCGCTGTACGTGTTACACGTCAGACACACCTTTCGCTGTACGTGTTACACGTCAGACATACCTTTCGCTGTACGTGTTACACGTCAGACATACCTTTCGCTGTACGTGTTACACGTCAGACATACCTTTCGCTGTACGTGTTACACGTCAGACATACCTTTCGCTGTACGTGTTACACGTCAGACATACCTTTCGCTGTACGTGTTACACGTCAGACATACCTTTCGCTGTACGTGTTACACGTCAGACATACCTTTCGCTGTACGTGTTACACGTCAGACATACCTTTCGCTGTACGTGTTACACGTCAGACATACCTTTCGCTGTACGTGTTACACGTCAGACATACCTTTCGCTGTACGTGTTACACGTCAGCCATACCTTTCGCTGTACGTGTTACACGTCAGACATACCTTTCGCTGTACGTGTTACACGTCAGACATACCATTCGCTCTTGCTGTTACACGTCAGACATATCTTTCGCCGTACGTGTTACACGTCAGACATACCTTTCGCCCGACGTGTTACATGTCAGACATACCTTTCGCTGTACGTGTTACACGTCAGACATACCTGTCGCTGTACGTGTTACACGTCAGACACACCTTTCACTGTACGTGTTACACGTCAGACATATCTGTCGCTGTACGTGTTACACATCAGACATACCTTTCGCTGTACGTGTTACACGTCAGACATACCTTTCGCTGTACGTGTTACTCAGACATACTTTTCGCTGTACGTGTTACATGTCAGACATACATCTCGCTGTACGTATCACACGTCAGACATACCTTTCGCTGTACGTATCATACATCAGACATACCTTTCGCTTTACGTGTTACACGTCAGGCATACCTTTCGCTGTATGTATTACACATCAGGCATACCTTTCGCTGTACGTATTACACATCATATATTCCTTTCACTGTAAGTGTTACACGTCAGACATACCTTTCGCTGTACGTGTTACTCAGACATACCTTCCGCTTTACATGTTACACGTCAGACATACCTTTCGCTGTACGTGTACATTTCTTTTGTTGTACATCTTTATGACAAACATACCTTTCGCTGTATTTGCCAGGGTTTCGTAATAGAAGCTATATCACATGACGTCATCAGTATACTTCGGAGAGTTTCCTTGGATTCCCGGTCATCCCAGGTATTTTGTCCGGAATCGACCATGGCGAAGAATTTGTTTCGTAATCTGAATCGATTAAGCAATTAAGAGAGGTTCGTATATGTCATAATTATTTCAACATGATCTTAAAACTTCTATTTTAGATTGATTTGCTTTTATTGAAAACAGAACCCCATCCACAACTACATGTGAAATGGAATGTTTTTTGAACAGAAACAATATCAGACATAAGGAAGGTTTTCTCATTACATTTTATTGAAATGACCTATATAGTTTTTAATACATGATCTCATCATAATCCTCCTCGCACGAATCAGAACACATATTACGCATCACTTACATCACAATATCAAGTTAGGGGGAGAAATCAGTAATGCTTACTGTATGTGGAGGGAGAGGTCTGTGGCCAGTATGGACTCCTTCAACAAGTTTATAGTCCCACTGTACTCTTCGGACGTAAAGTTAGCGAATATGTTATTACCCTGGAATGCAACATGACATATCATATAACAATAGCATGAACCATAGTCTTAGCTATTGTGTCATGGCCCAGCATGGACTAATAGGAGCGGGGTAAGAATGACCCCACCATCAAACCAATATTCATTTATAATCAATGTACCAAGTGTAAAAACAGCCTTTGTTACGTCAGACCTTATCAACATAGCGATAATTTGTTGTGTTGTCTTTTTTTATAAGGTTCAATAGATAAAAAGAAATGAGCCTCAGTGCCATTAATTCTGACTTTTTATTTAACTGTCATCATAATTGTAAAGTAAAGAGATTCCCAGGCCCCAATATCTAAAGTAACGTATGGTATGGCGACTGTATTTCTGAGTTATTGTTTCTGACGATGGAAGTAAATGACGTATATCATCATTAGCTTGTGGACATTTCATAAATATTTCATTAATGCAAGGAAGGTTATTTGTATAATTGGACAGGCAAGCTGTAAAAGATAAATGTATAACTATGACGTTTATTTTGCTATATTGCTCCTCTAACTGTTAGCTGCCATAAACATCTTCCATTAATCAGTGAAAAATACGACAGCTGCTATTCTGAGAGACAAGATGTATGAGAGAAACCAGCTTATCCCCCTTTTGCACTCATAACTTTGCTATCGAAGGTCATTGCTTAGTTTGAACAAAATATCCTTCGATTGTTTTTGTGATCGTTTACTAACACTACCGTTCTAAGTTTACTGAAGGTACCAGCACAGCACACTGTGTATATAACACAAAAACGTGTAATGACTCCTGGTCACGACTCCCTTTTTGTTAGATCGGAGAATACAACGCGCATGTCCGATTGTTTACTGTGACACCTTTTAGCTCAACACAACTTTGACAATCTGAACAACCTGGTCTCTAGCATTCGACATATGACTGAACATCCGCATTTATATTGATTTTAAACATACCATTGCCGATAAATCATTGAAGATGACATACCTCGCTGTTGAGGATAGTAACGGCGTGGTTGAAATGATGATGTTCCATGGTACCACTTGTACCATACAAGTGAGCAAGGGCGGATCCCGATCTGTAAAACATAACACATCACTGCATTGATAAGTGCATCACTGTGATGTTCCATGGTACCACTTGAACCATGTAATTGAGCAAAGTAAAACAAAAACAAATAATACATTGATAAGTGTAACAATATAGGTGGGAGTAAATATACACATCGTAAACTTTACAAAGTGTGAGTACAAGCGAAACTATATAACAAAGTCTATCTTAAATAGCATGTCGTTTTAAAATATATATATATTAGGTACCAGATTGGGATAACTGAGAAAAGAGATATTTTAACGTGCACAAATCTGTCTTAACGACAGAATTATATGCCTAGGAGAACTCAAGTTAAGCTGTAAATAACAACAGAATGATAAAAGTGTAAGGGATTTTTTATTTGGATTTTGCTGACTTTTGTTGGAAGGCGTTGTTAGTTCCTCTGTGGTCCAGATCATGACAGAGACATCCCACTACCAAAGCTAACGTCTCCCTGTCCTCCAGATGGCGCTTTACTCCACTCCTCTATAGCGAAAACAACATTTATAGAGATAAAACGTTATAGAGTTAACATTTCTCAATTCTACTCAACAGCTTGTTCTAGGTATCAGTATCTTCTTGAAAGACTTGTCCTCTAGACTAATAAACTACTAAGTCAGGGATAACAAAGAGAGAAACATTTTTATGTTCCACACTCAAACCGGATTTCCAACTCCATGTTTACCATGATGAAATACCTTTTCACTATGACTTAACAGTTGTTGACCAAGTCTTTCTGTCTGATTTGACGGTCATGACAGATGCCACAGGTGGGTATTTTTGGGACTTTTTATTTCCTGAATGACACACTAACAAAATATTCATGAGCCTGTTATAAAAGATAAACATTATCCCAAACCATATAGTTAAATACCAATAATGAACAAATCTTTGTTATCTGGACACATTGTTGAGCAGACCTGCTCCTTTTCCGGATATTTTAACACAAACACTCTACTGTAGTTAAACTATTATATCATCGAAAATGATGGGATTTCTAAACTATCCAGAAAAGAAACTATGTTCCACTCTATGTGAGTACCACCCTTCCAATTTTAGGGCTACGAGTATGGTCTGACTGAACCTCCGCATATATATCATTTTCTAAAACATATCATTGACGATAACCCATTAAATGCTATCTGAGATGACATACCTAAGAAAATGGTCTGACATTAGTCGAATGCATGTCGTCAGTTTTGTGAGCACCGCCCTTCTACTTACCTTAAGGGACGCAAACATGGTCTGACACACGTTGAACGCATGTCGTCAGTTTTGTGAGCACCACCCTTCTACTTACCTTAAGGGACGCAAACATGGTCTGACACACGTTGAACGCATGTCGCCAGTTGTGATACGAGACATTACGATAGTTCTTCCGCACAGTCAGGAGCCATCGACACAACACCTAGGTAAAATGGGGTACAGCAGACTGACAAAACCGAAATACCATTCGACACGTAAAATATACAAAATGATGAACCCACGAGATTTAAAATAGAATGAAAGTTTTCATGATCATTGTATCCCCACATGTTTTATTACCTATTGTCTTATTTAAGAACGCGAAACATGTAGCATACAGATTAAAACAACACAAATGCATTCTCTACAAATTATCATAATGTTGCGTTTATTCTGTGAAATGCCACGGCTTGTTGAAATTCATTTCTCCTCTCATTACAAAATACAACCATCAATATTAGATTGACTTATGATAATGATACATGGGATCAAGCAAAGAAAATATCCAAATGGACGAAGCAAATTTTCCTAACAAAAAATTATATAAAACAGGAAACTATTTTAAGTATATTTTTCCTACCTCGATATCAATTTTGAACTTTCTTATAAATCCTAAATCTTCGAACATTCTAATGGCTGCTACAAGCATCTCGTCTTTCGTGAGTGAGAAATCATTAAATCTGTGGTTGTCTAGGTTCCACACCGGCGCCTCTGGTACTTTCTGGCCCTGTAGAAAATATAACCATTGAATGTTGATGGGTATAATTTGAAATTTATAAAATTCGTTGGCTTGTTTTCCCGAACACCTAAGGTCCAATTACGACAGGAGGGCTACTAAAAAGTTGAGGACATGCAACGACGGCGAGGAAAGATGATTGGACCACTCAGAAACTGTGGTCAAATTAAAACGGTGTCCAGAAAAAGAGAATCATTCAAGAGCAATATTTAAGCGCCATCTTAGTGGAAATCTGTAACCTGGACACAACAGCATGTCCCGAACTGATGCGGCCGACCTAGCGATCTTGGTAACGCCAGGGAAATAAAGAGAGCAGACGGAGGAAAAAAGAAAAGGAATGGAGGTCCCAAGTATGGCAACCTTTATAGGGAAATCCAAACGTTTTCACTTTTACAAGATCTAGAAAGCCATTATATTGTCAAAAACTGTAATTTTCTATGAAAACAGTTGAACATGGTTGTGAATTTATTTGATAATGCAATAAATATATATTTTCATTTAATTATTTTGTGCCCCTCTACACAATGTTTTACTTATACTTTTGATAAATGTACATATCAGGTTAAATCTGTAGATTAAATAGTTACATATAAATAAATTAATACACAGTTTTGGTGGTGATGACCTGTGCAGTACTTGCACATGGACTTTTGGTCTATCTACCTAACTGTATCGAATGTTAAAGAGTTACTCATGTGTACACGTGTAATTATGATAATTAATAACTATATTTATTTTTTGTTTGTGTGTGTGTTGTGTGTGTGTCTGTCTGTGTCGGTGTGTGTATGTTCTATGTTGTATTGTAAATAATCAAAAGTGAGTTACCTCCCTTTAATTACTTTATCGTTTACATTTATGTATTAACATTTAAAAATATCTATAAAATATATTTAGCTAAAGTTCTATCATATTATTGTAATACTCTAGCCACCTATGGAAAGAATGTATATAGGCTTGCCTGTTATTCGATCCATTTGACCATAACACCATGTCAATAAAATCTGTTGAAATGAAAAAAATGAAATGAAGTATTGCAACCAACAACAGAATTAACCTTGACCTAAAATGATCAACATATCACGGAAGAATGTAAAACTTGGGATTCAAAAAGGTTATTTTCTCTCAAATACTTTCACATCCGTCTTATATTCAACTATAAAACTTTTGACTATTTTGTTCAGTAAATGTTGCTTTGCGATATTTATATTATTAATTTCATATATTATTGACTAACAACTGATTTACATTCAGTTAAAAAAACCTACTGATATATGTCACTGTTACTCGCGTAAATCATGTCAAACGATCAAAAAGTCAATGTAAACATCAAAAACAGTATACGGCTTTAAGTATCTCAAATGTGTCCCATATCATAGACAAAATAGGATTTTATCATTGATTTATAACCAGAACAAGAAATTAGGCTTGAGTACAAAATCCATGCTTGAGTATGAGAATGGTTTCATGATTACGGGCACAGATAGATTGAATGGTCCTCCAAGTGGTTCATAGAGTCGATATCTTTATATTGATTGAAATTGATAATGGAGTGCGTCTGAAAACAAGAAATATGGATATATATTATAATATATTAACTACATGAGAGTTAACATTGCTTACAGCAACTTGGTTATAATAAATATTATTCAATGATGATTTTTTTTGTGTTTTTGTGTTTGTTTATACAAAACAAAAGTAATTATAGTTCAAGAAAATTTATTAAAGGTTTGAAACTAGTGACTTGTTCAGTTATAAAAAAATAATTTATTATTTTGGCATTCTTGGGGGCTGCTCATAAGTAATTTTAACTACTCAAGATATAATATGACCTAAAACAAACAAAGTACTTAACACACAAAATACATATTAATACTAACTCATCGAGCGATCTCGACACGAGGCAGGCGACCCTGCTGTGTAAGACAGAAAAAGACATGTGGCCTAGCGAGCGATCCCACTGGGCGTGTGAATATCAGCAAGCGTGAATGTAAGTACATGGCTCAGGAGGTAACCCCACTCGCAGGTATTTAAGGCAATACGTGACTTACAGGGGGCTACGTCTGCAGGTACAAAGACTCACTCTTGTACAGACAAAATAGGTGGAGTAGTCCACCAGATACAATAGCCATTTGAGCGATCTCAAATGCATAAAAGTGAGTGTAAAGAATGTGTACGTGACTCTGGAGGTGTCCCCCTAGCAGGTATGGAAACGTGACTAACAGGGGGACTACATCTGCAGGTACAAAGATACAGACTCACTTCAGACAATAAATCTATAATGTAGACTATATATATACACAATATACATTTATGACAAAATATATACATAACTGAATTGGGGGTAAAAATTCCCCAAGAATTTAATGCCTACATTTTTTTTTTATCGAAACATGAACAGCCCCGAAAAAAAGAAGAAGAAAACAACAAACATCCCTGATGTATAAAGGTAAGCTGCGAGCCGGCTACTCCAGCCTGAATCAGGGAGGTAGGTTTATCCTTTGCTCAAGACCAGCAGGCGAGTGTTGTCTCACTCATCAAAAGCCAAAAAAATATCTGAAACAAGTCACAAACACGAAAAGAAAAGAAAAAAAAAACGTAAATAAGAAATGGTTGAACAAATACAAATTATGCGTAGATGTATATTACATCTCATGATCGTTTAGTCAGCAAATAAACACAAAGCAGAAATACATAACCATACCTAAAACATAAATCAATAATAGTCATACAGAACAACAGAAAAAGTATAATACATGACAAAAACAAAAGAAACCTTTTAAGCATTGGACAATATATATCCATAAAATAGAGGCAGAGAGGGGCGGTGGTGGGTGCAACAAAATTAAAACCGCCAAACTGACCAACGCTTCTGAAAACAATGACCACTATCCACAATTAATTGAGGGCCCCCTAGGCCTAATTGCTACGGGTCAGGATGGTCACGTGATTGTGACTGCGCATGTTGGGCGCGTTATTTGAATAGATTTTTGTCTTGTATAAACCTCAATTTAGAATAATCAAAATTATATTTTATACACAACAAAACAAAAGTAATCATAGTTCAAGAAAATTTATTAAAGGTTCGAAACTAGTGACTTGTTCAGTTATAAAAATTTAATTTATTATTTTGGCATTCTTGGGGGCTGCTCATAAGTAATTTAAACTACTCAACATAATATGACTTAAAAAAAACCAAAGTACTTAACATACAAAATACATATTAATACTAACTCATCGAGCGATCTCGACACGAGGCAGGCGACCCTGCTGTGTAAGACAGAAAAAGACTTGTGGCCTAGCGAGCGATCCCACTAGGCGTGTGAATATCAGCAAGCGTGAATGTAAGTACATGGCTCAGGAGGTAACCCCACTCGCAGGTATTTAGGGCAATACGTGACAAACAGGGGGCTACGTCTGCAGGTACAAAGACTCACTCTTGTACAGACAAAAGAGGTGGAGTAGTCCACCAGATACAATAGCCATTTGAGCGATCTCAAATGCATAAAAGTGAGTGTAAAGAATGTGTACGTGACTCAGGAGGTGTCCCCCTAGCAGGTATGGAAACGTGACTAACAGGGGGACTACATCTGCAGGTACAAAGATACAGACTCACTTCAGACAATAAATCTATAATGTAGACTATATATATACACAATATACATTTATGACAAAATATATACATAACTGAATTGGGGGTAAAAATTCCCCAAGAATTTAATGCCAAAAAAGAATGCAGTGTTTTGAAAAACAAATACATGATATACCAGCATGTATTGACACAAATGAATGCCCCCAAGAAAAGTATGTATATTTATTAATCTGTGTAGTATGTGTACCTTTATAGTGTACATGTATATTAGCATGACAAAGTTGTTATATACAAGTACTCGAGAAGCGCCCATACGTAATCTGCACTTATGCATTCGCTGTTGAGCCTTTCTAAAGGAGGAAGGGCAAGTATGAATATACCTAGTATAACAAGAAGACTTATTCGGCCTAAGTCTGAATCATGTGATCTTCGAGATTTCCCCCGCAGCACCAGAAGTAGCTGCTCCATTACGAAATGAATGACCTGAATAAGAGCCATATGAATGTCCAGATCTCAAGAGGGTTTCTTTAACTTAACCAGCTGAAAGGTACCTCTGTACAGAGGTTGAACACAGTGTGCATGCTCACTTCAATGAACAAAGGAGAGGCTGGACAGGGGTTAGAAACCATGCGTTGGTCTACATTATCTTTCATAGACTTTACAGGGTACAACAATATGTTTTCAAAAAATACGATATCTACACAACTACCGAATGGGTCAGTTTTTTGGTGGTTATTTTTATGATGCAGTGTAAGGACGAATTTAGACAAGTCTTGAGCAAATCTTACATCACTAATTAGTATGAATTATCATGAGCATATCTACATGTGAATTTTCCACATCTCAAAAAAGGAATAGGTTAACGTTTGTTACCAGTACTTGTTACTTGCGTCCGACGGACTGCTCTGAAAATATATGGTTATCTTAGAGATCTATACAGTGGACCCCCCAAGCCATTCCGTATATAATGAAACTGAATACCAGCGAGATATAACTTATGGTGTCAAAGCGAAAACTCAAAACAGTTTGACAGTAAGTCACAAAAGAAATCACATGGAATCGCTAAAGAGTTAATCACTACGAATTTCAAGAAACATGACAGTGCTGATTTGTAAGGTAGACAAGGTAATGCTGCGCATATGCTCAGAGCATTGTCCCACTAAAAATCAATGTTCATAGCATCATCACCTCATGGGCTGATAATGGGCATAAGGGGCCAGCGTTCGAAATCTGTCCATCTGCTAACGAGAAATGGAGTTGGCCACAATATTTCTTTGCCCTCAATATGTATGGCATGAATACAACTGGTTGTGTAGCCATGGAGAGTTAGACGTCTCATAAGTTTCATAATTCTTTGAACCTTAGATCTACCTTTACTTATAATGTCAACAGTAGCAAGGTTGTCACAGTGAAATAAGATTCTTTTTCACGACTACAAATGACCCCATAAAACCACAAGCCATCACTATGGGATAAAGTTCAAATAAGGCCATAGAAGTATCCTCTTCAAGTAGTGAAGGGGGAAACAATCCTTGAAACCAACTGCAACCAAGAGTGCCTCCAAAAGCACTTAGGGTAGCATCTGTATACAAATGCATGTCAGTAGCCAAGGTAACGTTGTCATCCAGAAAGAAAATAATTCCATTCCATAAATGTGTATTCCATGAGCTGAGGAAGAAAGCCCACATGGCGAGTTGATACGGTAACTTTTAAGAGGAATTTCTGTGAAAGGGCTCGTTAGAATCCTATGTCGACTTCTTTTTGAATCAAAGTAGACAAACAGTTTTTATTCTTTAAAGCAGACCTCAAATTCTTAAACCAAAATTAGGCTTCTGGAATGAGCTGAAAACCTGTGTCATAATATAAACAAAGTTAGGCCGTGCAGCAAATCCTCTACAAATTCCCTGTTATGATGGTCCTGCAGTTCCTGCCTTAAAACGTCAACATTAATAGGTGTAGACGCTATTGACGCTATCTCTTCTTGTTCGGATTGGAACTGTTACAATATGCTGAATTGCAGCCCCTTTCACCATTTAAGTTGTTGCATAGCTCTTCACCATCATGGAATACACGAACGCGACAGTACAAATCTGTAGATGACTCTGTTTATTATGACTACCTCTCTGACCTGGAGGACTCTGTTTGGCTGTGTCTGTTAATGTTGCCAAAGGAACGGGGGAACATGGGCAGAAACAAGATTGATGTAAGGTACTGCTGCAGTACGGACAAAGATTTTGTGTTTTATTTGTAAAAACCTGACTGTTTAAAACAACACAAAGTACTTGGCATACAAAATATATATTAATACTAACTAATCGAATGATATCGACACGAGGCAGGCGACCCTGCTGTGTAAGACAGAAAAAGACTTGTGGCCTAGCGAGCGATCCCACTAGGCGTGTGAATACATCAGCAAGCGTGAATGTAAGTACATGTACATGGCTCAGGAGGTATCCCCACTCGCAGGTATTAAGGCAATACGTGACTAACAGGGGGCTACGTCTGCAGGTACAAAGACTCACTCTTGTACAGACAAAAGAGGTGGAGTAGCCCACCTGATACAGTAATGATATGAGCGATCTCAAATGCATAAAAGTGAGTGTAAAGAAAGTGTACGTGACTTGGGAGGTTTCCCCCCTAGCAGGTATGGGAACGGAAAAGACATGTGGCCTAGCGAGCGGTCACACTAGGCGTGAGAATATCAGCAAGCGTGAATGTAAGTACATGGCTCAGGAGGTAACCCCACTCGCAGGTATTGAAGGCAATACGTGACTAACAGGGGGCTACGTCTGCAGGTACAAAGACTCACTCTTGTACAGACAAAAGAGGTGGAGTAGTCCACCAGACACAGTAGCCATTTGAGCGATCTCAAATACAAAAAAGAGAGTGTAAAGAATGTGTACGTGACTCAGGAGGTGTCCCCTAGCAGGTATGGAAACGTGACTAACAGGGGGACTACATCTGCAGGTACAAAGATAAAGACTCACTTCAGACATAAATCTATAATAGAGACTATATTTACACACAATATACATTGATGCAAAATATGAAACCGCTCGTACGCTGAAATAACCCCCAGGACTCTGACAGCCGGTCATATCTGTACATGTTTGTAATCCAGTTTGGTTTCCAGTTACGTCAGCAGGCGTAGTAGAGCTATTGCTGACAGAATTGTTGGTTAGCGCATTGATTTTGTCATTTAGAGATGAAAAAGTTTTTCTACATATAAGGAATTTTTGCTGAAAGTGAACTAAATGCCTGTAGATGACTCGTATCATGGGCGCCGCCATCTTTATTGTAACTTCCGCTTTGCTGTGCATCTTGGGATCGCGCACCTTCAAGAGCGGGGCCCGCAACGGGGGAAATCCTATCGTTGGCACGCAGCAAACGAACGAGAACAAATCGTCGAGCGTTACCTTGGGTGTGAATTCCTAGTTCCTCACAAGCTTCTTTTAGCCGGGAAAGCGTCCAGTTTTTAATTAATTCGGGGTTGTATCGAGTAAGCCTAGTCGTTCGGCGTTTGGGTCCAATATCTTAACAGCGAGAATAAATAATCAACACTTCGAGAACGCTACAATATCCTGTGAAACTCACGGCAAAAACTGATGCAGAAAACAAATAAATAGTCATCATTCGTCATCAACGTACATAACGCAGAACCAGCTGACGTGCTCAGAATGCGATTACAGAAAACTTTCAGGTTCAAAACAAAAAATGGCGGGCGCACCTGCGATGAGTTGGTTCAGAACCGAAGACGAAGCATGCACGAACACTTCACACGAATCGTCACGCAATGCACACGTAATCCAGAATATAGCTAAATAATGTTCTAGAATAAACACGAATTCCCATGTTAAAAAAGGGTATGATGGTTAACGATTTTAACCGTCAAGTCGAGCAAGAAAGTGCAACAAAATTAAAACCGCCAAACTGACCAACGCTTCTGAAAACAATGACCACTATCGACAATTAATTGAGGGCCCCCTAGGCCTAATTGCTACAGGTCAGTATGGTCACGTGATTGTGACTGCGCCAGTTGGGCGCGTTATTTGAATAGATTTTGTCTTGTATAAACCTCAATTTAGAATAACTAAAATTACATTTGTCGCGAGCAATTTAAAAGTTGTCAGATGATACAATATTTCAGTTATACACACAGCATATATCTACGTTAATATTATTTGTATTCTCACTCTGTCTTTCCTGCCACAGCTATAAGACCATAAAGGACTTAACTACTGCAATACCTTGTATTTCTTGAATAGCTATTTTCGTCAAGGGGAATAAAATACTGATACACTTTGACGTTGTAGTGTCAAGGTATACCTAAGCATTCACAGGATCATTTTTGTTTACATTGATATATACGACGAATACATTCATTTGGCCCGCTATTCGGTTTCACACCGTTAACATAATAGTGTTTTATAACTTAAACATGTATATATAGATATACTTAAACACACACACACATATATATATATATATATATATATATATATATAACAACTATTGTACATACGTTTCCAGCGTAGCCGAAATCGACATCGATTTTATGGACAACTCGTACACATTTTGCACCTTTGTGTGCATACGCTTTATTGGTCATTTGTCTGATGAAGGTGACAGTGTACATTTCGTTCTAGTCATGGAAACGTCACATAGACAATTTTATTGGTTATGTAAAAAGAACTTCTCATAATCCATACTTACCAACCTGAAAAAAATCATCAGAAACTTAAACATAATCTTATAAATACTCCTTCACTAAACAAAGCAATATCACGCCAAAGTATACCAAACGTATTTATCCAATCAACACCCGGGATTTGGTCATGTGCCTTCTGGCTATAATTATACTTTTCCTGACGAAATGACCCACCTTGAGCCGCACAACATCCGTCGCTGATACACCGGCATGGTAGGACAGAGTCTGTAACAGAACAGACTACGACTGATGATATTAGTCTGGAATGTATCAAATTCAATTTTGTATGTGGGTGTGTTAGATATAGATCGTAATTTATCCTGCAGGCTATAGATAAGTTGTATTTCCGAAAGAAAAAATACGTAGATTTTTAGCTCTGATGTGTTTTTGTTCAATCTTTTTAAGTAGTCATGCAATGTTTTCGCCATTTCTCATTCCAAATATATCCAAAGAGGAGTCTTTTACGTGCATTGGAACACAGCTACCGAGTTTAATCCACTCTGGTAAAGAGGGATTTAAACCTCAGCTGTCTACGTCCGCGGGATAAAATTTGACGCTCTGTTCTGTATAGTAAAAGGTTATAAGGAGTACATGTCTGTCAGGGAATACTCCCCGGTAGATTGCGCAATCTGACAGTTTTATTTCATAAATATTTTCTGAACAAAACATGAAATGGAATTTGACGGCACATAAAAGGTTTTGGAAAAATCTGTGCAAATTTCGTAAATTACTTATCACATCTTTGCACAATTTCGCATAAGAAACAAACATCGCCCACCCTTATTTACATCCTTCATTCAACCTCTCAATCGACAACCACACACAACCTCAATCACACCCTCACACCACATTAACACACAACCTCACTAACACCCTCGCACCACATTAACAGACAACATCACTAACACCCTCGCACCACAGTAACAGACATCCTCGTTCACACCCTCGCACCAAAGTAACAGACATCCTCATTCACACCCTCGCACCACAGTAACATACATCCACATTCCCACCCTCGCACCACAGTAACAAACATCCACATTCACACCCTCGCACCACAGTAACATACATCCTCAATCACATCCTCGCACCACAATCCCACACATCCTCAATCAAATTCTCGCACCTCAATCTCACACATCCTCACTCGAAACCCTCGCACCATAATCACACATAACCTCACTGACACACTCGCTCCACCATCTCACACATTTTCACTCACACTCTAGCACCACAATCACGCATGCTCAATAAAGTATCATTTAGATAGCATATGAAAAAAATAGACTTTCTATATGTTTGAATTGTAAGAGATTTTTAAAAGCGAAACAACGGCTATTTGATCACCTCTCGTTTATAGTTTATATAAGAACAATGATAAAGGGGAGGTAACTGCAGTATTCAGTTGTTATTATTTATTTCGCTTTTTCTCGGATTTTCGTGACCTGCCGATAAGTGATACTTCTAAAAATACAAGAAATTTAATTGTTATATATCTATTCATGTAGAAAATTACATGAATATACCGACAATAGACAAAAATGGGTAAAAAATGCAGATATGATAACCAATTATCACAACCACTAGGCTGGAGCACGTTTGCAATACCTGACACGCCATTTCGGTGTTTTGCAAGGGTAAATTGTAAGTAGCCTTTATTATCTGAGAAATACTCACTTCATTTAATTGGTAAGATTTAAAAGAATGATCTTCAATGTTGATAATTTTCAGACGAATAGGAAAAGGATACTTTTGACATCTATGAAACTATATTGTGGTGGTAGAAAATAATGGTTCATATTTGCAAATAAAGGATTTCGACAACAAAATTGTAGGACGGATGGAGTCCTGTTTACTTAATTTTGACGCCATCTTCAGTAAATTTTGGATCCAAGATATTCTAGTTCTGCATTAATGCTTTCCCGGTGAAACGCACCAACATTTTTTTTAGATATCTTTGTAATTGGAGTGTAATTGGAGTGTAATTGGAGTGTAATTTGAGTAATTATATGTTAGAAAAGATGCTCAGGACTTGTCTGAATACATTCTACAGCTATCACTGCATCTTGAAATATTTTTATTAACGCAATAATTGTCGAGTTCAGTACTTGCCATCACAATTCTGATGTTTCTTTTATAAGTTTTGAATTAAAACAGTCTTGGAATATGTTATTGTTGTGAAAATCTTTCAATATTTACAAAAAATATTATGAAGCACTTGATATCGCTTAAACATATTTGCAAACGTAAAATTTGTTTTTACTTATTTATAAAACACTAAATGCATCAAAGTGAACAATTCTGTCACATGATCCCATAATTACTTTGGATGATAACTACATTAAACCAGTAACAATGGGTGTGTTCTGCTATATTTGTGGGTGCAATTGATTGATAAGGGACCGCCATACCTCTAACGTTACAGCTTGTTTCGATAACAAGATGGCCGTCTCCTCGTATAGAACACAGTTGTTAATTCCCAAACCACAGAATATCGTGAAAGCCTGAAACGAAATGAATAAAGAATTATAAAAGAATGTATATACAAAAATAAAAGGATTGCTTTTCAAAACATTAATTTCCTGGTCATGGTACGTAGTATTGTTTATGATAGCATTATAACATGAACATGTTAAATCACTTCCTGTATATGAATATCGGTTACTGAATAAAAGTAGTGCACTGCTACGCCATGTTTGATCCCACATGTTGATTTTCCTGTACATTAGAACAAATAAATATAACACCTTTGACTGCTTTTGTTATTAAATACTGGATGCGTAGGAAGCCAAATGGAATGAAAGCACGTTTTCGATCCCTATAGAATTCCATATCGCATAGAATCTGATAGCACACTTACTTCAAACAGTTGATCGTCATGTTCATCAAAAGCGAGTCCGTCGGATTTGTTCATCACCTGAGCGACTCCTGGTATAAGAGTAAACAAACAACATAATCATTAGAATTTGTTACAAATCATTCACGAAAACTGATCCTGAAACGCCAACACAAGTCATTGACAAAGGAAGTTATCAATGACTGTGTCCACGTTTTAATAAAAGTGCACCAAGATTACAAGATTTTTTGATTTTTTTTTTAATATAAGATCCGTGTTTAATGAAAACAAGCTTATTTTTTTACAATGTATCATTGTTTGCATGTTTCTAGATGAACAAAACAAAGTATCTAACAATGTTTTGCTTCGTGCCATTAGCAAGGCACCAGTATATATTTTTGATCTGTATGACCATTATATGCAGAATAAGGAGAGACATCCCGACTACAACTTAAATTATTTTGTTTTAAAATCTAGTGTAGCGATATGTCACGTTTTATTTATGTTTACTGTTTTGTGTAACAGCTTTGCATTTGACGACATTTTCGATAATATGAATGATACCATTTGCCATATAACAAATACACGTTTACGATTTGAAAATCTCTTGTATTGAATTATAAAGGATAAACGTCAGTATATACTGATAGTAACGATATTTGTTAATAACACCGTCGTAGATATAAGATTTATGTAATCAACATCGCTGTTTATGTTAGATATTTGTCAGTAAAACTAATGTTTGAGTATAGTAGTTGTAAACAACACTGTTGTTTATGTTAGATGTTTGGACACTTTTTCGTGTTGAAAGTTTGGAATTAATATTGACGTTTACGATACATGTTTTAAACAACACTCCTGGTAATGTTAGATCGTCTAAAACAACAGTTTTGTTTATGTTCGATGTTGGAAAAGTAACAGTAATGTTATGTTAGCTTATTGATAAACAAAGATCAGAATTTAAAGATAATGACGTAAATGGTTGTAAACAACAGTGGTAATTGTTTTCAAAGCGTATTGACATGCACTGATCAATGTTATACTTATAACATAGACGTTTCAAAAACAACACCGCTGTTAATAACTATAACACTTGTTGTTATTGACTATAACACTTGTTACTATTAACAATAACACTTGTTGTTAATAACTAAAATACTTGTTGTTATGAACTATAAAACTTGTTGTTATGAACTATAAAACTTGTTGTTACTAACTTTTACACTCGTTGTCATTAACTTAAACACGTGTTGTTATTAACTATAATACTTGTTTCTATTAACTATAACACTTGTTGTTAATAATTAAAACACTTGTTGTTATTAAATTCCATACTCGTTGTCATTAACTTAACACGTGTTGTTATTAACTATAATACTTGTTTCTATTAACTATAACACTTGTTGTTTATAACTAAATTACTTGTTGTTATTAACTTTTACACTCGTTGTCATGAACTTAAACACGTGTTGTTATTAACTTTTACACTCGTTGTCATGAACTTAAACACGTGTTGTTATTAACTTTTACACTTGTTGTTATTAACTAAAACACTGCTGATTTCTCACATGGATTGTACGATTACTGTCCGTTAATTAGACGTAAAATGATTCCCCATAGACCAGCAATCTTTAACAGACGGAACAAAATGGTGCTTTACCTTACTCTGATATATATGCATACTGTGAAATCACTAATTTTCGTGGGTTTTTTAATTTCATATATTTTGTGGATAATCTTAATCTGCGAATTCATAGTAGGTCCATGAAGTAATTACAATTTTAATTGTGTACTCGGAATCAACGAATGCATGTACCTACGAAATGTTTTTTGTCGGGAAACCACAAAATCTAGGCTCCACGAAAATATCTGATTTCACAGTATTTGAAAAACGCCGGACCAGACAATGTGTATAGGAAGCCGAATTAGACTGAGCTACATTTAAACTTTAATTCCAAACACTCTAGAACAAAATAGGTAATTGGAAAAAGTGGTTCTTATCGTTCAAACACTTGTAACCAACCAACACGACAAGAAAAATGATTTTGACCACGTTAAAGCATTCCGTTCCAAAGGTTTTCCAGAGTGGATGTTTAATCTTCCAAAGAAAAAAAAAGACAACCCTACAAACAACGACGGAGGTACTGCACAGCAACAATAAATCAGGCAACTCGCTCAGACAAAAAACTTTCAGACGTCAACGACAAATCCGACACGTCTGAAGTGCGGGGTCAAATATCACATAAAATAAAATGTAACAAACGCTTAACGATTACGTTGGTGGAACAGTTTGGCGGTCTTTAGTCGGACGGCTGAAGGAACAATTATATAGAGAATTATCAGCCATTCAGGAATGATGCAAGTTAACTGGCCATTGACACCGATATAGTCACAGTGCTTGCTTCAGAGGAACATAACATTAATAGGAATGAGAAAGAAGCCGTAGCGATCAAGCAGTGCAAGATCAGTTCTTACGCTTGCTTGATAATCAAGGAGTATGTGACCGTCAGTAATGAACGTCAAAATCAGCTGACGAAGAACAACTGATCTGGCCGAAATGTTCTCAGGTTTAAGCAATATTTTGCGATATTGTGATAACTAAAAGTCAGCTATTTCATCAAAGGAAGGTAATGCCACATATTTAGTTGTACTTATTACGTGTTTCTGCAAATTTTTTGCTACATATTGACTGTCGTTCATTGATTGGACACATCACTCACAATCAGCCTGACCCCAAACACTCTCATCTCGGGCGCACATCCAATTATAGTAAATTATAATTTGATATCAATAGCTAAACGATAAGAATATGGACGTTTTATTATTATCTTTGTCACAATCCCGATTCTAACTTTGACGAGGTGACATGACTTGAAGATTTAACATTTATTTATTTGATGGGTGTCGTCGATGAAGAGCAGGAGACGCTTGTCCTTCTGGAACACCTGGTCGTATCCTCCTTATCCTTTTTCAATGGTCATCATTTTAATCTTTCATTCGGTTATAGACTGTCCTAGCTTTATCGATTTTGAGTTCGAATTACAGTCACACTTCAGTATTTCATAACGCATATTGATAGTGTCTATTGAGGAAAAATTCACAGTAGTTTTATTATGTTTTCAACTTGTATTTTCTCTGCTTTGATATTATCTAAAACAATATTATGATAAAGAGAAAAGGCACCAACGCAACCTGAAAAGAGATATAACCTGTTGGTTCCCACTTAATGATCGTCTGTGGCGGCTTATGTGAAAGGATCCGAGAAACATCATTTGGTGGTCTCTTGTTAGAGTTTAAAAATGTTGATATGCTGTTTATCATATTTTCTACATTGTCTTTTTTCACACTCGTTGTATCATAAGGTCAACTATAAAATAATGTCTGATAATAACTCTTCAAAAAACAGCTAGAGAATACTTAAGTGTCACCCGAACCATAATTCGAACTCAAAATCGAAAAATATAGTACAAAATGTGAATTAAAGAAAGATATACGTGGATACCTTTGACTAAGTACATATGTAGTCAGACCAGGTATACCGGAAGGGTAAGCGTCTTCTGTTGACGACAACCGCTAAAAAAATGAAGGTCAAATCCAAATCCAAAATGCAAATAGGGAAATGTCATAATAATGTCTGCATTGTAGATATACAAGGACAGGATCGGAGATCAAAGTTGATATAAAGAACAACAACGGGAACTGAGGAAGCACAAAAAGGAAGACAGACACATAATGAGAAAGACGATAAAATGACAAAAAAACAGGCATGTATATATCTGCTCCATATATGGAATATAAGGAATGTGTTACGATAAAAAAAACACCTCAAACAAACAAACAAATACAATCTCACCAATTGTTTGTGAGTCCCTGTTTCTGATTGGCTTACACAATATCGACCGCATAGAAATGTTTCCGCATTTGTCAACCTGATAAAATGAAACATCATTCACTTATTATCACAGAGAGTAAAATCTAGCAGAGTGATATGTATATATATATTTATAAAAAGCAAATTTCCTAATGCTTTTGAAAGAATGTCAGATATGGTGTAAGCGTAACTTGAATTTCAGCAACAATCTTAGCAGCTCTTTCTAGAATTTCAAAATTGTTCTATTCTGAGAAACTTATGAGAGATGACTGTGGAAAGAAAACTTAAGACTACACAAAATATAAGTAAAATGGTGAATACTACATCTCATATCGATCTGTTGTTTGTTTTTGAAATTTTATCCTTAAAAATAATTAATTTTCCATAATAACTCTCTGAATTCATATATTCTCGTGAATCCGACATCAAATTTGCTTAAATTGAATTGCCCATGTCACCAAATTCTCTTAATTGTCTGTTTTAGTGTTGAAAATGGCATTTCACTAAGAAACTTGTGACAGAAATGTAGCTTGAAAACTGATATTGAGTGACGTACCTCATGCTCGAAGCGACCATCATGCTCAGCGTCTGAAATATTTATTGTCTCTCCTGTAATGAGCACGTGTTCGGCGATCTTGTTTCCAAATTTCATGTCTGAAGAGTTTTCAGGACTGACAACGGAACAAATAATATTAATTAGGAATACAAATAAATAATAAATAAATACCATTTGTAAAAAGACATTTTAAACATAAACCTATGCTAATTCAAAATGTATTTAACGTTAGAAAAGTAACAATAAGGTTTCTAGCAATTTAGAGTGTTACGTCATCAATATCAGTTATTTGATTGAGTCATATAAAATTGCCAATACCCGTTTATTACTTAACTTTGATATACCATATAACAAACATTTTCTACAAACGCAGGTTCCTAACACAACGACTGTGCTTGATGTAGCAATGAAATAACAAATCTTGCAGCGGTAATGGTGAGTATATGTCACGAGAAATATGTTCTAAAGCCTGTAACATACTGGTTTCATTTAATTTGAAAGCTTGATATCATGTTAATTGAATACCAAGAAGCTGATGATTTTTCAAATCAATTCTACTTTATTGTTGTGACAAATGTACAAAAGGATCAGGCACATTCATTGTCTACTAAAGCCTGTCAAGAAGTTGATGATACTTTATTTTTCTTCAATCAGTTCTTCCAGATGCAGTGAACAATACACATGAGTGTCTCCTATTGGTGGTTCCATGTATCGCCCAATTTAATTATATACAGTAAAATAAACATGTCTCCCGTTAATGTGCCACTTCGCTTACCGCCAGCATATAGCCAGAAGAAGTTGTGTTATTTTAAATCCAAAATATATCATTACAATAGACAAAAGCAGAGTTAAAACACCAAAGACGAGACTAAAACACAGACATCTGCAAACAAAGATAAAACAATACATTAGGCATTTAATGATGTTGTCAGTTCTAGCTAAAACTTGTCTAGCGCTCTAGGATATTGATTATTAGGCTTTTGTCACATATAGTACAAAGGATATATAGGATCTTACATGAGCTTCCATTTCATATGAGATTGATGAAACGAGTCTAAGATTTTTTTCAATTTAGCGAGCCTCTGGCGAGCTATATGAAAGTTTCGTGACGAGTTTCATAAATTTCATATGAAATGAAAACGAGTGTAAGATCCTTTTTATTACATAACCAGGATTTGTGGCATTTATTCGTGTAAAACGGTATTTTTCATGCAACTTTGAAATGTAAAAAGCCGCCATTTTGGCTTCAGTGCGTAAGCCTGTGACGTCATGTACTTGTCCTAGGCGTGACGTCACAATTAAAACAATTGAAGCTTACACCCAGTCACAGGGCTGATAGGTAATATTACATGGGTTAATATGCAAAAGTATGATATGGGTATATTCACTGGATAGCACAGTACATTATGTGATAAAAGGATAAATAAGCTGTTTTCATAGCAGTGTAATTTTAGAGATTGTTTTGCTGTTATTGTCCATGTGGAAAAAAAGACAATATTTTTAATCAAGAACCGACACAATTATATATTGTATAAACAAATATAGATCACAGCATATAAGAAAAAAACTCACGAGACCAAAAAGCTGTGCACGTGACAAGTTTGAATAACTGAGCCAAGGTCACAATGAAGAATAAACTTTTAGAAAGACGAATATAATTCGACATAATAAATAATACAATCGGCCTTGCATGTCAAAATGAGAAATGAACAAATACAAAATGTGCTCATTTGGACTTGAAATGACTTAGCAAATGTATATAAAATAAGTTATGTTGTTAACTGAAATATATGATTGTTTTCTGTAGTCATAAATTATTCGCACTTCCCGAGCTTCAGTAAAGTCATAATCTTCTGCCATCATTTCTCGAATTTATTTTCTCACTATTTGTAGGATTATTATTTTTTGATATATGTACAATAACCCATCGAATTATACTACAGCTCGATGACGTCATCAAGTCATGATTGTCAATGGAAAATAATGCATTTGTGACCTTGACCCTCGACATAGAGGTACAGAAAACGACAATCGGATTACCTTGTACAAATAATGGAGGGCACATTACGTGGCCTGTTGGCGGGATGCGTTTTGGGATCACAGGTTGAGAAAACATTCCTGCCACAGGAGAGGAAAAACCGACAGGGTCAGAAAAAGAGTCAGAAAGTGATAGAAATATATTTGTACAATACTGAAAAAGTCAAAAAGGTAAAATTGTCATGAAATCCAGTATAATCAGTGTCTTTGTATGCCTTGCACTAAATAATAATTTATATATTGCGTTGAATATATTGACGCGAATTCATGGAAAGCTTTGCTTCAGCAAAATTTCCATCATCTACATAAATATAAGTAATGATAATAAAAAAAATAGGTTTTCATGACAATCAGATACATAGAATATGATAAAAAGGATATAGAGCAAAATACTAATTTTGAGTGAAATCGATTAAAGGAAGCATGACACTCTCAAAAAGTAGAAATTCTACTATTTGAATAATCATAAATTAGATGAAATGATCGGTGAAGAATGTTGAACTAGTTTAAAAACGCAACATGGATAAATAAAATATGATGATAATCGAACGTTTAAAAAGTGTCAGTTCATTTTGTAATAATTATGTGATATTTGCTCTTCATATATTTCAAGAGGCGAATAATATGCGAACCCCTGCAGAATTCAAGACCTTCGATTATTTGGTCTCAACTTGGCGAAATATAAGCAAACAGCCAATCCTCAATATTCAAATCAATATTTCAGAAATTTCTTCATCGACCCGTTTACTTACTTATCTTTCTTTGAGCATTAACGTCTATGTAACAACGATATTTGTGGTGATTTGACACATCTAACCGTCAGATTCTATTTATGCCCTAGTGTTGCGATGCTGTACCTTGACAGTTATTTATATGTTAATCTGTCCTACTTTCTTGAAAGTATTTGGGAAATTTCGTCGATCAACGATCACTATTATTCTTCGTTTTTTTTTCATACATTGATGTTATTCTTTAGTTTGATATTTCATTAGGCCTAAGAGAAGCAAACTATTTCAGCCCTTATACTTTGGCGTTAATACTATCAGTGAATAACGAGTGTTTGCACACGATCAATATACATCCGCATAGATATCATATCAAAACAGGATACGAAATATATATCAAAAATGTACTCCAAAATACGAAGTTTTAGAAATAAAAAAGACGATTTACAAAGTATTTTGCTATTTCAGATGAGAATGTTTTGTTTAAAGGTCAAGCGAAATACACCATGTTGGGTGTTGCAGCCTTGATGATTCTGTTGATAAAGCACACTTTCTGAGACTTATTTCTACGAAATTTGATGTCCAGCCAATCTTAAAATTGATTTTTGTTCTTCAATGTTGTTCACAACACCATACATGTAAATGAAAAAAATATTATCGCTGCACAAACATTTAAAGGTTTCGTCACGTTTACAACATATTATTCAAAATAAGTTACAGAAGACCGAAAAGACAAAATACAGAGAAGAAGAAATAAAAACAAAACACACCACACTTACTTATAATTGGAAGACTTGCCATTTTTCACCGGATAACCGAGATCAAATACTTGGTTGAAGTTAGTCTGAAATAGTAAATAGGTTACTAATAAAGAGTTGATTAGATAAAGCTTATGTACATGGTCGAAAAAGAGATATTGGACAGCAGGTCATTATATCTTACAAGGACCAGCAATAATATTTAGAGCAAGCATATAGGTGAATGAGAACTCCTTACTGGTTGTGCTATTCGAACTTTTCCATAATTCATACTTATCAACCTTGCAAAAATGTTTAGAAATAACCGCAAAGAAAATTCGCAAATTGGCCTATTTAAATGTACTATTTATTATTTTTATTTCCTTCTCTATGTAACTCATAGGATAAAAATACCTATGTACTGTTTTTATGTTATACACGTTGAGATCTAGCATCGTATCAAACATTATTTCACCAAGTCAAATTTGTTAATTATCTGAAGAATTATGGCTATATTTCTGTGTGTAACAATACATCTGAAAATGATTGTTTCGAATTCAAAGTGACGTTGAATTTGTGCTGTTTTAAATATAACCTAAGTTATATACTAGTTTCTACCTTAGTTATATACTAGTTTCTATCTAAGTTTTATACTAGTTCCTACCTAAGTTATATACTAGTTCCTACCTAAGTTATATACTAGTTCCTACCTAAGTTATATACTAGTTCCTTCCTAAGTTATATACTAGTTCCTACCTAAGTTATATACTAGTTCCTACCTAAGTTATATACTAGTTCCTACCTAAGTTATATACTAGTTCCTACCTAAGTTATATACTAGTTCCTACCTAAGTTATATACTAGTTCCTACCTAAGTTATATACTAGTTCCTACCTAAGTTATATACTAGTTCCTACCTAAGTTATATACTAGTTCCTACCTAAGTTATATACTAGTTCCTACCTAAGTTATATACTAGTTCCTACCTAAGTTATATACTAGTTCCTACCTAAGTTATATACTAGTTCCTACCTAAGTTATATACTAGTTCCTACCTAAGTTATATACTAGTTCCTACCTAAGTTATATACTAGTTCCTATCTAAGTTATATACTAGTTCCTATCTAAGTTATATACTAGTTCCTACCTAAGTTGTATACTAGTTCCTTCCTAAGTTATATATTAGTTCCTACCTAGGTTTTATACTGGTTCCTTTCTAAGTTATGTACAAGTTCCTTCCTAAGTTATATACTAGTTCCTACCTAAGTTATATACTAGTTCCTTCCTAAGTTATATATTAGTTCCTTCCTAAGTTATCAACTAGTTCCTATCTAATCTATATACTAGTTCCTACCTAAGTTATATACAAGTTCCTTCCTAAGTTATATACTAGTTCCTATCTAAGTTATATACTAGTTCCTCCCTAAGTTGTATACTAGTTCCTTCCTAAGTTATATATTAGTTCCTACCTAGGCTATATACTAGTTCCTTCCTAAGTTATATATTAGTCCCTTCCTAAGTTATCTACTAGTTCCTATCTAATCTATATACTAGTTCCTACCTAAGTAATATACTAGTTCCTACCTAAGTTATACACTAGTTCCTTCCTAAGTTATATATTAGTTCCTTCCTAAGTTATCTACTAGTTCCTATCTAATCTATATACTAGTTCCTACCTAAGTTATATACAAGTTCCTATATAAGTTATATACTAGTTCCTACCTAGGTTATATACTAGTTCCTTCCTAAGTTATATATTAGTTCCTTCCTAAGTTATATACTAGTTCCTACCTAAGTTATATACTAGTTCCTTCCTAAGTTATATACTAGTTCCTACGTAAGTTATCTACTAGTTCCTACGTAAGTTATATACTTGTTCCTACCTAAGTTATATGTTAGTTCCTACCTCAGTTATATACTAGTTCCTACCTAAGTAATATACTAGTTCCTACCTAAGTTATATCCTAGTTCCTATCTAAGTTATATACTTGTACCTACCTAGGTTATATACTAATTCCTACGTAAGTTATGTACTAGTTCCTACGTAAGTTATCTACTAGTTCCTACCTAAGTTATATCCTAGTTCCTATCTAAGTTATATACTTGTTCCTACCTAAGTTATATGTTAGTTCCTATCTAAGATATATACTAGTTCCTATCTAAGTTATATCCTAGTTCCTACCTAAATTATATACTAGTTCCTATCTAAGCTATATACTAGTTCCTACCTAAGTTACATACCGGTTCCTACCTAAGTTATATACTACTTCCTATCTAAGTTATATACTAGTTCCTATCTAAGTTATATACTTGTACCTACCTAGGTTATATACTAATTCCTACGTAAGTTATGTACTAGTTCCTACGTAAGTTATCTACTAGTTCCTCCGTAAGTTATATACTTGTTCCTACCTAAGTTATATGTTAGTTCCTACCTGAGGTATATACTAGTTCCTACCTAAATTATATACTAGTTCCTATCTAAGTTATATCCTAGTTCCTACCTACGTTATCTACCAATTGCCACCTATGTTATATACTAATTCCTTCCTAAGTTATATACTAGTTCCTATCTAAGTTATATCCTAGTTCCTACCTAAATTATATACTAGTTCCTATCTAAGTTATATACTTGTTCCTACCTAGGTTATATACTAGTACCTACCTAAGTTATATACTAGTTCCTTCCTAAGTTATATACTAGTTCCTATGTTATATACAAGTTCCTTCCTAAGTTATATACTAGTTCCTATGTTATATACAAGTTCCTTCCTAAGTTATATACTAGTTCCTACTGAAGTTATATACTAGTTCCTATCTAAGTTATATACTATTTTCTTCCTAAGTTATATACTAGTTCCTACTGAAGTTATATACTAGTTCCTATCTAAGTTATATACTTGTTCCTACCTAAGCTATATGTTAGTTCCTACCTCAGTTATATACTAGATCCTACCTAAGTAATATACTAGTTCCTACCTAAGTTGTATACTAGTTCCTTCCTAAGTTATCTACTAGTTCCTATCTAATCTATATACTAGTTCCTACCTAAGTGATATACTGGTTCCTACCTAGGTTATATACTAGTACCTACCTAAGTTATATACTAGTTTCTATCTAAGTAATATACTAGTTCCTACCTAAGTTGTATACTAGTTCCTATCTAAGTTATATCCTAGTTCCTACCTACGTTATCTACCAATTGCCACCTATGTTATATTCTAGTTCCTTCCTAAGTTATATACCGGTTCCTACCTAAGTTATATACTACTTCCTATCTAAGTTATATACTAGTTCCTTCCTAAGTTATATATTAGTTCCTATCTAAGATATATACTAGTTCCTATCTAAGTTATATACTGGTTCCTATCTACATTACATACTAGTTCCTACCTAAGTGATATACTGGGTCCTATCTAAATTATATACTAGTTTTCTATCTAAGTTATATGTTAGTTTCTTCCTAAGTTATATACTAGTTCCTACGTAAGTTATCTACTAGTTCCTCCGTAAGTTATATACTTGTTCCTACCTAGGTTATATACTAGTACCTACCTAAGTTATATACTAGTTTCCACCCAAGTTATATGTTAGTTCCTATCTAAGTTATATACTGGATCCTATCTAATTTATATACTCGTTCCCACCTATGTTATATACTGCTTTCTATTTTAATTATATACTAGTTCCTACCTAAGTAATATACTAGTTCCTACCTAAGTTATATCCTAGTTCCTATCTAAGTTATATACTTGTTCCTACCTAAGTTATATGTTAGTTCCTATCTAAGATATATACTAGTTCCTATCTAAGTTATATACTAGTTCCTCCCTAAGTAATATATTAGTTCCTACCTAAGTTATATACCGGTTCCTACCTTAGTTATATACTAGTTCCTACCTAGGTTATATACTAGCTCCTACGTAAGTTATGTACTAGTTCCTACGTAAGTTATCTACTATTTCCTACGTAAGTTATCTACTAGTTCCTACGTAAGTTATATACTTGTCCCTACCTAAGTTATATGTTAGTTCCTACCTCAGTTATATACTAGATCCTACCTAAGTAATATACTAGTCCCTACCTAAGTTATATACTAGTTTCCACCCAAGTTATATGTTAGTTCCTATCTAAGATATATACTAGTTCCTATCTAAGTTATATCCTAGTTCCTACCTACGTTATCTACCAATTGCCACCTATGTTATATTCTAGTTCCTTCCTAAGTTATCTACTAGTTCCTATCTAAGTAATTTACTAGTTCCTGTCTAAATTATATACAAGTTCCTTCCTAAGTTATATACTAGTTCCTACGTAAGTTATGTACTAGTTCCTACGTAAGTTATCTACTAGTTCCTCCGTAAGTTATATACTTGTTCCTACCTAAGTTATATGTTAGTTCCTACCTAAGTTATATGCTAGTTCCTATCTAAGTTATATACTAGTTCCTTCCTAAGTTATATACTAGTTCCTATGTTATATACAAGTTCCTTCCTAAGTTATATACTAGTTCCTACCAAAATTATATACTAGTTCCTATCTAAGTTATATCCTAGTTCCTACCTACGTTATCTACCAATTGCCACCTATGTTATATTCTAGTTCCTTCCTAAGTTATCTACTAGTTCCTATCTAAGTAATTTACTAGTTCCTATCTAAATTATATACAAGTTCCTACCTAAGTTATATGTTAGTTCCTACCTGAGGTATATACTAGTTCCTACCTAAATTAGTTCCTTCCTAAGTTATATATTAGTTCCTACCTAGGTTATATACTAGCTCCTACGTAAGTTATGTACTAGTTCCTACGTAAGTTATCTACTATTTCCTACGTAAGTTATCTACTAGTTCCTACCTAAGTTATATTCCGGTTCCTACCTAAGTTATATACTACTTCCTATCTAAGTTATATACTAGTTCCTACGTAAGTTATGTACTAGTTCCTACGTAAGTTATCTACTAGTTCCTACCTAAGTTATATAATAGTTCCTTCCTAAGTTATAAACTAGTTCCTATCTAAGTTATATCCTAGTTCCTACCTAAATTATATACTAGTTCCTATCTAAGCTATATACTAGTTCCTACCTAAGTGATATACTGGGTCCTATCTAAATTATATACTAGTTCCAGCCTAAGTTATATACTTGGTCCAACCTTAGTAATATAATATATATCCTACCTAAGTTGTATACTAGTTCCTTCCTAAGTTATCTACTAGTTCCTATCTAAGTAATTTACTAGTTCCTATCTAAATTATATACAAGTTCCTTCCTAAGTTATATACTAGTTCCTATGTTATATACAAGTTCCTTCCTAAGTTATATACTAGTTCCTACCTAAGTTATATACTAGTTCCTTCCTAAGTTATCTACTAATTCCTATCTAAGTAATTTACTAGTTCCTATCTAAATTATATACAAGTTCCTACCTAAGTTATATACTAGTTCCTATCTAAGTTATATACTGGTTCCTATCTAATTTATATACTCGTTCCCACCTATGTTATATACTGCTTCCTATTTTAATTATATACTAGTTCCTACCTAAGTTATATACTTGGTCCAACCTTAGTAATATAATATATCCTACCTAAGTTATATATTAGCTTATAGTACCAGACCCTGAAATGTTACGAATAAGATTGATATTGGTTTTGGTTACTTGAATCTTAATACCATCATGAAAACGTGCATATTTCAGCAAAATGGAATCAAAACAAAACCTCTTACGTTGTAGACAATTGTGAAAGCAATCTGAAGATTTGTTTTAAAATCCTAGCTGGAGTGTATTGTAGAGAAATTGTATTACAAAAATAGACCACCTGATAGATAATTAAGAGATCTAGAAAGACACACTAAGATGGTAGATACCATCATCCTCGCCTAGCTGTCATTTCCTGACGATATTCCCGAGTGCTATCTATCCGATTATTTCTATAAAACTCCGAGTCTAGAAGATGACAGTTACTTAACTTCTATCTACCACACGGTGTAACTCTCTGTGTATCCGACACCAGTATATACTATAATATAATTAAGGCGATTGTAAGGATATATGTAGCAGTGGATGTTGGCATCACTGTCGTGCCAAGCTGTACAAGAGAGAAAGGATACAGATATGAATATATTGACGGATCCATAATTAAAACGGGGATTGGGAATGTTAACTCATGCACCACTGAAAACACATTTTTACTCTTCCATTTCAAAGGTCGGAATAGTCATCATGAAATTTCAGGGGTGAATGAGCTAAACATCGGTCAATAAATGTTACAAAACAGTATCAGGTCAGGCCATGCTAGGTGTGCTAAGGTATTAAATGATTGTGTACATGTAAGCATAGACATTTTGTCAAAAATATAGTATTAAAAAAGAGCGAACGTTCTCTCTGGATTTAATGGACTTCGTTGGACTGAATTAATGTCAGTCCATATGATAAGGAGATATGAACGTAAGTGATAAACATGTGATTTGCAAAATATACAGGTTTTCAAAACAAATAACATAGCATCAAGAAGCAGTTCCGTCCGTCTAGGACTCATGGCTGATCATAGGGGCAATAACGATGGAATTTCAATCAAAATGGGTCTAAACTACTGTTGAAAGAGAAGGAGAGACGTGTAAACCCCCTACGATATATACATTTAAAAAGTTAATGAGGTACTGGTCAATTTCTAATCGATGTGTTTATCATGAACCGTGCCACTAGCCACTCTTCAAAAGAGAAATGCGAGCTTACAGCGAAGAGAACTGATAATTCCCACGAGAAGCACAGTGTCTATTACCTCTGACGTGCCATCCCTTAGGAGGACGGAGCATCGCTCACACTTCAGTAGAGACTGTGCCCTCTGCATGATCTTGTGGATGACGTTTTCAACTGACGTCTGCTCCTCGAACAAGTCATGGATGACCTCTAGAAGAGCCTGTAAACAAACATTCCAAACGTTACACCAATATCAACTGGGAACTGTTGATTACTGTGAAATCATATATTTTCATGGGCCCAAAATTTCGTGGTTTCCCGACAAAACAACAATTTGTTGGTCCATGAATTGGTACATGAACTCGTGGATTACGAGTACCCGCTCAAATGGAGAGTTACTTGTTGCTTAACATCAAACATGTAATCACTAAGTGGACCTATGGATTCGTGGATGAAGATAACCCATAAAAACAACAACATAAAATACCCACGAAAATGAGGGATTTCACAGTATACTTCAGATGCTGAATGTATTGGGGACTGAGGCCCGGTCCTCCCTGGAAAGGCTTAAAAATATACCACTCGGCAAAATCCACCTTTATATAATCCCATACATGCTATAAACAATTCACTGGTTTTTTTTTTTTTTTTTTTTTTTTTTTTTTTTTTNTTCATCATCAATGCCAATCCCATACGGAAATTGAAATTCCACGAAACACACTTCTTGTTAGATATGCCATTTGCACTCGACAGTTGTAGAAAATTTAATCAATGTATGGAATTCCAACCTCTAGTCAATATACGAGTTTTCATCGTGTATGGTTGTTTGATGAATCCTTTTATTGAGGTTCAATAGTACCTTACATTACAATGATGACGTCACGAGGTAGTTCACGTTTTACGCTTTACTTTCATTAATGTTGGACACCACAGACCCACTGCAACATCTTCAAAAATAATCTACCAACTGTGGTGGTATTGTTGTTCTTGGGCGTAAAAGCAACGACACACTTACTTATTCATTATTTGACGCATAAATTAATCAGCCACATTAACAGCTGTTTTCAAACATGTCAGGTTTTCAGTTTTGAAATTGCCCAATTCTACAGAACGAATGATTACTATTTCATATAACAAAATGCATTAGCATGTTAAGCACAGAATTTGAGAAGGAAACATTTGGTTCAAAAGACTCGATCCTGAACGTCATCATTGGATGGGTGTTTGCTGACACTAAGAGAACATTAAGTGTTACTTCAAATTCAGTTAAATATTTATATATTTATTTGATTTTTATAAAAACAAAGTGTATAAATGAATAATGTTCGAGAGGTTGTACTTGGTCAATCAACCAAAGCATCACTGTGCTAGCTGTTAACACATCAAAAGCTGATTTCAAAAGACGATATCAATGATATCTTTTCAACCTTTTAAGCCAATGATGTGCAATGCTTGCTCAAGAGTCTACAACTTTTGATGTTCAAGAGAAATAATTTACACATGAAAAACATGCGATATGAATTATATAAAAAAATTCTTTTATATAATTTGTTGAAAGAAGGAAGAAACAAATGACTTCAATAACAAGAAGCTTGAATTTCCTGTGCGACGTCGTTGAAGATACAAATAGGATACTATCACATGTATCGAAATTCGAATAAAGGTCTTGCTTGAGTTTGAGGGCCAAACACATATAGTTAAACTTCATTAACGACGAACCAAAGGCGATATCTGTGCAGTAAGCCACCACAGCTATACATTGCGAAAATGTAGTAATACAAGACACAGAAACTTGCTGCTGACAATAGTGACACATGACAAGTAAAACATCTAATAAGATCTCACTTGTTTTGTTTGAGACGCAATAGGAATAAATCTATATGTGAAATAGAATATATATCTGTCTTTTCATTGTTATATCCCATGCACGTCTTTGCATAAAGCATAGAGGATTATACTGTTCTTCCGAATTCGATCTGCTTACAGGTATCACAGAAAATTAAATTTAAAATACAAGCATAACAATACTTACAGCTGGATTAAAATGACTCTACTTTGATTGATTTGATTTTGTAAGATGTATTGAACGGAAAGATTTAGAAATAATGAGCTGATTATCGACAAGATACAGTGCTTCAACAGTAGCCAGAGGCGCTTATGTATAAATCTAATGTAACGAAATACGAGCTTCATAAGGCCATGTGTGCATAACGAGAAAAGGAAATACCGGTATCCAACTAAACCCAGAGTCATATCTGTACATGAAAGATCCGGAAATCTTGTGACAGGCCATTTCGTCTTAATTAACGTCAAACCTAGAGAGCGGAAGTGAGCACCATGGAATGTATCGGTTACATTAGCCTGAAGGTAAAGCACGTGTCTCTCCTTAAACTCAAATATATTTCTCTGTTGATATATAACCAATCGATAAAATGTATGTTTTCTTCAACATCTTTTGTTACTTGACTACCCCTTAATTTTGGTACCCTGAATCTAAGGATTTTATAAATATACAATCCCTCATGCTTCTAACTTGTCATTTAGTTTAAAGAGAAATTAAAAAAAAAAGTCAACATGTACTTAAGAGTTTAAAAAGTTCAGTTAATTTCTTGGTCAATATTTTATCATTAATGAACCCCGGGGACGTCTAGCCACGCTGCCATTAAAAGGTTCAACACCACAAGAAGTGTGGCCCGTACAAAAGGATGAAACCTTACATTGGACACCCCGAGGAAGTAACAGCCATTGACGCCGAACGTCGTAATCTAACAACAGACAGACTCTCTTCGAAATACGGAAGCGAACAGCAACAGTGATGGCCGGCAGTTATCTAGGGTGTCAGGAGGAACGTGGTGCTGCGTACATGTCTGCCAGACAATCGAGTGGGAAGCTACATACAGATCCCTAGCGGCCATTCCATCTTTCAGACAGCAAACCTTTGTTTGCCCATCAAATACGGCACAGCGGCCGTGTTGAAGTACAACATGCTGTCAGTTCGGATACAAGATTAGTACAATACCACGAATAAGGTATTCTGGGAAACAGAAGTACTAGTCATTAAAAGAGACATAAAGGTGACTTAGTTATGACGATACAAGTATTTCCCGTTACGGTCGAGCTGAACTGAAACTATTATGTATTTGAGAAAAAAACGATGTTATTTATTTAACGAACTGAGTTAAATATACAACTAAGATGTAAAATATTAAACATTTAAAATGAATTATGCAGTGATGTCAATATACAAACCCGTTTGTTTTGTATAAGGTGATTCACATTTAATGATATGACTATCATATACACACTTATTTATTTAACAAAAATTATGAAACAAGTCTTCCAACTTATATTAATCACTCTTGTCGGTCAGGATGGAAGAGCGCAGGGGATCTTAATGTGGGAGGAAACCAGATTACCAGTATACAACCCACGTGGCCGAACAGGTAACCCAAGACATTTTCACGTCCGACCGAGGAATCGAACTCCGGCCACTTTGGTGAACGGTGAGAGCGCTATCCATTCTGCAACCCGGTCATCCCGATCTGACTTTGCGTGATGTTTAACGAAGAGAGAGGCCTTAACAAAGATGTTTTGTAAATGATGTAGGTTTTTTTTATTTTCGAAATATTTCATTACTCCAACTTAACAGACATCGTTAGACAAACCGGAATCATTAGAACCAGGCTTTCTACACAAATATCATACTAAGGAACGCTTCTCCTGGTGATGTGCTGCCCTTGGTTATGTTACATATAGAATGGAGATTCCTAAACCCTGTTATGAAACACGTTTCGAACGATTTAAAAAAACCCACCACATCCAGGTCAGTTACATTTCACTCGTTTCTCAAATAATCACTTTCAGTCACTAGACATCATTTAAATCCCCCCATGTTATTTGGGCAGTAGCGTACTGGCAGGTTTGGTGGAAATAGTCTGTTGCTGCTCACAGTATAATTTCAAGAGAAAATTATATGTGGCATTTCGCATAATCGGGGCTAAATTTACTTCATTTTCTGTCCTAGATATTGTGAATATCTGCCTATTTCTAAAGTTTGCTACACTTTCGATACTTCTCTCCCGAAAGTGGTACCCCTCGAAACCTGTTGCAATATGACGTAGCTGTTACTTCTCTACTCCAGTTACAATCAGATTACTGTATATCGGTAATTTTTTCGTCCGGTCAAACACTTGTCCTTCTCCAGAATAATTCATATTCGCCAAGTTTTGATTTCGCCCTTTAGATTTAATATTACTGTGCATATCATGTTGTTTACCGATGATCACTATACGGATAAATTCGCCTTTATCACAGCGGGCGATTAAGGCGAAAATCAAACTGCAGCGAAAAAAATCCCGGTATACAGTAAACACATATAGTTTTCATGTAGGTGATATATTGCAATTTTTTCCAAGTAAATAAGGGATTCGTCGGACCATAGTGTATAATTGTACCTTATTCCTCTCATATTCCTTGCTGTAGGCCTCGAATATCTGAGCGTTGTGGATTGCAATCCCACAGAACGTGAGGTACGTGGTCAGCATCTGAAACAGCAACACATTTGATAAGATCCTGATTATCAGGGTATGCATGGGATTTGTATTCAATACACATGTCATTAATATTTAATCAAGTTAAAGTAATAATTATCGGCTTTTTAAACTTTAAACATAGCAAAACTATCGTAAATCGTTTTTGGTTTTGAGTGCTCAAAGTTTATCTTCTTGCATCCGTGTATACTGAAAATAAAACAAATTACATTTTGTATACCTCTGGTGAAAGGAAATTGATATAAGCAGTTGTCTATCGTGAACTTTTTCCGTTGTCTGATTTAGAACTATAGTATTACACATAATTGGAAGGGAAACGGGGATTTTTTAGTTTGTATAGGCCTAATGTAGATGTGTTAGTGTTGTTTAAAGAAGTAATATAAACGGTAGATTCCCGAATAACACCGGATCCTTGAAAACGTATGATTGTAAGATAAGAATAACTTAGAATTTAAGCTGGGGCAAGGAAGAAATTCTTACAGAGTAGATAATATGATGTTGTCAAATTCGGAGTAATCGGCTCCATTATCGAGGCACAGAAGATGTTTCAGTATGCGTACGTAGTTTCTTATACTTACGGTTTAATGTTGGTATATTTCTTGGTATGTATTTTTGCTATTTCAAATATTGGTGACTTATAATTTGGTTTTTTGGTTATATATTTAAGGTTTGTTTTTTTATCATGAGAAATACGATCAGTATGGAAGCCAAAAAGTACTGAACATGTACTGCAACCTATGGTCATTTCGGCCACCTCAAGTAGTACTTATGGTTAAAACAATGTAAATTTCATAGCTTATGAGTTCCAGTACATATGCAAAAAATACAGCAATAGCAAAAAGGTGCCTATAAGATTCCTCATGATGTTACAAATAATCACTATTTTGACTACAATACATAGTTTCTTTTAAAATCTGTGTTTCATTTTAACTGCGCAGGAATGAATTCGAAATATAAAGTTATGTACTTCTATTTTCCTATCTGTGGGGATTTTTCAGTAGTTGTTGGTTTATGGACTGATATCCGTTTACGTTTTACCCTTAAATGAGGAGTGGAACAACAGTGTGACCAGTAAATACACAATGGTTTGTTGACCACGTGATGATTGATGTACCTGTCGTATCACCTGCCCAAATGTAAATACGTCATTGATATTAAACTCTGTTTGACACTATACTACACGAGTCTGTTACTCTGTAGCATTGTTTACCTTTCTGATTGTGGTCCAACGACTAAATAGCATGTTTACATTGACTATCATTAAATTTTCCTGTATTCTCAAAGCGCTGTCGTCAGGAACGTGCAAGGTTTGAACAGCACAATGTCGTTTGACTCCGGTCTGACTCCGGTCTAATTTTTGTTAAATATTTGACGATTTTGTTATTATAACACACGTGTGAAGCGTTATAAATCAATTTATACGAAAACAAGGACAATGGTGGTTTTGCGGTTTAGGAACGTTACGCGTTATACTACAGTTGATAAATAACTATGGTGTACAGATACACAACCCATAATGGAATTGACAATTAGTTTTCTTTTTATTGGATGCCACTGATTTCGCCGACCACTTAATGAGGTTTGAAATATATTTACAACAAAAATCAAGATAAGTATTAAGAGATATGAAATAAATTTTCCAAAAAGGTATTATTTGTCAACATCATTTATGTCTTCCCAATGTAAAAAAAATACTATTTCCAGACTTTCGTACGTATTGAAATTGAATTTTGTTTCTGGGAAATCATAATATTTCAAACTCTGAAAAAATGCCGAACAAATTTTTAATATATTAAATCGCAGTATTATTTTTCTCAAAAGGAATCTTCGCAAAGCTTAAACGATGTTCAGTAGAGATTCTGTAGAATTATTCCCAAAGTGATCTCATTGATAATTAGAACCGCATATTGTAAATATAAATACGTTTTGTAGTACGAATAAGAAATTATTTATATTTGAAAAATATTGATAATTTTGTAATACTGAATTTATTAAACCGGAAGAAAGAAAGAAAACAAAAAGTAAGGAAGAACAACAAAATAGTGAGAGAAAATATAAATAGAAATAGTATGTGCGTCTCCGTTTTGTATAGAGGTACTGACAACAGACTTTCTTACTTATCGAAAATGTTTTTTGTTTCTACGGAATAGTAATACAAAATGTATTTCAGACTGAGAAAAATTGCGCAAAATGACCTGTTTGTCTTTATTGTATTATAACCCTAAACCTGTTCGGTACACAATCGTTGTGCGCGTTCCCAGAATTTATTTTATCCCATAGACGACCAAAGATATCACAATTGGCGAGACAAAACAGTGCTTAAACCTTTTTTTGATGTACATAAAGACACTGGAAGGTCAACTCAAACACTCAATACCAATTTCATCTTCATACACTTCAATGTCTTAATGTGCTTGATTTGACCTCTCCACGAAAACAACTGGCAGTAATATTGCTGTGTCTCCTTAACGACATTGTGGCTCAGTAATTGATTCAACCAGGTACTAACGATTAACCAACATGCACCATTTTGGTCCCAAAAGTGCGTTCTGATTAGCAAAAAAAAACAAAGTGTCCTAATCAAAATGAACCACTCAATCTGTCATTAGCTAAAATGGAACCGTGACTGTGTCGCGTTCATACAAATAAATCTTTAATGAATGAATTTTTGTAGTAATGGGCTGTTGCGTCATTAAGAATGTGATATTTGAACAGTTTTCTGAGCTCAAAAGAAGATGTATTGGAACCAGCTAACATCAATCAAGATTAAATTTATACTGCTTAACAGTTACGTTTTGTGAATGATTAATTTCCACCTGGTTAATGATCTGATTAAATCCGCAAACAAAAACGCTGTTGTTATAGCCGATTTCATAAAGGTCACTTGAGAAAATAGTACTCATTAATTTCCGTAGTCAAGCTTCAAGCAAAACAGGAAAGAGCGTGACCATACCTCAAAACAACAACTGATGAAAACACTATCTACTCCGTATGTTAAACTTCCCGCATTAAATTTAATTACATAATAAACTTAACTATTAACCTTTTACATCAATAGCGATACGTTATTTCAGCGAGCCCAATCACTCTTAGTACGGACAACGTTTGGTTTCGTTGTAGTTGACGTGTATAATTTGATCACGTTCTACTTGAAATTGCGAACTTTATTTTACGCGAATTCACTATAACAATTATCGTGAAATACAAGTCATATATAGTGTTTCACTCTTCATCTCCTACATAGCAGACAATCTCATGAACGACCTCTGAAAGGATATATAACAGCGTCTAGCACTTTTAGAAAAAAAATAGAAAATCACGCATGTAGATTAATTTCAACTAGAAATGTCATTTAATTCTTAAAACAGTGGGAAATGGAGTCCTATAAAACACCATATAAGACATGAGATACATCTTGCTTTTTTATTCTGCATTTCGTTTATATCAAGAATGTTGCGTGTGTTTGTGTGATTTAGAGTCAGTTCTGGACGTAAACAATGCTTACACCAGGATAAGGAATGTTTACTATTTACACCCGAAGTCTCGACAACCACTCTCGCGCTAGATCTGTCAGGATTACTCTCAATAACCAGAGAATGGTTAGGAAAAGATTTTTGTTTTATAAAAGCTAATGGTGGCCTGTGAGTGAAATGAATACCCTTTTACTTGTAGCGTTCTCCTTCATTATACATTGTCTGATGGCATTTCCTAACAGCACTGCCTGTTTATCTGGATAATTATACCCGATGCGATGGCAATTTGCCAAGTATCAATTACGAAATAATTTGTTTGTGTGTCTGGGGTTTGACGTCTTAGCATCATTTAAGGTTTTATAAGGAAGGGCTAATAAGGTGCACAATATTATATCATGGTTTTACTTTTGTTGATTTTAAAAATAATGACATTTTTTGTTTACATTAATAGCAAATTATGTGAACCTGTTTACTTAAGTAGGACAGCTTTAGAAACATGTCACGTTAATTCTTTTACGTGATGTCTTCAAATGGAAGTTGACATGTGGATGTATTGTTTTGTTGGTGGCGTTTTATGGTCAAGAGGCCATGTGTTTCATTAAGAACGACTTACATATATCCACAATGCTGTTGATGCTGTCGTTAAACTGTTAATGATGTCTTTGGAAGGAAATTGTTGTCATTTTTTCAATAATATCAATAATAACAATAATAACAATAAAAAACAATATTGACAATAATAACAACAATAACAACAATAACAATAATAACATGTCGCTACTAGATGCATACTCTTTGCCAATTACTAAATAGCCGGATGTAAAATACAAAAACACAGATGCACAGCATAACAATTATATCACACAACAATGCCCCTTTCGCGTATCCGGTTCAAGAGTTCGACCAATATGTGAGTTAATAAAGCATTATCTAAAAAACAACTCAGAAACTGTTCATTTAAAACCCTGTCTATTAGGTCGACACATTTCCGGTCACAATTCGTTCGTTTATACTAGAATTGTTCTGATCCATCTCAACTGCTTCAACTGGGATACGCTAAATCTAACCTAAGAATTCACAATTCAATGCATCAAAGTCTTTGCAAACGACCTTTCAGTTTGTTTCTAACTTCACACACAAAATTGATGTTCTCCTTCAAAACACCACACCATTAATGATATTTAAAACAGCTAATAATTGATTTGACAAGAACTGTAATTGAAAATAATGTCATAAAAAATCACAAAACACAAAGCATTTTAAAGGGTAATCATATAATAAAATGTTACTTCATTTGCTACTGAGCAATTACAAAAGTGAGATAAATCTTCTGTGAGAGATATGATAGTTACTGGTGAAAATTTATGATAGTCGTATTTGGGAGGAATAGCTCAGATACCTGAGTGTTAAGCCATAACACAGAACAGACGATAGTTTCAATTTCAGTTTTAATGTTCCATAATAAAACAAAATCCAGCAGCCAAATAAAATCCACAGTTTCGAATTAAATTTTCCTGAAAATAATATTTGAAAACACGAGGATACAAGTTACATTGAAAAGCTATAAAACTGTGATGATAGTCATTTGATAGTGAAATAAATTGAATGATGGACAACAAACATTTTAAAAGCTGGTATTATATTGGAGACTCATATCAACTATCTAAAAAATAGAAAATAAGAGCCGGCTCTTTTCTTTATGTATTTTCTAAGTTGGTATCACAACAGAATCTGGCCGTTGTCTAATTCATTAACCCCCGCAGATACATTTGAACTGTTCCAATTCATAGGTTGAAATATTTCATTATGAAATTTCAGGGGTGAATGAGTGAATATGTTTTCATTGTCCTTGCTGAAATATTTATACGACCCCGTTTTGTTGTCAACAAAGCAAGCCTTACCTTTTCATCGTCCTCGCTGAAACCTTCACATGAACCCGTCTTGTTGACAACCTGGGCCACGCCCACAATTTCGTTGTCCGAGTTCCGAATAGGCATGCAGATAATTGACTCTGTGACGTAGCCTGTGATTCGGTCCACCTCGTCATTGTACCTGGGATCCTGTGAGTGTAAGAAGGTCAGTTTTAATTCATGATATTGACAACCAATCTTTACCCATAAAATATATTCACGAAATGATCAGTGATGGTGGAAGAGATGACAATCAATTACAATACAAAAAGTGCTATACAGTCAATAGATACAGACAAGGAATTAATGAATAAATTAATCAATATATCAATGAATAATTTCATTTGTCGATAAGTAAATTAATGACATTTGCCTCAGGATGTGAATTGCAGTAACAACAGTGTTAAAATATGCCAAATATTGTATCGTCTGGGTGTTTTTGCTGAGCATTATTCAATCTCCTGCAAGTCACTTTAATATCGCGAGACAAATATTTTACTTGAATTCGCAAGTGGAGACATCTCGAATTCAAACATGTTGATAATAATATTTAGATCACAATTAGACAAAAACAAGATGAGTTTGGCTATCCATAAGCGGAGATTTGTAATATTTACAATCATCACGAATATATCCCGAGAACATTTATACGCGAAAATTAAATGATTTACAGTATCCTTAAATATAATCCGCTTGTCGATTTATGCAGTACGGTGCATGGTTATTCTATGACGTATGTACGTCGGTGTGTGTTTATATCACTGCTTTTGACGCAGATACTGAAGCGCCCATGAAAGTAAATTGGTAATAATAACAAATATTACACGAAATATCCCACGTTTTCTCGTGATCGGTAAACATTAACAAATATGATTGATCATAAACGCTACCAACTCCAAACATAAAATTGTAATTTTAGAGATTTATGAACCAAGAAATTTCATTGAATGTGTTCATACTAGGTTTTATGATTATAAGAACATGTCGTGTACAAACTCGTTACATACTGCACTGATAAAATCATATATATTTTTTTATCGAAATACAGATATTCCCTTTTATATCCGATATTGAAGTGTCTATGTAGTCAGTGCAAACGAGATTCCTGGAACAGCCTAACGTCCACAAAACGTTTGCTTCTAGTGGTTGTCACATGTTATTTGAGGCGAGAGGAGAAGATTCGAATTGACGCCGATCCAATTGTGTCCCTCTCCCTATGAATACAATTTCTTATTGGAGTGTTCATAGAGGAACTTGCTTTGGAAAGTAGATATTATGCTTCATTGGAATTCAATTTTAAAACCAGACAAAGTCTTTTACCAGAATAGCCTCTGTTAAACCGGAAGTCCTAACCGGTACCATTTTCATATCTTCTGATGTATCGGTGGTATTTGTTGTAGACGATTGCAGATTGACATTATTTTTATTTTCGCTGAAACTTTACCTGAGGAATGGTACAGATAGACACATTTTGAAAGGTTAACGTTTGCTTCGTAGCATATAGGTACATCACGTGGAAAGCCTCCACGTCTTGGCACGATCACCACAACCAATTGAGCTTTTGACTAACTCACTCTGGGACAGCGTAAACCAGTAGTGTTTTACGGGACAGCGATTCTGACCGTCGGTCATAGACAGAGTAATTGTTTGTAGGTAGCATGATCAATAGTAATGTGTCAGCGCACGTTTCTCGGTCAGCACTTAAGGATCCCTGTCTTCTCGCAGAGGAAACACTGGAGAGTTTAATACGTAACAGTAGCCTCTCCTTAATCTTGTTTTGGATATAACTGTAGCACGGCAAGGCTAGTGGATTACTGGTGACAAAGTAGCTGTGTTCTAACTATAGAAAATATTTTTTTTATTGTATTGTATTTTATTACATTTTTGCCAGTGAAATATCTGATTCTATCAACTTGATAAAACTGATATCTTTCACACTGTCACATTTATCAAAAGTGATTTTTTCACAGTGTGAAGATATCACTTTTTGGTATTGACCAATCATAACAATATTCGCTCCATTCAAAGGCAACGATTTTTTGTTTAGATTCAAATGAAGCGACGGTAAAATAATTGTATTTATGTTCACATAAAGTAATTTATAACTTCTGTTTTCAAATTTCAACATGTTTACTTATGTGCTTGTATTCAATGTTTTGGTTGGAGGTGGATATGTAATCTAATTATAATTCGGTTATCTCCCTTGATACTTTCAGCAGTGTGTCATGTGACTATGTTGGAATACGAAGTCACGTGACGTCAATCGCCATTTTCTGAACCATTCACCGGTTTTTCGTCCGCAATTTTTCATTGTTTTATATGCCCACCTCCACCCCTTACTTCCTCCAATTTTAATTACAATCCAAAACATGGTTTTTGGCATTTTGCTTAATGCTATTAGCCTTTGACATTTGAATAAATGCTCTATTACAACAATAAATGTCTGGTGTCATTTGTGTCATTTTTGGCAAAAAACTAGCAGTGTTCTCCGGTGTGCTTTTTGTCTTTTTGCGAATTCAAATGATCGTGTCTTTAAAAGAACAATGAAATATTTATTCACGAAAATAACTTTACAATAATTGGAGTTGGATTGAAATTTCAATAATCACAATCTACGAATCACCAAATGAAACCGCATAAAAGACTTCACTCTGCTGCAACATTCAAAGGGTACTCATTGTTGCTGTTAAGGTATTATATTTCCCCTTTTGCGTGATTACACAGCATGATTTGATCAGATATGGCCTTTTTTTCAATTAACACGAACATAACGCCAATCTCTACGGTTGATGGTTTAAGCTGCAGGATCAGAATTAATGCCCGACATGAGTTTAATTGGTATTTGAAGTCACGTTACAGGGAATCGTTAAACATGTCTACGCTATACAAAAGTGTTGATAACATTCCGGCTGTAAACGAACACGGCGCATTAACACACGTCCAGCTCATTGCTATAAACCGGTGCATCTATAAAACAACCAGTTGTAAAGACTCATTTGAATATATATGACTTTTTGATTTATCGATGATATGTTTGTTAAGATTGATTGGTCGGATATATTATAGATGTGATCAGGTCCGGGAATGGTAAAAACCTACACAATATAACAATTTCGGTACTCGGCGTGAACATTGAAAGAGCCAGCGACCGACTTCATTTTATTTTACATCCCAGAGGTACAGTTTGAAAATTTGCAAATGTAGTGAAAAGTAATTGTTTAGTTATTTGTTACTTCACGTAGTTATACAATAGACTACGGTGGGAACATGCTAGAGTCCGCCACAGAACATGCTAGAGTCCGCCACATATCATGCTAGAGTCCGCCAAAGAACATGCTAGAGTCCGCAACAGAACATGCTAGAGCCCGCCACAGAACATGATAGAGTCCGCCACAGAACACGCTAGAGTCCGCCACAGAACATGCTAGAGTCCGTCACAGAACATGCTAGAGTCCGCCACAGAAGATGCTAGAGTCCGCCACAGAACATGCTAGATCCCGCCACAGTCCGCCACAGAACATGCTAGAGACCGCCAAAGAACATGCTAGAGTCCGCCACAGAACATGATAGAGTCCGACACAGAACATGCTAGAGTCCGCCAAAGAACATGCTAGAGTCCGCAACAGAACATGCTAGAGTCCGCCACAGACCATGCTAGAGTCCGCCACAGAACATGCTACAGTCCGCCACAGAACATGCTAGAGTCCGTCACAGAACATGCTAGAGTCCGCCACAGAAGATGCTAGAGTCCGCCACAGAACATGCTAGGGTCCGCCACAGAACATGCTAGAGTCCGCAACAGAACATGCTAGAGTCCGCAACAGAACATGCTAGAGCCCGCCACAGAACATGCTAGAGTCCGCAACAGAACATGCTAGAGTCCGCCACAGAACACGATAGAGTCCGCCACAGAACATGATAGAGCCCGCCACAGAACATGTTAGAGTCCGCCACAGAACATGCTAGAGTCCGTCACAGAACATGCTAGAGTCCGCCACAGAACACGCTAGAGTCCGCCACAGAACATGCTAGAGACCGCCAAAGAACATGCTAGAGTCCGCCACAGAACATGCCAGAGTGCGCCACAGAACATGCTAGAGTCCGTCACAGAACATGCTAGAGTCCGCCACAGACCATGCTAGAGTCCGCCACAGAACATGATAGAGTCCGACACAGAACATGCTAGAGTCCGCCAAAGAACATGCTAGAGTCCGCAACAGAACATGCTAGAGCCCGCCACAGAACATGATAGAGTCCGCCACAGAACATGCTAGAGACCGCCACAGAACATGCTAGAGTCCGCCACAGAGCATGATAGAGTCCGCCACAGAACATGATAGAGTCCGCCACAGAACATGCTAGAGACCGCCAAAGAACATGCTAGAGTCCGCCACAGAACATGATAGAGTCCGCCCCAGAACATGCTAGAGTCCGCCACAGAACAGTAGTTATACAATAGACTACGGTGGGAACATGCTAGAGTCCGCCACAGAACATGATAGAGTCCGCCACAGAACACGCTAGAGTCCGCCACAGAACATGCTAGAGCCCGCCACAGAACATGCTAGAGTCCGCCGCAGAACATGCTAGAGTCCGCCACAGAACACGCTAGAGTCCGCCACAGAACATGCTAGAGTCCTCAACAGAACATGCTAGAGTCCGCCACAGACCATGCTAGAGTCCGCCACAGAACATGCTAGGGTCCGCCACAGAACATGCTAGAGTCCGCAACAGAACATGCTAGAGTCCGCAACAGAACATGCTAGAGTCCGCAACAGAACATGCTAGAGTCCGCCACAGACCATGCTAGAGTCCGCCACAGAACATGCTAGAGTCCGCCACAGACCGATTTAGGTTATTGTCGCTGTTTTCTGTAATAGCAGCGGGTACAAAAAAAAAACAAAAAAAAACGCGGGGGTACCCACATAAATATTTTCGGTTTTGCAACGCAAAACTGCTTTTAAACCACAAACAAAAATCCAATCAGCCTACATGTATGATTTCGTCCGAAGCGAAGATGAGTTCCAAGTTTTAATTGAATTGCGTCACTGTCAACAAGATTAAATTCATGGCAACTATGTACCTTTGCAAATTTCGCTCGGATCTAATTAAAGATCTTTTTCTGCTGTAAGCTATGCCTGTTTTCCATG